TTTTAAAAACTCCTAGAGTTTTCTAGCAGGCTAGGTTGTGTAGTAACTGTAGCATCTTTGTAGCGTAGGGTTAATTTTGCTAGTATATTTGTGCTCCGTAGTCTGACACGCTAGTTACGCATGCTAGGTATAGTTGTCTAATAGCGTGTGTTGATAGGCCGAGTTTAATATTTGCTAGTCTTCCTAGCCTGTAGAAAGCTTGTCTAGCTTAGCTTACACGTATAGATACATGTGATTTAAATGATAGACGGTTGTCTAGATGAATGCCTAGCCACTTAACAGTGTCTTTGTGTTCTACTCTGTCGTTGTTTAGGAGTATAAGGGCTCTTTCTATCCTCTCCTTCTTAGCGGTGAAGTGGATTAGCTCTGTTTTGGACGTGTCGAAGATAATGTCTAGCTGCTCTCCCTTAGCGAAGAGTGTAGCTATCTCTTTTTGTAGTACTCTTATATTTTTCTTTAGAGAGGTTGATGACGTAGTGAGAGATAGGCCGTTAATATACGACAGTTGAAAACTTTGTAAGGCTAGGAATAGGTCTCGGATATAGATAAGAAAGAAGATTGGTGATACTGGGCTGCCCTGTGGAATGCCTGCTATAATCTTGCTAAATTCTTCAATCTTATTATCGAATGCCAGTCTTAGGGTCCTGTTGGAGAGAAAGGATTTCGCCCAGAAAATTAAGCTAATTAGGAGTCTAAGTTTCTTGAGTCGGTCTGGAATCGGTTGTGTATGACGTGGTCAAAAGCTCCTTTGACGTCCACGAACACTATAGAGGTAATTTGGCCTTGCTGTTTTTTGTGTTGAATCTGGTCTACTAAGAGGAGAGCGGCGTCTATTGCAGATTTCTTGTTTCGACCTCTAATTTGTGAGGGGTGTAGGAGGTTTGTATTTTCTGCTAGACTAGCTAGTCTTTTGGCGATAATTCTCTCTAGTACCTTCCCTAGGCTATTTAAGAGAGTGATTACTCTATAAGCTTTAGGGATAGAGTAGTCTAGTTTAGACGGTTTTTCGGTTACCCTTAAGCTTACCTGGGTTTTGCAACAGGATCCAAATCCAACAAAGATAGGAATAGCCGTCGATTGGCGGGCAGATATCGGATTCAGAAAAGACGCGAGTTTCGCTCGATATGATTGGTATGGTAAATGATCCCTAACTAGGGGGACAGGGGTTATATGGTACCTACAACCACGGGGGATGACACAAAATTCTTGACACCGTGCTGAAATCCACCTCAGTTTCCGGCTTCAGCACGGGCCACTGTAAGCATTATGCCCCCTCCACCTTGTGTACCGTAAATCGCACCCCACTTATCACCTTTCGCTCCAAGTTTTAGACCTAGGGCCGATAAGGAGATCTGTCGTCACCACAACAACAGTCAACATCACTTTCGCCACATGATCTTAACGCGACCTCGGGATCTCTCCTGAGCTTTTCACACCTGCCTCCTCGCTTTCGCCACCTAAATTCACGGCATACCCACAGCCAATGATGAGCTCGAAGCAGCTCAGCCTCTCTTGTTTCCATCAACCCATTCACAAAGTCCCAATTCGGCCCTTCTACCCATCAAAGATCCATTCCGTTACCGGTGGAGACGAAGATTAATCATAGACAAGGGCTCGCTGCTTTGTCAGTTATATAGATGCTATGTAGTCCAATTCAAATGTGAGTTCAGAGCTGCGTACATACGAAGCATGGCATAGTGTCGAAATTTCGATGGTGTAAGTCAAATAGAATAGAGTTCGAGATTGGCTAAGTTACCTGTCAGCATGACGCGTCGCGTTTGCCGTAGGCACAATCCATATTAACTTTGGAAGTAACAGCCAAAACATGTGTGCCAATGTTCATTTAGCCAAACTCGTAAAAACGCGTATAATATTCAGTAACGTGGCGCTTTTTGCTCGCGCGTGATTTGCCTCTATAATGCGGCTGATTGTGGCGCATGGAACTTCTCCGCTAACTAGTTAAGTTAAGGTATCAGAAGCGAACCAGATTACACCTGGGCATGTGGCTGAGCCCGAAGCACAGCAATGAAGGTCTGTTTGGGTGCGAGCATGGACCTAAGAGAAGATTATTCGCCAAAGTACTGAAATTACATGTCTGCGTGATAGGAAAGGTGTCGCCAGTATGTGTTGAGACAATGTTGAGATGCAAATACCGTATTGGGTTTCGTCATTGACATGCTACCACCCTGCGAATACATCCTCTCAGTACTTATGGCTACTGTGTGCTGTCATACCCGAAGGCAGCGATACGACAAAGCTTTTGGGGCACCTCTGCTGATGCCGTTCACCCCACAGAGCTCAGCGTCGTTGAAGGGCGTGCATGCCCATGATCAGAAGCTTACAATACACGCTGAATTGTCCACTACAAATGCTCTATTCTGGTTCTAGGGGTTGTTTATGGTGTTTGGAAAGGAATGGATGGGAAGTGTCGGATCACAGATATCAACGATATCTCAGCCACGCGATCGGCCGCACTGATCGCGGCGTCCGAGCAGCGCTCAGACCAGACCTCCTATATCTAGCTCTTCCATAGTTCTCCTTCGAAAGAGAATCAATCAGAACTATCACCGAACAGAATGCATTCCTAGTTATCGTTATTTCCTTTCAGCACTAGTGCTATAGACCTACCAACAGGAAGACTATTACATAGGTAAGCATGTTTTACCAACAGATCCTGTAGCAACAGAAAGCTAGGGGTGTATAGGCCTTCGCATGCATGTGCAGATGAGGCAACAACAAGAGAGAGCGCACGTCTAAATGGTGGTAATACTAGTAAGTGGTACGTGTGTGGTGGGCGAAATGGCCTGCAGCTTAAGTACCTAGGTAATCCAACACGAAGCTCGTACCCTACAGGCTACGCCTCTACCTTCGACTCACAATCGCAGCCTCTTCCCTTTATGCCCATGACTACTTAACATATAGAAAGTCGAAGAACTCAACACCCGCGAAGATGGTGAGTCGAAACCCGATACTGACAATGAAATCGTAGTTACCCAATGCCTTGCGTCCCGAGTTTTCCCACCATCCACACGACTGCGTCGATTACAGGAACCAATCTGTCTATCGGATGTCCGAGCTATCCCTCTTTTACTGAAGAGACTGAGTGACTTCAGTTCAAGTGGAATACATGCCAGGTTCCCTTGGTTGGTATCATGAAACTTCTTGGGATACATTGAGGTACACAGGCAAATGCGAGCATAAAGTTATTTTGCCAGCGAATCCTTCGTGCATTGCAACATCAGTCATACATCTTTCCATCAGCCCAGGTCTTAATCTAAGCAGCGACGATTCTTGGAATGAAGCGAGTCATGGCTATCACCGGAATTTTCTGTCACATCGTTGACCCGACCACAAGTGTGTGTCGAAGCTAATGCTTATTCTCACCTGTCGGTAGGTACAGATATAATCATGGCTGTGCGGAGCTATACCACGCAGTCTCTAGCATATACCTTGATGTAGCTATCCCTATGCATTATTCATTTTTCTCTTTCGGTGACCATAGAGCTACAGTGGCCTGGTTGAGTCTCCATAACATACTGGTAGACGTCGCATCGTCATAGTATTTGGATCAGCTTACGGATTACATCTCATCGGTGGCTTGGCGAGATCTTCGCTATCGAGGCGACAGTGCCTTATGTATCAACCCCGCCACTTACAGCTCTTGGGGCATTTCAAACCGTCGCAAAAATAGAGATTTACGGGATACCGATCTCGACTTGAGCTACACCTTTTTGCTTGGTGAGGAAGAGCAGATCGTCGTCGTCTATGATGATAATAGAGATGGAGATAGAGATGGGCAGGTCCCCTCCGCCAACTCCTTATATAATAAGCCTATAGCCTTCGCTACTACATAATTAACGACTATATAACTGTATTAGCCCTTTAAGCGCCGTCCGCCCTTTAGTCTACCCTTTAGCCTACTAAACGTAACTAAATAACTTAGCTTGTTGGCAGGGCTGTAGCACTAGTGCTGAAAGGAAATAACGATAACTAGGAATGCATTCTGTTCGGTGATGGTTCTGATTGATTACTACGTGATGGTGCTACAAAGGTGTATCTGATCTGAGACGAGTAGAGCCGAAGTAGGATCGAGTCGGCTGTTTGGGCATCGTTGAGCAGCTGACGCACCTACCGATACTCACGATCCGACATAGCTTTTAATTTATATTTGACTTATTGTCGCGCCCTAAACCTACTGATTTTTCTATATCCTTTAACCTCGCAAACTCATCGTCGCCGCATGGCCCCCCGCCTCCTCTTGCTTAGTGATGGCGACCAAGTTCTCCTTTTCTTTCGATGTCGTTCAACGAGGCGCCATAATAACAAAAATGTTACTTTCATTCCTTCATGATCTGGAAGAGTATCTCCACAAACGTTTCAGGTGCCGAGACTGATGAAGAAGGATATACGAGATTAGGGCACCTTGGCACCTTGGCCTTCTTCGTGGTCACCAAATACTTGAACTGTCTTTCCGGCAACTGTTAGCTCTAGGTATCTTTTTTAAGCGAGCGATGGTTGTATACGCGATAGGGCATGTTGCGCGAGGAAACAACCCGCGAGCATCCGGGTGAGTACGGTCTATTTCTAACAAGCTTACATCTAGACGAGAATAATTTGGCCCGTTTTGTATCTTCAGATCTTTGTAGTTCTCGACAAGTGTGATACATTTACAATCTTTATAAGTATAGAGAGCGTCTAGAATCCTCGAGGATAAGAGACAAAAAGAGTGTTGGATATTTCTCGTCCCCTTGGTGCGAAGATTGTCTCACGTCAGCTGGCCTTGGGTTGCAATGCTAATCACTTGCGCGTTTTTGCGAGACGCCAATCTCACGATAAACGCGCGTTCGGCGAATGGCGGTTCGTAGCGTCAAGTTCCTAATGGTTCAGGATACACACTTCTAGGGATCATTTCGGAGCTTCTGTCATCAACTTTCTGACAACTAATCACGATCTTGGAGACTATAGTATAAGTAACCGGTAAAGTCTGCAGACTGTCCCGTATTGAACACCACTTCACTATTCCCAAGATCCGAACACGTTCACTTCTCACCATGCACTTTATCAACTTGATAACCTTGTTTGCTCTCAATGTTGCGAGCCTTCCAGCCTCACAAGCAAACGAACCGCCGGGTCCATTTGATGGTCTTGCGCCGAACCCTTCGGATCCATCATGCCGTACATTCTCTTCTTGTAATTACGGCTTGGCGGGGTGTGAAAGATCAGTAGGTTTTCCACGTGGTGCCATAATAAGAAAATAATAATAACGTTCTTTTAAGTGTAGAGAAGGTGGACTGCGAATGATCGGGTGCGAGGCTAACTGCAGTTGCCGGTGCCAGTTCGGTACGCTCCTCCTCCGTAGAGATGATGGTTTTTACGAAAGACATGCTTAAACCCAACAGGCTGAACCGTCGGAAGGTCCTCGCGAAGGAGACGCTATCAGAAACGGGAAGGCCGATGGTGGATTTAAGGAAGAAATGTTGAGATGAAACCAGATACGAAGGTTGCACTGAAGGGCTAAGGGAAACAATCGGGTCTGGAGATATGATTACGCCAGCTTTTATTGGACAGCAAGCTGCCACAGCTTACAGTTCGCAATAATGACGATTTGCTTATCCAATCCGAACTTCCCGAGTGCATTCATGTAGGCCCATAGCAGTTATGTGTACGTTCAAGGATAGGGGTCCTCTTCGATCGTGAGTTTTCTGCGTCGATGTAATGATTTGGAGTGTACTGTCGAACAACTGGACGGAAGAGGGTTTGTCCAACTTAGTCAAGGGACGCTAGGAAGACGGCCCGCTTTCGGCCTGTGTTACGAGCTGGGTGAACGCGACGTTTTCTGGGTCGTTTATGTTGGATCAACTTTCGGAATGGAGCTCCTAATCCCCGCTCCCATGCACATCTCCGTCTTAGTGGCACGGCGAAACGGACCAAGATCGTACCCACCAGCACAGCCCTTCCCGTGCATGCGCGGCGCAGTTGATCGAAATATTCGCACGAGTCTAGATTGGCCAAGCAGTAGATCGCACACACTTATCTGGGATTATCATCCGTCCCCAATTCGTACCAATTCGTACTGTATACGATGTATCCTTGGCTGCATATCCTCATCTCACCTTGCGTCTTCTTGTCTCGTATTTTGTGCATGCACATGCGCCACTGAGGATGCATGCCGGTCCGGACTGTACCTCGAAAGAAGAGTGAGCCCCGAGATCCTACTAAGATGCAATGTGACTATTTTGGGTTAGCTCGGCACGTGATGCCCCAAAATATACGCCACGTCGTCACACAAGTTTGCCAGCCGTGATAGGCATATTTCCTGACTGCTTTTGCTTCAATGCATAGGACAAAGCCGAGAACATCCTTCAATTCTATTAATAGTATCGGTTCAGGTCGGTGATTTTCTCAAATCCAAAAGGTCAATCTTGAACAAGATGTATTATCCATTAGGGAATGCTGCAACACTTTGAGTAAAGCAAGAAAAGTAGTTATCGTGAGAAACTGGGAAATGACATCCATCGTCGCTTCCATCCTCGCCATGGTGTTGTAGAAAATGTGCCTTCGGTCTCAGCTACAGCATTGGGCTGCTTAGATTCCATAAGCGAGTCCTTCTTCTCGTCAGATGACCGCGCGCTATTGTTCAGGCCATCTTTATTGTCCACAAAATTTCTGTAGAGACAGCTTATGAGTGTTTCAATATCTTCCAACGTACTCATAGCCCCCAAAGTAACTCTCACTACACCAACAGGGACCCCTGCGAGAACATCGGTCTCCGTGTTACACCGATAACCTTCGTCGAACGCTTTTCGCAGCCACTTGGCGTCTAATCCCAGCGCACACGATATACCCGCGGGGTTACACACGGTGCCCGTGCGAACGTGAATGTGATTCGCTCGGAGGAGAGCGCCAACATGCCATGGACCAATGTATGTTCCGTCGCTTTGGCAGACGTTGAAAGCCACGGTTGCCCCCTGCGTCTTCGAATCGCCGTAGCTTGAGTCCAGAGAGCTGTATAAGTGGTAGACTGGCATACCGTTAGTGTGCCTCAAGCTCCTCAAACGGTCGTCAAGGACCTTGGCAAGCCATCCTGTGTGTTTCGAAACTTCCTCAAGTCCCCCAAACAAATCGCGATGGGTTTTAATGGCACAGTTCAAGACAAGGATGCTCCGAAACGCGATTGTGCCGTCTTCTAACCTTGCATGCAGACTTGACTCTTTACGAACCACCCACGCATCCCCAATACACGTCGTCATCTCAGTTGTCCCACCTCCGAAGTATTTCCGTTTGTCAAAGACATGACCGACAGCCTTGCGGATGATCAAAGCACCGAGATCGGGGAAGCCAAAGATCTTATAGAACGACAGGGCGACAAAGTCGGGAGCGGAGAGATGATTGCTCATATCTAATGCGGTAGTAGACACCAGTGCCGCTGCGTCGAGTAGAGAGTATGCATTTGGATGACTTGATGAGAGTCGCAGTTTCCCAGGCCAGTCTAAGGGAAGTCGCTCGCCATTCAGGTTTCTGGGAGGAGATAAGACGTCAGTGAAACCCTTTGAAGCACATCAAATACTGCGACACTTACGATTGCGCCGGATAAGCAAACAACACCGGTCTTTGTGATGATTCCTCTGCAAGATCTTTGTCTTCGTTACCAAGCCACCTCTCGACCTCGTCATTCGACGCAAAGCAGTTGCTATGGTGAGCCAGTTCCCGGACGCCGACCAGACTTGTATGGCTATTACGATGGTAAAAGTAATCAAATCCTTCTGTCCATCCAGAAAATCCATCTGCGACCAGTTTGATGGAGGCTGTAGCATTGGCAGTAAAGACTATGTCGAAGTGTTCCGGGTCGGCATTGAACATATGTAACACGTCAAGCCGGGTTTCCTCTACCATTAAGGCAGTTGTACTTGGATTGGATGCATCCGAGTGTGGGTTAGCGAGAAGCGTGTTCTGCATCTCGCTGCAGAACATCTGGAGCAAAGATCTTGGCGCTAGCGTGGTTCCGCCGTGGTCAAGGTACGTCAACCCTGTGAAGGTTAGGACGGTGTATGATGTATGTGCTAAGTATTCATACCTTGGAGCATCGGGTACTCGTACTGTCGCATACAGCTGACCCGTTTGTTATATGACAGGCGTTCACTGTCAACAACATTGCGTACGTTGTGGCGGTTGCCACTTCCGGGCAGTCGCCCTAAACATTGGAGAAGATACGCCATATAAGAAGAAGGAACAAGTATCTCATACGAGGAAATTGTACTACTAAGAGAGATGCGGGCAGGTAGAATGTACTTTTGCGTCAGATTGAGGTGAGCCTCACCTATGATCTAAACAAGATTTGCAGTCCACTTAAGTGTTTGTTCCTGCTTCACCACACACCGCCCCTACCTAAACATCATTGTCGTTTCTAGATGCAAGTTGCCTGAATGCTGCAAGACTGCGGCGTCTTCGGGGCGTAAGCATGACCGAGATCACAAATTCCGCGCGTAATCTCAACCGAATCCTAAGGCTTCAATAAAGGTTTCCTGTTCACACAATGCTATTGTATGGTCTCTGCTACTAGCGAACCCAGCCGTGACATCCAAAATAGTGACAGTAATGTATTCTGGAGCAGGGATCAGCCCTACAGACAGCACAACCAGTATGAGTAAGAAGCTGTACTTCGGCTGGAAAGACCTTCCCAATGCTTATTACGTGATATCAGGTGAGTGTACATTGTCCTGACTGACAAATGAGAAATTTGGAGCTATTCCATCGTAATTCAGCTGCCACAGCCAGTGACATGGCAACTTTTGCTTTCCTCGTTTCGTATTTCCTAGAGTGTGGGTGGCGGAGTATGGGTGGTCAGCACCAGATCAAGTCATGCGACACTTTTCAACTCATCTGCGATCAGCTTCATGTCAATCATAGAAGATACATTGAGTAATGATTCCGAGGATCGGCGCATCCAAATATGAAAGCGCACTATCACATCACCAACATCGCCATCTGCGACTTGTGATAGGTCTCTTTCAAGTGATGAAGACGACTATGACATACTTAGTTTCTATCTATACACGGGCGAAGTACTTTAGCCTCGGTCTTATGGGCCCTTTCATCCTTCGGTATAAGCTTACGCCTATGGAGCGCCGTCTCACTGCTTTCGACACGCGGCAGCCATGTCGCCAGCTTCCGGCACCTATGGCGGCACTCATGAAGGTCAGATGGGGCGGCCCGCCATATGCAATGGCCACTGTAACCGGTTTAGTTTCGTTTAAGTTCAGCAAGACGGTCTCTAGACGAATTAGTCATGACATTTTCATACGGGGAATACGTCTGAGCGGCTACTCGCAGTGAACCGATGATAGTTCAGTTTCTACTCAAAAATATTCCGTGGAAATTACGAGACAACCATCGCCATTCACCCGGCAATTTTTTCACACGAAATCGAGTGATGCTCCAAGCTAAGATGGTCGTTGGATAGACTAGGACACCACGAAGCCCTACGTAGCACCAGCCGTTGATCTGCAGTGTGATTGTCATGCATGCCGTGCAGTGGAGCCCGATCACCGACAGTCTATTGAATCCTGTCCCTGTCAGATCCGCCAGCCCGGTCACCAACCGCCTTGTCGCCCCCAAGTCACCAGTTCCCATGCCATGTGTGGTGAGCCGGTGCAATGGAACCGGGGGTGATTGGGAGACATGGCATCTATAGTTCTGGTCCAATTAATGTTGGATTTGTATCGAGCAGTACCTTGCAATAGTATCTGGCGTACTTCTACTGATCACTACGATGATACAGGATCTTCGAGCCGTGGTGGACCGCAGATCTTGTACGCCGTGGGGAGCGTCTCTGCTCTCATTACAGATACAATGCTGTCAACGTATTTTTTGGGGGATATTGCGCTAATCCTTCGCTATCCAAAAGCCACGTGAACGTACTGGTGTGGTGACAGATTGTCTTGCATAGAACGAGCGTGTAGGAAAGTGGGGCTACAACCATGCCGCATGGACTGGGCGGCTAGAAGTACGCTATGCAGACGAGCGTGCATAGTTTCCAAGCAGGCTGTCAGCCCTCGAGTCTTTAGGAGAAGTATTCCATTTACGGTACGGCTATCGCGCGCGGTCCAAATGCGGCCCGCGTTTTTTGACTGGACCCCGCACGTGGTTGGTGGATTGGTGGGTTGCTGCGAATCCACAAAGAACACCATGATAAGAACGGGTGTTCACTTGTCGATCAATCTTTCTAGTAGCTTATTTGTGCACACCCACACACGACGCATCTACTGAATCGCCAAGGGGCGAAACAAAAGACTACGCATTTGCCGTCTGTTGCGGTAGTGTTGGTCAGCATGCGAATTCAATCCCAAGCTCTGTTTATAATCGGCCCAGCCTATTCTTCGCCCGGCGGTAAACCGCGCGCTGACGGCGCCCTCGGACGGAATAGTCATGCCTAGTGGGTTGATTGTGATTACATCGGCTGGGCCTCAGCTTCCAAAATGACCACCCAGCTAAGCGCGAAATACCCCCGGCAGCTGTGATAGTTGAGTACAGCCACACCATCGAGGGTGTGTGGGTCATATCATGAGGTCAACTAGGCTGGGCACCTGCCTCCCCAGGCGTGTGCCGCGTTGACGGATTCGAGAGACTCCAGTCTCCGTGTTAGCTGGAGCATGCTGGCAAATCTCCGAGTTGGTGCATCAGCAACCAAAGGCAGATGCGCTGCATTTTGCAGCGTTTAAAGCGACGTAAAAGAGTATTAGCGCATGAGTGAAAGTCGCCGAGGGAATTGAAGGAGCACCCTCCCACCATCCCTTAAGGTGGTGGATTGGGGGCGGAGCCGCGGCCGTGGTCACTTATAGCCCAGTGTTGGATCCTATTTGTGATCAATATGCGCGGCTCAATACGAACATGATGGGGGCGGGTTGGTAGATCATACGTGAGCATGATAAAGCAGACGAGTATCCTCGATACTTTAGACCTGATGGCGCTTTCAAAATCATGTGCGCTCCTATTCGTATTCTAGTCGATTGCCACTTAAACCCTATGAGATCTTGTTACTTCATATCATTCAAAGTCAGTCCTGCGTATGCACGAAGATCTTTCGAATGCTTCCCGTCGACCGGCGTCGGACTCTAGCCAGTAGCAACGGCACTGCCCACGATCAACGTCGTCCCCGAGTGCGCCTTGCCCATCGCCGCGACCTGTCGTCTTCGATCACAACGAAGGACTTATGAGGTGGATCTCGTCACGACGATAGCGGAGTGGCTCAGCATACAATGACAGCGCCTTATATGCGGGTCGTAGATCCAGCGTGATTGACAAAATGACCACTTCGGGGCAAATTCAGCTTGCTGTTGCCTCCAAGATATGACAAGTTATTAAGGGAGAAAAAGAAAATCCCACTCCTCTGTCGAGTGAGAGATTCACCAACACCGCGCGACGTAACCGGTCAACGTCACTAAGGGAAGGACTTTCAGCCACCCCAGTCCATTCCCTCACCGCTATTTTTCCCAGATGCGCATTGCGACTTATGCTAGTAACAGGACCCAGAAGATACGCACCCAAGGAGATAGTGATGTTGTAGCAAAAGCGGCCTGGATCTGTGCCGCAACCCCAGAGGTCTCAGACGGTAGTCGCTTTACCGTAAATACTACCTAGGCGCAACGCTGTAGTGACAGAAGTGAGGCAAGGACCAAGGATCGTCGTGCTTGTTGAAGGACCTGCATGCCCATACTCCGCCTCCCGCCGTCGTTGCTGCGGTGGTTGCGCTCGAGTTGTTGAGCTCGCCTTGGATATCAACCAACTCAAGTACTATAACTCGGTATGCTGGTGCAACTCAGACCTGACACCACACTCTTCCAAGATCTGGTGTTATAGCATTGTATTTATTAGTGGCGTTTCCAGCAGTCAATTTCTGTGCGCAAGGCTCCGTCCAGTTCCGCGATACCCCCCGGCTAGTCGCTAGTGAGTGAGTGGTCCGCGCAACTCATACCACGACAACTGTCTTTCATCTCATCCCATCAACAGCACCTTGATATTGAATCAGCTGGTATCATCCAACTTCATCGTTACCTATCCTGGTAACCCTCGTCCCCCATCAACATATCCGCGGCAAAACACGCCCCCCTCTTTCTGCACCCTCTGAAAGGTCCACCCATCTCAATCCCAACAGAAGTGGGAGTCCATAGCCCACCGAGAACTTCTGTAAGAGCTCACCAAAATGAGTGTCAACGAGCTTTTTCGGCATTTGCCCAACCCAATCCCGGGTAACGACAACGAACTTCAGGGCACCCATGTCGACGATGGGCATGCTGGCTCTCAGTACAGCGAACCCAGCCTTCCTAGCGGTGGCAACGGCTCCTGGCAATACAGCACTTCGACGAACAATGCTGGTGGATACCAGAACCACCAATACACAGGAATCCCGATTTTCCCACAGCCTGATCCTGTTGAAAACCAATACCCCCAGCAGATTGATCCTGGGGACTTCTTGCCGGATACTATACAGCATCATGGCCCTCAGTCCGAAGCTAGTCCCATCAACCCTTCTCTTCCCGAGGGAGGTATGAAACAAAATGAGGTTGGGCACGACCCCATGCTTACTCACTGGAGTCAACCCCAGTCACAACCCCAGTCACAACCATACAACATGAACACTGTTGTCCCTGGACGCGAATCGAACGATTACAGAATGAGCAATCTCCAACACCAAGTCATTGCTCCCTATGCATCGCCGGAAATTGCTGCCCACAAATCCACACTAAGACAGCCAGGTGGTACCTTGTACAACACGCAGCCATGTTATGGATACCTGTACTTCGAACAAGAACCGTGGAACAACCATCACATAGATCTGGGCCAGCAGCCAAGCAATCACACTGTCTTAGTATCCAAGGACCATCACTCCGAACCAGAAGCTCCATGGTCGTCGGTGAACACACACCAAGATCATCGGCAGATGTTGGCGTCGACAGTGAGCAGCTTGGTGTATAAGATCGGCTCAAATGAAGCTGGGTGTGCCAACGGCGATAATGGTGGTTCTTCGAGCTTGAACAACTCTATTCCGAATCGACATTGGATGCAGCCTAACACCGATACTTTTCGCGGTGATAATAACCAGGCAAACAACCGGACGAACCATCAAGATCTCTTATCGGCACAGCTTAGTCGACGTGATCAGAGCTTCAGGCAGTGCTCGACAATGTTCCAATATATGTCCTATGCACCAATAGGCAATGTATCGCAACATATCCATGTCCAGAATAGATTGGTAGACACAGCCGATGCGAAGTAAGCCCATTTTTAGTGAGCCTGTGGTCAAGTTACTAACTGTAGTAGATCTACTCTTAAAAACGTTTTTCTTCTAGTTCCTATACGTAGGTCATCCCGCTCCTCTAGGCGCTCCTCAATCGCAAGCGTCGCATCATCGGATTCGTTCCAGTGTCCTAGTTGTCCCGCAATGTTTAGTGGTGTCTACGGAAAGGGCAACTGGGGTCGACACAACCGGCAAAAGCATAATGGCGAAAGCAAGTTCTTCTCATGCGAAAAGGGTTGCAACAAGACGTTCCAGCGGAAGGACGCTTTGTTGAAGCATTATCGAGGTCGTTGCCACCAGCTGTAAATTGCGCGGTCCATAAACGTCGGTAAATACTGTCGAAAAGAGCGGCGGCTCACGAGAAATACTTTGGATGGGTATGGTGTCAACTTCAACACCCGGCATGTCCATCACAGGCCTGGATCCCGGCCATTCCATTCTGCAACTCACATGTCAACGAAAATTGTTCTTCTTCCTTTTGTTTACGCATTTCTTATTTCCTTAGTCTCGATCTCGAAAGCTCCTCAATATTCCTACCCTCTCATGCGGCGTCTGACAAGTGGCGGGGAGCCAAATGTCACATAGCCCTTTCGCTGACCTCCTCTTGCAAAACTCTTCATCGTATGGCTTTCAATTTAAGGGTTGCCCAAAAAAAAGTTATGTTAATCGTTCTTTCTTCCAGTTGCCGCTTCAAGGAGGATGAAGGCGTCTTCGGCGATATCATTGGTATGGGGGTACTGTCATAGTGGCACGATGTTATAATGGATAGTTATATGGTTATAACGTTTGGCGTTAGTGTGGGATTCTTGGTTTCATGTTTCGATGGCGTTCAGGTTGGTTATACGTTGTTGTAGGGTAGTCCAGTGCTAACGGATGGCCGTGTATGAATAGTTGGTGTGGTACAAAGATCTCGGGCGGTCGGGCATCGGTGGCAAGGATCTTTGGCCGTTACATTATGTAGGTATATACAGGACGCGCGGAAAGACATAATGAAGCTGTTAGTCTGTGATAGCAAGAGTGGATTTCTCCAGTGATGGTGTCGATGGTAGAGGTGTCGCGATGTTGATGAGTGGTCGTCGTCGTCGGCCCGTCCGGCGAAGTCAGGACAGGCTGGTCCCTGCCAAACTAGCAAGTCATGGCTGGCACGAGCTCGACGCCGGCTTCTTCGTTCCATCAACTTCGGTCAATTGCTGTCTCCACGCCAAAGAAGTTCCTTCCGCAGGACTGTGGTCTGTCAATGCCATTCGGACTCCCAGGTAGTGATTCACTCACTCAGCCGTATCCCACGAGCATCCGCATACCGCAGGAGGAGATGCACTATTCACGGGACAAAGAAAGTACAGCCTCGGTTGCTGCTCATTGAAAAATGGACGGTTATGCATTAAAAACAAACCCCCAAAGGCCCCGAAGCTTCTTGAGGATATGGAACCTTTGTAACCTGATACGGAAGCGAGCCGGGTGAAACGAGTTTTCTAATGAGATACGACAGCTTTCGCTAAGATACCTTGATATATACCTACCCCTGGAATTGCCGTCATTGCAGTAAAGATGTACAGAATTTCGATATCCCCGAACGTTGCATGCACCGGCCTCCAGCGACAAGGCGGGAAGCTGGCTATCTTGTACTTGGAAGCACCTACTCACCGCTTGGAAATTTAGTGGCTACAGTGCCATGTCATATGTACAGTACCGGCAGAAGCCACTTCCAGAGCTCGGAAGCAGATCGACATGATGGCAAATTACTAGGATAGCGCCCAACTTTTGCTTTTTGAACGTAACCCTAGTCTACAATTACCCTTGGTGCTACCTCGACTTCTTGATTTTACAGGAGAGTATTCCTTGTATCGATATACTCACTCTTTCGCTTTCGAAGCGTGTGTTTGGGAACGTCAGGTCACGAGATGTCAATGACATCGGATACCGTCATCCACTGTTATCGTACCAAAACCTACTGACGTATCATTACACACCCATACGAAAAGAAGAAGCTTCCACACTCAATTAAAAGATGGGTCGCATGAGCATATGCCCTCTCACGCAGCCAATGGATCCGCGAGGTTCACCCCCCAAGCATAGCCATTGCGTCATTAGCGCAAATGCAGCGCATGGTGGAGCATGCATCTTGCAACCGCTAGATATATGAGATTCGTTGGACGGTAAACATTTCTGCTCTCCATGCGTGTGTGGTTCGGTGGCTTGCGGCAGATTACCCTGATCCCCGACCTATCACGACCCACTATTTGTATTCGATTGCGGCAACGACGACGAGGCGCTTTGGCCCAGGAACGCATCCGATGTCTTAAGTCCGCCCGGTATAAACGCCCAGATTTGAAAGCGGGAGAATGAGTTTTAGTTGTACGACACCACCTATGCAGGTGCATGCTGTCTCCGGCTGACGACTGCATTTTGGTCCATCTCGCAAGCCCAACAAAGGCCCAACACAGGGTGACAAAACAACAGCTCATTTCTCGCAATCTTAGACATCATGAGACCGAAGTTTATAGCTATGTATCCTACATACTCGTTTCTCCTTTTAACCATCAGATCCGGCAGCGATTTAAACCACAAGGTGAGAGAGAAATGAACCTTGGGGTGCTGGAATGGGTGGTGTAGGAGATGTTAGTGCAAATTTATATATCTCAAGCGACTTCTGTGCTTACAATCATATATAGGACAGGATCGAAGAAGAAGGCTTGGAATTGACGTAAAAGGGTGAATGTATATCATCATCATCTCAGCGAATGGAATGGCAGCTGGGCGAGCAAATTATGCTCGGGACAGTTGAACAACAACAATTCACTTGAAAGCATTCGGATTGAAGAAAACGCCTAGATAGCACTGTCGGGAAGTTGAAAGCCGGAATCCATGGCCCTATAGTAGACAAACACGTCGCGCTTAAGCCTTACGTTGCACGAGCTCGTCTGCGGCCTGATGAACTCCATCTCTCACTCCACTATCCCTGGAAAATTTTAGATATCACCGTTACCCAGCACACTCTCATTCTCGCCTAGCGACAATCATGCATCTGCCAGCTCATCGTACCAACCCCCCCCAGTGTGCCCACCCGCAGGTCTCCCCGATGACCTGCCGCCACGCGCGAAGTTTCCCAAGTCATGCGGTGCCATACTACCAGCAAGCGGCTGCCTGGTCATGGTTGAACTCTGGTATGGCGTAGCAGCATCCGGATTGAGGTATGGATTTTGACGTGTTCCGCCCAGGACTGGCAGACGGCTTTTGTGGGGGTTCGACGGCGTCCCGAGTGGAGCGGATTCTACACTGCGTTAGCATGGGACACTTCCAAGCAGGCGCGTGTATCAAATTGATTGGTAAAAAATGGAAAGTGTGTGAACTTACGGCCAGTATGAACTCTACCGCCCAGGCCTCGACCTTGCAAATGTGCGTGAAAAGGAGGACCGTATTGGACACCACCCTGCCGCTGAGGTCCGCTGCTTCCGGAGCTCCTACTAATGTCTCTTTCGTGCGGTCTACCACCCCCCGTCTGTTGCGGCATAGCCATCTGGCTATAGTTGGCCGTACCTGTCCGTGTACCTGGGAGGCGATCGATGAAGCGATCTCTTCGAGCAGTCTGAAGCGTGTACTCTGCTTCATCACCTGCAGCGTGGGCTACATGCGATACCATGACCTGCGCCTTGAGTCCTTGGTAGAGTTTCAGCGTCTGTTGCTGAGCCTTGGCCTTTTCTTTGTAGGCTTCAGAGAGTTCGTGGTTCTTGTCTTCGAGAGATATCTGCTCTGCTTGCATGGCTAGAAATGTCAGGCGTAAAGTCCAAAGACAAAAGCAAGATTATGATACCTTGCATCTTTGCCTCCAGGACTTTAATCTGCGAGTTGGCATCGTGAATGACTTGATCCATCTGCTGGCTTAGCGTGTTGTACTTTTCGGTCAACCCCTTTGCGAGATGCTCCTGATAGACAATTTCCTGTGAAGTTTGGTAGCTATGAAATGCCAAACCACGACTAGCACATTCCATGATGAGGGTCGGACTGAGACCGCTGAGCACTGACGTCTTGTAGTCTTCGGAGGGGTTGAGGCCTGCAATAACTACGTCGTCTGGATTGTGGAGTGATGCACTGCATGCTGGGCACGTCCGTTGTGTGCTCGTCGAGCTCGAAAGTCCGGTGCTATCTGCGCAGTGGGTGCAGAAGACATGACTTTGGAATGTTGTCAGCAACCTCAGTGCATAGGAGGAAAGTGCAAAGGACGAACCTGCAAGTGGTAACGACAGCACTGTCATGCAGCTGTGATCGGCACTTCAACTGATTGCAGCGTAAAACAAACTCCATTCTGCTGGCTGAGTTTAGGTGTCAAGAAGTTTGAAGTGTGCTGGATGAAGAAGGTACCATCTTGAGGCGCAAACACGTGAGCAGCAGGCCTGAGGCAAGAGCGACCTGGTGTGCAATGCCCGTCTAAGAGGGTAACTTATTCTATGCCTATGATGTGGTATCTTGCTGTGCATAGACAAAAAAGAGAGTTGAGCACAAGAAGCCATGGTGGCTTATACAGTTCCAGCTATCGATCGTCCTTGTCAGGCTTACGCCGTTGTCTTGTCGACTTTTTCCCAGCTACTGCTGTCTCGTCCTCTTCTTCATCCCGACCCTTAGCCAGGTCTTGATCGAGACCCCATTCTTCATTGTCGTACCAGTCTTCGCCGTCGCTCATTTCCCCTACATGGGCTTCTGCTTTGGACCACTTAAAGACGTCCTGTCTCATGCGGTCGGCCTGCAGCAGACCCTGGTACAGGTCGGACGTGATACGCGCGACTTCCTCCTGTTTTTGTATGTATGCCATAAGTAGCATGCGCGCATCCTCAGCCTGCTGAGATGGAAGACCGAAATCACGGTCCGGCAATGAATCGGTAGGGTGTATGAAAAGCGGGTGTATGCGACTAGACGGCGATTGAGGCGGCGAGGGAGTCGACGCTGCGTGCGCTCGAGCTCGTGTACGCGTCGTCATTCTATGCGTTTGTTGCGATGCTGTATCGGAAACATCTTCGGCCGTGGCAGACTGCGCCCTCTCCCCATTCCCGTCTGTATTTCCTCCGTGCGTCCCATTGGTTACTGCATGTGCTCCATTGACATGGCCGTTGGTCGATCGGTCAGTCCCATTGAGTCGGCCCGCATCTTCCATGTCCACATCTTGAGCGCTTTCTACAGAGTCTTGCATTTCAGCATCAGGAGCTTGTTGCTGCCCCCTCTCTGCGCGTCCGTTTGGCTCCCTCGACCGCGGTTCCCGCATTGGCGCATTGCCCATGGCTGCCAAAGCAGCGGGCGCAAACGTAGAATCGCCTTGTAGTTTTACAATCAGGTTCTTTGCCCGCGCGATTGTGACCTGCTCCTTCCGTGAAAGGACGCCGACTTCGCTTGCGAGGTCCGTGAGGTGCCTGGACGTATATGCTACACTCAAGGCTGGGTGATTGGGCAGATCGGCGGCCGATGTCAAGGGCGCGAGGAGACCTGTATCTCCGGTAAGCTCGTGACCTTTTACCGTCGCTCAGATGGCTACATACTCTCTAGCTGAATGTCTCCGTATGGATTTTCCTCGACGGTTTCCACGTCATCTTCGTCGTCATATTCGTCTTCAATCTCGACAATGTCTCCATCGGCATCGTATCGTGGAGGGTTGCGCTGCAAGATGGATCGCTGGTAGCCGGCGTGCTCAATGCGCTGAGACGGTTAGTCTACTGCGCGCATTCAACCGCGCACGTCTACAAACCTTTTTGTAAGGATGCGGATCTGTGAGAAAGTCGGGGTCGCTGGCGCGCGCATAATGGACTTTGCGCCTCAAATCCTGCTTCTTGTTGCTCAACGTTGTTTCCGAATCTTCCGTGTCGGCTGAGGGACGTTAGCGAAGCTATAGCAGAGGCAAATGCAGCCTTACAGTCGTCTCTTCGCAACATCTTCCTCTTCATACTGAAGATGGTGTCCAGTATTTGCTGCTGTTGGCCCGCCATTGTCTTGACGGCCTCAAGCCTGTGCGCGCCGAGAGTGGGTGGATGTAGGATAAGTGAGGATGGAAAAATGGAAGGAATAGGGCTACGCTCGGATATGCACACCACCGGCAGAAGAAAAAGACGCGTAGACTGTATGAGCAGTATCGCCAGAAGCTTGTCGCGAAGCTGGTGCTGTGCGGACGATTCACTCGGCGGATCATTCGGCGGGAGAGAGGGCTGACAGGGTTCACCCTAGCGTCATCATCACTCCCGCGCCCGCAATTCACCCAGGCCGACCGCCGACCGCCGACCGCGGATTGACATGCCCGCTACGAGTATTCCACCTGCAGCAAACACGCAGCACTGCATCTTCTTGAGTCATCATCCTGAGATAGATCATCCGAGGCTTTGCGATTGGCAGCCGACAATCACTTGCAACATCGCGCCACCTCCACCCCTCCTTTGCTCAGCGGCCTCGAACTTGGGAATGGAGCGATAAACTTGGTGCAGCGTTATGGAGGCATATCCTTCTGACTTTGTAGTTCACAACCTACCCTTTATAGTCCTCTCTGGTCTAGCGACTAACAAGGAGCTTGATCCCCCTCGTCCAGTGCAAGATGTCCTCCCAGGCCGGGCTGTCACAAACATCAGCTCCGACATTCCACCCGTAACTAGTGAACGCGCATCTGAGCTACTCCACGAGTTTCTCAGTGCAGATGGCACCAACGCTCCCTGGAACGGACGGAGCTTTAGTCGCAGAGGGATCACACATGGCTTCCGGATACGGAGCGTAGGAAGAGTACAGCCGCCTGCGCACCTACACCACCACCGAACGACGGGCTGATGTTTGCTAGACCTTCCAATTGCCCCCCAAAAAGGCGAACGCGCCCACAAACTCCGAGACGACACCTCCGAACAGTCCAGCCATTGCAGCCGCAACATCGTGGGTTCTGCATTCACCCATATCCCCACTTTCGCCAGGCTCTCCCTCTTTCCCCGATGGCGTAATTTCTCCCGCGTGGGTCTCGAAGCATCAGCACTATGTTCCCTCCGTATACATATCCTTCTTCGACTTCACTACAGACCCCATCACAAACAGTCTACATGACAACCAGTTGAAGACGGAGATCAACAAGATCAAGGGCCAATTACAAAAGTCTGACTATCGTATCCGACATGTGGTGGTGCTATTGAGTGATAAGACCATACTGGAGGCACCCGAGATTGAGGATAGATTAGCCGTCATACGCCGGGCTACTGGCTTGGACCCCAAGAATTCACTTTTCTTCCTACCACCGCGAACGTCTCGAGTCGAGTTAGAAGCCTTTGTCACTTCTGTTTTAGCCATCCTGCAACCCATTTGCGTCGAATACTACAGAGACCTTACAAAGCATGCCCGGAGAAAGAAGAATCGGGGTACCATTCCTCCTCCCACTGCTCCGCCTACGCGTGGGACTTCTCAGACCTTGTCTTACCCTGGATGGGGGATTCGTTATGACTTCAAGCTCGGCATCTTCGCAGAGTTCCGCCAGGAAATGGATGCTGCCCAGCGTCACTACAGCGTTGCTTTGGAGTCTTTGTTTGGCCCCGAAGGCTTGTTTGAAACTACTGCGAGCTGGTCTCCCAGATGGGACGAGATACGGCTGCTGGCAGACATCATCGCGCTACGGCACATCCGGTGCCAGCTATGGAACAACTATCCTACTTCAGCAGTTCAGACGTGGTTAAGATACAAGGAGAGGTTACAAGACGTGCTTGATCGCCGGGGTAAGGGAACTGCAAATTACGGTTGGCAAGCATGGGAGTCAAGGTGGGCCGCGGCAATGGCGCAGATTGTTCAGCGGGCAGAACTGCCAATCTTCAAGATAAGAGATCCTGCCCAAGAGACAGATCTTTTGATGGACATCCCGAGCGCATTGTATTCACAGCCTGAAAAGCAATTCCCGATAGGAGAAAGGATGCCTCCATGGGAGCTTTTGCACCATGCCGGCTATTGGCACAAAGTCGCAAGCGACCATGCGAAAAGGCGCTATCTACTCGCGAGGGATATGCCCGAAGACGACAGAGTCCCTCCAGGCATGTCGCCTGCTACAAAGGTTTCTAATCGGAACCAGATCTATGATTACTACCTCGTTCCACATCCGCATGAGGAGTACCCCATGCCTGGCGTTGGCAATGGATTTGAGCATTGGAGAGACATCTCGGGCAAGCTCAACGCCGCCATAGCAGAGTTTCGAACCCGAGGACAGCTTCGGAAGGTGGACCAGCTGCAGCTAGAGGTTGCTCGAACACTTCTGCATGTCAACAGGTTCGGAGATGCCTTCAAGGTTCTACGCCCACTCTGGGAGACAATGGCCTGGAGGAAAGAAGGATGGTGGGTTTTGACTTCAGAGGTGGTATGGGCCTTGCATGAGTGTGCACTACGGACAAAAAGTCTGGAAACTTTTGTGGCTACGGAATGGGAGTTGCACAGTCGAAGTAAGTGTTCGGTTGCTTCCTACTGCTTACATGATTCTAATATTGTTCAGCGATTCCTGGCAAGACTAAATACAAATACGACCTAATGAAATGTCTGGACCCACTGTGGAGCGAGGGAAGTGACAAAGTGAGCGTGAGTCTGAACGTCAAGGACCACCTATCCTGCTGTATGTGCACACCTCCTTACCTCGAGACAAGACTGACTTTGCAGTGCATACATCCTTCGCTTTCTCCGAAGCCGAGGGCAACGTGGGTGAACCACTGCAGTGTCAGATCGCTATTACATCCAATGCTCGGCAAGGTTCTGCTCCTGTTACCTTGTCATCTCTACAATATCAATTTAACGGTGGTCTGGCTGAAGTACGGTTGACTCACGGCGAACAAGATGCAGCTCATAGCGCTTCGATAATGTACTCATGTACGTTAGAAGAGACTCATTCGACTACTTGCAAGCCAAGATGGGAGGGGGTCTCCGATCTGACTCTGCATGCTGGCCAGACCAAGGTGTACAATTTTCCAATTGTTTTCCGCGAGTCAGGCGATGTAGATGTGGGAACATGTGTATTTGAAGTGAGCACAGGGAAGTTCAGCCTGATCTGCTCAGACACTGACCCCGATATCACGGCTCGTCCGCTGTGGTGGATCAAATCAGACACGAAGATCAAGTCAAGAGCGTTGAAACAAGGATCTGGCACATCCGTTCATATTCTGCCGAAGCCGCCGAAGATGGAGATCAGTCTTCCAGAAGTCCGGAATCAATACTACACAGACGAACCCGTTACCTTGGCCATCGAAATACTGAACCAAGAAGAGGAGGATACCGAAGCTGTGCTCGAGGTACGACTCTTGGGTCGCTCAAAAGATACTCTTGCCTACACATGGGTGGAACGCCCAGCATCTTCGCCAATGAAAGAAGTGCCCCCTCCACTCGACGGATCAGCAGACATGGACCTTCCCGGACACGTCGTAGGCCAACTAGCTCAAGGCGCGCGAACAACGGAGAAAATCCGCTTCACGGCGCCCCCAGACCCAGCCGACTACGCGCTCGAAGTAAAAGTCCTCTACCACGTCCTCAGCGACCGTGACATACCCATCTCCAAGATCCTTGTCACCGACCTCGTCTTCAACGCCCCCTTCGAAGCCAGCTACGACCTCAACGCACGCGTACACCCGGATCCCTGGCCCAGCTACTTCTCCCTCACAGAAGCCGAGTCTACCGCGCCTCCCAACCCAGAATCTCCGGACGCCTTCGGCATAGCCCAAAAATGGGGCCTACGCGCCAAAGTCGCCTCTTTCGCCGACGAGCAACTCATCGTCTCTGACCTCTGCGTCAAAGTCCACAGCATCCACGGCGGCGCCACATGCGACGTAACCAAGGAATTTACCAACGTCTCTCCTACAGAGATGGACCCCCACATCCTCACCGAATGGAGCTTCAGCCTCGACGTACGTAAGAATAATCTCGAGGAACGACGGGCTACCGCGCTAGATACTACACTCGATATAACGTGGCGTCGTACGTCGGACCCTAGCGCTCCCCTAGTCACATCCTCCCTACCCATCCCCCGCATCCAGATTCCCTCCTCGGAACCCCGCGTCCTAGCCTCTTCCACCCTCTCAGACGAAATCCCCTGCCTTGTGCACCTAGACTATTATCTCGAGAACCCCACTATGCACTTCCTTGTGTTCGAGCTCGCCATGGAGGCGAGCGAGGATTTTGGGTTTAGTGGCGCCAAATTGAGGACGCTGCATTGTTTACCGATGAGTAGGATGGTTGTGAGGTTTAATTTGCTGGTGGGTGATGCCGAGGATGGCAGCAGTGGTAAAGATGGTGAAGGGGATGGGGGCAGGTGGATTAATCCGTGCTTGAAGGTGATGGATCGATATTTCAATAAGAGTCTCAAGGTGCAGGGGACCGAGGGTATGAGGGTGGATGCGAAGAAGGGGGTGGGGATATGGGTGCCGGCTTGGAAGGGGGATTGAGGTGGGGAGAGTTGAGGTTAGACAAGGGAATGGGAATGATAAGTTTGATGATCTGTTATGTGTATTCTGCTTCACTGTACCGAAATCTCCTCTGGTTCTACAGTACGACACCCTTCTATCTCTATAACTGCAAACGCGATGCAACACGGAAGACTTTAGTATATTCGTTTCCCAACAACTTATCTCATCGTCACCCTACCACTTTCACCCCCCACTTCCCTCGCCTAACCCCTTTAGTCTAGTAACCGGATCCCTGCCAGGAAGTACATTCCTGAAGAAATCCCCATCTTGTTCATACCAGGGAATCTTTACCGCGACATATCCCTCCCCAGCCACGGCTCCAGCAACGACACCGTCTAAACAAGCCTGCCCCCTTGATTAGTCAACTAAACCAGCCCGCCCATCTCAATCGACTCAAACCTACTGTGACAAGCCCAGTCCCACCACACCGCCATCACCCGAATAAACTGGCGTTTCGAAATCTGTAGCTGCGTAGTTTAGAATCGTGGGGTCAATGTCTGGTATCTGCGTCGTCATCGTCGTCGTTGTCGAAGGTCGATTTGATTGTTGTTGCTGCTCCGCCCCGGACGCTCGCTGTGGTTGTTGTGTTTGGTCGACCTCTACAATCTTATCCTCCTGCACACGTACTTCGCGATCCCGCAATCTACGCATAAGACCGAGGAACTGCGAGTTTTGGAACTTCTCGCTCGTGTTATCGGCGACACGCTCGAGGAGACGGGCTGCTGTTTCGGCCATTTCATCGTCGGTGTTGGGAGGGGGTTGTGAGTCTTCTTCTTGTTCTGGCTCAGGGCGTTGGAGTATGTGTTCGTGGACTGGGGTGCGTGTGTAGCCTGCTTCTTCGATATCTTGCCATATTTGCTCTTGGCTCATAGGGACGCGGGTGCCGAGGGGGTATTGTGACATGAGGCGCTGGTTGATTGCTTTGATGAGTTCCTCAGCTCGGGTCTTGACTTGTTCGGGGGCGTCGCGGTTGACGATGCGCTGGAGGGAGTCGACGATCCAGATGGCTTCGTTTGCGTCTTGAACTAGGCTGCCGCTTCTTTCCTGGACGGTCATGTTGTCGAGGTATGCGACTGCTTCTGAGGTGCGGCCGAGGCCTGTTTCGCTCCAGACTTGAATGGCGGAGTAGACGGCTGCGAGGGGAAAAGTTGGTTAGCAAACTGTAGTACTGCTTGACAGATACTACACACCTGGCCGCGTTTCTTGTATCCGTCGAAGAAGAGGATCCATCTCACCCGTCCGATCCAGATTCAGCGTTTCTGACGCTGCCTGTGCTTGGCTTTGCTCCGCCGAGGCTACCTCCATCATGTCCTGTTGGGCTTGGGCGAATGCTTGTTCAAAAGCCGCCTCATCGAAGGTGGGTACTTCGTCTTGCGCGCGCTGCTTTCCTTGGGCCGTCTCGGAATGTTGGGCACTCTGGAAAGATGGCGTTTGCATGAATGCTTGTCCTCGGAATCCTCCACCAATACTGTACCCAGACATGCCCCCATATATGTTCTGTTGCATGACAGGGGCCTGCGCAACTGGCGCCTGCTGCTTCAAAAAGTCCTGATGCCATGCTGACGCCGCGTTCGCCGCCTGCGGTCGGTGTGGTTGGAATGTTTGCGGAGATTGACTGGAAATGTTCAAGTGCTGGAAGTCTGCAGCCCAGTCGGGTACTTGAGGTTGCTGCGCAAAGTGTGGAGGAGGTTGTGCGAATCGGGGGCCAAAGTGTTGCAACTCCTGTGGCGGCGGAACTGGTCGTCCAGCTTGAAAGGCGTCAAACTCGGAATCAAGTGCGCCAGCATTTGCGCTTGGTGCTGATCGGAAGCCCTGCACGATTGTCAAACTTCAGCCTTAAAACTTCTTCACATGTGACTACACACCTGCGCTGGTGAATGTCTCCCAACCAAGCGGTCCTGTTGTAAAGTCCGGTCGACAGTTGTGTGTTTCTGGAAGTTTTGAAGGGCGTTGGAAGGCCCGCAAAGCGCGTCGGCCATGTTGAATCAAGATAAAATCAAAAGGGGTATCAAAGCATGCTAGAATAGAATGTAGGAGAGTTGTTGATGTTGGCGCGAACGGTTCCCAGGTTTCCTTCACGTTCCGACCATAGTTATGCCGAGGCTCCCGCTGAATGCGGGCCGGACTCTTCCCCACGTCCCCCCCCCGTAGAAACGTGACGAGCGAGCACGTGGTGCGCCTCATGCCCGATACGAGTCTTTATACAGCTGTCGTGTGAGGCATCTCGCAGCATCTCAGCTATCGTCACTCTGCTGCCACGTACAATGTCAGCCTAAGCTGCAAAGCGGTAGCACAGTATCGGCGGTCAGCAGCTGAAGTGTCGTTGAGACACAAGCGTCACACAAGCTTACAGAACAACGAAGAAATGTAGCTTGCGCTTACGAGATGGTCGCGTGATCGAATGATACCCATCACAAAATTACCTACGCGACAGAAACATGGGCAATAAACTTCAAATACCTATATGCGGAAGACTAAAGAAACTTGGTATATCCTAGAGAAAATACAAGAGGCCGTCATACATACATTCGTCAAAGACAAAGCTCATTTCAATGCAAACCCATCAATAGGTCCATTACCTCAAAAACATATCCCCAAGGTTCACATTCCTAGAACCACCCCCGACCCTGGAGCGGGACCTAGACCTCTTGCGCACGAACGCGTACTCTTTCCTGCCCTTCCTGTCGTGTCCCTCTGCCTCGATGAAGAGTGTGCTGCCATGATGTGAGCGTAGACGACGAGTGTGTTCGAACAGAATATCCGTATCGCGTTGCGACATTTCCCGGAGGATGATGATGTAATTTGGGTCCTGTTATGTGTTAGCGTTTGAGAATAGACCGCGGTGGAAATACAACTTACCATGTCGTACTCGTACGGAATGTTATAATAGTGCAGTGTCTCGACGTCAAGATGGCTCGTGTGAACTTTGGCATACGTAGGTGCAGGCGCAATAGCAATCGCCTGATGCTGGTGGTGATGGTGATGATGAGCAGGAGGAGGAGAGGGTGCAGCTTGCTGGAGTGGATAGTTCGGCAGCATGCCCTGCTGCAGTTGTTCCTTCTGCTTCTCAGGGTTGACCAGAACTTGTATCTGGTTTTCTTGGAATCCAAACTGAGAAAGTCTCTTGCGCATAGCCTCCTCGAGCTCCTTTTCCTGCTCCTCTTTCTTCCTCTTCTCTTCCTCTTCTCTCTCCCTCTGCTTACGCAGAAAGTTGTCATATTCTTCCTTTTCCTTGCGCTTCTTCTCCTCTTCCTCGAGTTTGAGCTTCAGGAGAAACTCCTCACGTGCCTTTTTCTCCTTCTCTTCGGTCAGAATCTTTCTGCGTTCGTACTCGAAAATGATGCGTTCTTGCTCTGCTTTAGCTTCGGCCTCTTCTTTGGCCTTCTTCCTCTGGTAATCTTCGACTGCACGCAGCTGTGCCTCTTGCGCCTCCTTGGCTTGTTTGGCCATCTTTGCTTCATTCTCGGCGATGATGCGCTTGCGCTCTATTTCCATGGCCTTTTCCCGGGCCTCACGCTCTCGCGCTTCCTTCTCCATCTTGGCCGTGTTCTCCGCAATGATGCGTTGGCGCTCTTCTTCCTCGCGTTTCTTCTTCTTTTCCATGGCAGTCAAAATCTTTTCGCGCTGCTCCTCAGCTTCACGTTCTTCCCTTGCTTGCTTTGCGCGGGCTTCTGCGAGGATGTGCTTGCGCTCCTCTTCGTGCTCACGTTTCTCCTTCTCCAGCTTCACCAGAACCTTCTCGCGTTGCTCTGCTGCATCGCGGTCTTCCCTCGCTTGCTTTGCGCGGGCTTCTGCGAGAATGTGCTTGCGCTCCTCTTCCTGCTCGCGTTTCTCCTTCTCCAGCTTCGCCAGAACCTTCTCGCGTTGCTCTGCTGCCTCGCGGTCTTCCCTTGTTTGCTTTGCGCGGGCTTCAGCCAGAATGTGCTTACGTTCTTCCTCCTGTTCTCGTTTCTCCTTCTCCAGTTTCGCCAAGATCTTGTCACGCTGTTCCTCAGCCTCCCTTTGTTCCCTAGACATCTTGGCCCTACTTTCAGCGAGAATTCGTTTGCGTTCCTCTTCTTGTTGTCGCTTCTCTCTCTCAATCTTATCCAAGAGCCTATCGCGCTGTTCCTCGGCCTCTCGCTGCTCTCTCGACATCTTTGCCCTGTTTTCGGCGATGATAGCAGCGCGCTTCTTCTCTTCTTCAAGCTCTCGTCGTTCACGATCTCGCTCCTCCCTCTCCCGCTTCAACTCCCAATCACGATGCAAATGCTCTTCTTGCCTCCTGATGCTCTCTTCCTCATGCTCACGCTCCCTCATGTCCTTGATATAATCAAGCTCTAGTCGGCGTCTCATTAGCTCATCACGCATTGCCCTCTCCTCCTCCTGACGCTCCCTCTCCAGCTTCTCTTCGGCTTCTCGGAGCCGCTGTTGTGAAACCGCTAGCTTCACCTTGTCCTCGTAGCTATGATCTGGTGAGTGCTGACGTTGACGCTCCAGACGCTCCATCTCAAGGTCCTTGACCCGTTGCTGGGCCATGGTCAACTGGATTCTATCTTCATAGTTACGTTCGGGTGAGTGGTGGTGTCGCTCTCGCTCTCTCTCAAGTTTGCTTTCGAGCTCCTTGACGCGTTGTTGAGCAGAGAGCAGCTGGAATTTGTCCTCATAGCCGCGGTCGGGTGAATAGTGCCGCCGCTCTTGCTCTTTCTCAAGATCCTTCACACGCTGTTGAGCGAGAGTCAACTGGATTTTGTCTTCGTAGTTGGACTCGGGCGAGTGGTGATGACGTTCATACTCGTGCCTAGAGCGCGAACGATGCTCCCTTTTCAAATCTGCTCTCAACTCGGCAATATCATCTTCGAGTTCAAAAGCACCGGGAATGGTGCGCTTTCCCTCATATCTACCGCGGGGACTAGCCTCCGGGGCCTTTGTTTCGGCGCGCACTTGCGGACTACTTTCGTTGTCCATACGGGTCGTGTTGTAGATGGTTACGTGAGGAGCTGGCGCATGACCCTGCGAACGCGTACGGTGAAGTCCAGTCGTGTAGTGGACTTGAGGAGCGAGAAACTCACTCGTGCGGCGGCCATAGTCGGGACGAAGGTTCTCGTCGTCTCGTACTGTTCGCGGTGGGAGCTTGGGCGCAGAAGAATGAACATGACGAGTGCTAGCAGTCACACGGTCTCTGGTCGTGTACCACTCGTCATCTTCTCCGTATCTGCTATCCCACTCGTCTCGTTTGGGTGGCATGGCTGGAGTGAGAAGGGATCGGGGTGTTTTGTGGAAAAACAAATTTCAGTGACAGGTTGAACAAAGGTCAGAGTTGTCGAAACACAGAAGCAATCAACCCGATATGTTTTGTGTGTGGTCTCAGTGGCGGCGTGAGACAGCACAGAGCGGGGTGGTGATCAGACGCCGATGAGCGGCACAGCAGCAAGACTGACGAAGCACAAAGCGGGTAGGTAACGTAAGAGTGCGAGAAAGAAAGCACTGGAAAGTGCGGCAGCAGAGAATTTGAGAGAAACCGTCCTCATGTTGCATTTGGGGGCTGAAATGCTCCCGCGATGCAGCTAGTCATCAGGCAGCCGCCAGGGCTGAATGAGGCCGGGATCTCTCATGCACTGGTCTGGTGGACACCAATGTACCTATGGCTATCTGCGGGTACACTATACGCTGCCGTACACATGCTCACACTGCAGCTGTGTAGCTCAGAAACGCTGTGATGGCACCGAGGGCGGTGTTTACTGCATGCTGCGTGTAGACGCGCGAGAAGAAGATGGTGGGGCAAGTCTCCAATTGTAGCACTAACCAAGACGCTTACCTACCTCTTTCCTCCTCCAGCCCCCCAGGGCGGAGTGCTTGTGATATACTTCGGTGCCGCTTGTTGCTCGCTGAGTGGTAGCGGCAGAATCAAAGCCCGGCCCATTCCCCATCTCATCGGCGTGGTACCGCTGTTATCAGCCTCATAGCGATCATTACCGTCTATGGATGCGAGCTGAGCGCGAACACATGATCCGTTGGATGCCGTTGCTCAACACACTTTCGCTTCATGGCAATTTCCGTTGTGGCGCGCTTCAGGGCACATGTCCAACATCAGAGGCGGCTCATGAAACAACACGCTCGCGCGTCCGGCTGCTCGGGACTGGCTCTACGTCTGCTCGGCACACAAAGACAAAGAGCAACATCAGTTTATGACCATGCAGTCATCCACTCAATCCTCATACTGAGCACACTTCTCTCGTCTGTATTGCAGGATGACTTTATGTCACTGGTGCACATAAGCAGCAACTTTTGTTGTTGTTGTTGTTGTTGTTGGTCCCGCAGTGGGAAGTGGTATCTCTACCATGTCGTTATTTTGGTTATCGCCTAGCGACTGCTCATAAAGACGTCAAACCGTTAACCACCGCCAAACCGCCTGTCATGATGGTGCATACTCTTCGTCAAATGGTCATAAAATGGCCTGCAATCAGCGGCGCATCTACAACTTTTGCATGGCAACAACGTCGGTGGACTGGACGTGGTCCTCGTCCTCCTCAATCTGTGCCTGGAGGTCGTCCAGCGACACCTTATCGTCCTCGATGACAACGTTAAGCTGGAGCTTCTTGATACCGAAACCGACGGCAACAAGCTTAGAGCCACCCCAGACGAGACCGTCCTTCTCGATAGCGAGAACGTTGGCCTTGAGCTCCTCCATGTTGGTCTCGTCGTCTATGAGGAGTTAGTGAAATGTACTATAGTAGATCTGTGAGAAAACATACCCCATGGCTTGACGTCGAGGGTGACGATAGACTTGGCAGCGGGCTTTGTCTTGCCAGCCTTCTTCTTGTTGTACTCGGCCAGACGCTCCTCCTTGATCCTGGCAGCCTCGGCATCCTCCTCCTCGTCGTCGCTGCCGAACAGGTCGACCTCGTCGTCGTCTTCGTCCTCAGCCTCCTTCTCAGGGGCCTTGGCGGGGTTCAGGGTGAGCTCTGAAGACTCGGGGCCGTAGGCAGTGAACTCCTTGGTTGGGTCACCAGGAAGGGAGTCAAACTCGCCCTCGAAGGTGAGCATGTGGTTGTACCAGCGCCATGCGTACGGGTACTTCTCTGGCGCGGGAACCTCCTTGATCTGCTGGAAGACCTTGACATCGGCCTGCGATGGGGTGTAGCTATGCCTTGTTAGCCGATGACTCCTCCATAGTACCTGAGTGAGATGCAGCGGAAACAACAAGTAGATCAGAGGTGCGACAAGCGCTTGGGTTTGTATTCAGATAGCGGGGTCTTAAGCCGCCTCATTAACACGGACCAAATGTTCTCATCATGAAAAGGCTGGAGGTGCGACGCGATGCAAAGGGGGGAACATAACGCGGAATCGAGTTTGTGTATGGTGGGGTAGTAACTTACCCAATAATGTAGCTGCGAGTCTTGACAAAGTTGTTCAGGAGTGTCAGGCCTGCTTCGGAAACGAGGTCGGTGAAACCCATGGTTGCAGTGGTGTGGATTGCGTTTATGGGATGGGAGAAGAGAAGTTGTGGGTGGTGGGAGAAGGAGTCAATGGTTTTTCTGCTGGCGGAGGGAGATTGCTATTCGGATTTTTACGCACGGATCCTGGCGCTAGCACGTGTTAGCGCATTTGCCGTCCAGATGTCGAGCACTGCCCGCACATGGACGCGGGCACCACGACCAAAACCTTTATGCATCTGCATTGTTTGGAGTATTCCTACGCCAATTTGTGTCCTCGCGCTGCTCTAGACTTTGGTTTGTAGTAGTGGTGTCATCGTGATCTCGACAGGTGCGGCTCGTGAACGTAGAAGAACATCGAATCACCGCGCAGCTTCGGGGAAGCCTGTGCTCTCGCCATCAATCACGAATATAATGAATCCATTCCCAGCTTCTTCCAATTGATATTTGCTTGTTTTCTGACTCAATATCATCATGCTGATCAGTAGAGCACGCATTGCCGCAAGGCGTGTCGCATCCCCCTCCATTTCACCATCACTTCCCATCCGCACATCGCCGCTGTGTCTCAATGCGTCCACAGCACGAACGTCGCAGCAGCAAAAGCTTTTCCGGTCGCTTATATCGTTACGAGGATATGCGAATGGAGGCCGGCCACACCCTCCCGGTGGAACCCACCGCATGAATCTAGGTGGTGAGCCGGAAAAGGCTGCGCTGGAGCAATACGGAGTGGACCTCACAGCACGGGCGCGAGATGGCAAACTGGATCCAGTAATTGGGCGAGACGGGGAAATACAGCGTACAATACAGATTCTGTCGCGACGAACGAAGAACAATCCTGTCTTGATCGGTTCCGCTGGAACTGGAAAGACAGCAATTCTCGAAGGCCTAGCCCAGCGCATTGTGAAGGGTGACGTGCCTGAATCGATCAAAGACAAGCGCGTCATCTCACTCGACCTCGGCTCACTCATTGCTGGTGCAAAATTTCGGGGTGATTTCGAAGAACGACTGAAGAGCGTCCTGAAAGAAGTCGAAGAAGCTAACAAGGGCGTCATTCTGTTCGTTGACGAGCTGCACACACTTTTGGGTTTGGGCAAGGCAGAGGGCAGCATCGACGCCAGCAACCTCTTGAAGCCCGCTCTCAGCCGCGGAGAGTTGCAGCTATGCGGCGCAACAACACTCAATGAATACCGACAAATTGAAAAGGACGCAGCACTTGCAAGACGATTCCAGCCTATCGTTGTTGGAGAGCCTACCGTTCAAGACACCATCTCTATATTGCGCGGCATCAAAGAGCGATATGAGGTCCACCACGGTGTACGCATTACCGACAATGCGCTAGTTGCTGCGGCTGCGTACAGTAATCGATACATCACCGACCGTTTCCTACCCGACAAGGCCATTGACCTGGTAGACGAGGCCGCGAGTGCCCTCCGGCTACAGCAGGAGAGTAAGCCAGACGCGATCCAGGAGCTCGATCGACAAATCATGACTATTCAGATTGAGCTAGAATCACTCCGCAAGGAGACCGACATCGCAAGCAAAGAGCGCCGGGAACGACTGGAGCAATCCTTGAAGGAGAAGCAGGATGAAGTCAAGGTCTTGACTGAGAAGTGGGAGAAGGAGCGCAAGGAGCTCGATGAGATCAAGAATGCACAAGAAAATCTCGAAAGGGCGAAATTGGAGCTCGAACTGGCCCGCCGAGAAGGCAACTTTGCTAAAGCTGGTGAGCTTCAGTACAGTAGGATCCCCGAACTGGAACAGAAGCTTCCCAAAGATGAGGAGGTGACGGCTGGAGCGAGCCGACAGGGCTCCCTACTACACGACTCTGTAACTGCGGACGACATCGCTTCTGTCGTCTCCCGCACAACCGGTATTCCGCTATCCAAACTCAATGCGGGAGAAAGCGAGAAGCTCATACACATGGAAGACACCTTGCGCCAGTATGTGAAGGGTCAAGATGATGCCCTGATATCTGTGGCGAATGCTATTCGTCTCCAAAGAGCTGGCCTTTCCGGCGAGAATAGGCCCATCGCTTCTTTTATGATGCTGGGACCAACAGGTGTGGGAAAGACCGAGGTATGCAAGAGATTAGCCGAATATCTCTTCAGCACGCCCCAAGCTGTCATCCGGTTCGATATGAGCGAGTTCAGTGAGAAGCACACCGTTTCACGCCTCATTGGTTCTCCCGCTGGCTACGTTGGGTACGAGGACGCCGGTCAACTCACAGAAGCCGTGCGACGAAAGCCTTATGCGGTACTTTTGTTCGACGAATGGGAGAAGGCACACAAAGACATCTCGACGCTACTCCTGCAGGTCCTTGACGAAGGCTTCCTCACAGATGCACAGGGCCACAAAGTTGATTTCCGCAACACCATCATTGTCATGACATCCAACCTAGGAGCTGATATCATTGTTGGCGATCAGAGCCTGCATGCTGTTGAAAAAGACTCCAGCGAGATCTCGCCGGAAATCCGGAACGCTGTCATGGACGTGGTCTCCGCAACATACCCACCCGAATTCCTCAACCGCCTTGATGAGTTCATCATCTTCCGTCGTCTGTCCCGCGAAGCGCTTAGAGACATTGTGGATATCCGTTTGAAGGAACTTCAACAGCGACTGGACGATCGTAGGATTGTCTTGGAGTGTCCCGATGAGGCCAAACAGTGGCTTTGCGACAGGGGATATGATCCGAAGTTTGGCGCCCGACCGCTGAACAGGCTCATTGCGAGGGAGATTGGTAACGGCCTGGCGGACAAGATCATAAGAGGCGAGATACGCACTGGTGATACAGCCAAGGTTTCTATAAAGGAAGATGGCACAGGCCTGACTGTAGCTGCTTCTGCTTGATGTGGCATGACTAACGATGATACGACTGTAAAATACACTGTAGACAATTACAGCACATGTACATAATGTAGCATAATCGGCATTTGTAGGTAGCCAGTTTCTTTTCTCTGGAGATTGCATAAATTCAGAATACCCTGCTCATACTCATGCCCATATTTCTACATTTTTGTCGCGGCAGGCACGCGTCACGCGAGCGCTCCTTCGCAACTTCTTCTAGTACAATACCCGTCACTCACCTCAAGTACACGAACACCAGCAACACTCTCGGTGTTATTCGACCGCAAGAATGCCGCGCAAACTTCCCGTCAAGCAACCTTATCGGCATAGAGGAAGTCGCAGCAGCGCTGCTTCGCACAGTAACCGCACAGTCAATTCCTGGAGCACTTCCAGCTCCAAGTCGGCCAGGCGTCCATCTATCACGCCCTCAGCTGCCACTTCGCGCTGGCGCTCACATATTCACGTCCAGGATAGGTCGCTTCCAGACGAGACGTCGCTCAACACTCGCTCTGAAACACTAGATGTAATCAACGGCAACGACGATACTTTGAATGAAACCATCATGACCGTCGATCTGACGCAACGCGGCACAGTGGGGTGTTGCTATTATGTAGCAAGAGACGAAAAGATGTATTTCATGGAAGATATACAATGCGGTGACATCGACATCGTGGAGTCATGTGCGTGTTGTTAGCTTGGCACACAGGTACTTGACTAATGACACACAGTAAAAACTTTCATCGAGCCTACAGTGATCTTGGTCTCTACTAAGATTGATGACAAGGTGATCGAGTGCTTCGACCCGGAAGCCAGGAGCGGAGAGTCTAGCAGCGGTGACAACGACCAGTTTCGTTTCCCTTATCTACTCGAAGTGAGGCCCCCGAGCGAGTTTTACTACGACTCAGCAAGAACCAAGCTAGTAGCCCTTCGACTGGGCGAAGAGAATGGTACACGTGTCAGATTCAACGTTCCGGGAGAGCTTGCTGCTGCGAACCACCATGAAGAGGAGAGCTCTGCCGGCCAGCAAGGGCAATTACTCCGCCTCGCAGGGTGGATCGACCTTGAAAGCCGCTCAACAGTATGGAGGACCTCTCTTTTAGTATATTTTTACTGATGTATACATAGGTAGGCTGCGCTGGCGCACTGATATCGTATATACAACGCCGACGTGCTGCCTCGTATCTACCGGGTGATCACACTGCCCGCCTGATGTTTCGTGTCGTAACTCTGGAGATGTTCACGATTCGTGAAACGATGTTTATCAATTCTGATACGCTGCACTCTTTACAAATAATGGGTGCCGAATCTCATCCACGTTCACACAACAAAGGCCCGACTAAAGCTAGCTCGGGCGAAAAAGAAGGCCTTTCGGTGTACGGATTATTCCATCATCTTGCAAGAACACCGCAGGGCAGGTTCTTGCTTCGGCAGCAGTTCCTTCGCCCTAGCCTCAACCTTGATATCATCAACGAGAGATTGAACACGGTGGAAATTTTTACACGCCCAGACAATGAGTCAGCGTTGCAAACTATCGTACAAAGCCTGAAGAATATTGGCAACATGCGGGTTGTGATGATCAACCTCAGAAAAGGCGTGGGCGGTTCGACGAAAGGAGCCCGGGGGTTTTCGAAAAGCATATGGACATCGATCATGGCAGTAAGTCACAGTGCGTTTGAAATACTGAACAGATCAATCTGACTGATAAAGTTTGTGTTTCATGCGCTTAAGATCAAAGATACGTTACAAGAAGTACTAGGAGGGGAACTAGTGGTTATCAAGAATAAGGCAAGTCTTCATTCCTACCGCTCAAAAGCGCAAAGCAGTATCACAGAACGAACTTGCCTCAGTACTAATTTTGAAAGGTTTTGACGACGTTTGAAAGCTATCATTTGGCCCAGATCGGAAGAAAAATCAGAGAAACTATCGATCTGAAGAGTTCAGTAGAACAAGGCCGAACGGTCATAATACCAGGCATCGATGAGGAGCTGGACCAAATGAAATTGACTTTGGATAGTCTTGATGACTTTCTCAATCGAGTGGCAAGAAAGCTGTCCGAAAAAATGCCTTCTGACCTACGTGAGTTGTTCTTATCTCGGATATACACCTAAGTTTCACTTTTTACTGGCCATGCACCGCATTTAAAACGTGCAGTGGTACTGATCAGAATAGGCGCAAATTTGAATGTCATCTATTTTCCTCAGATAGGCTTTCTCTGCACGACTCCAGTCGACCCCGAGACTGGTACTGCTGTCTACGATGGCAGCTTCGACAATCCTTGGGAGAGGATGTTCAGTACTGAAGAGCAGGTGTACTTCAAGAACAGCGAGACACGAGAGATGGACGATCACTTTGGCGACGTTTACGGTATCATATCTGATCGCGAGATTGAGATCAGTCATGAGCTTGCTCAACACCTACTGCAATACCAGGAACTTCTAACTTCCTGCTCTGACGTTTGTGGCGAGCTTGACAGTTTGATTGCCCTGGCGCAAGGTGCAAAGAAATATAAGCTCTGTCGCCCTAGCATGACAGATGAAAACATCATACACATCAAAGGAGGACGGTAGGTCTCAAAATCTTGGAATCAGGTTGAGGCTACTAACATTAATAGTCATATACTGCAAGATCTTACAGTATCTTCCTTCATCGCCAATAATACAATTCTAAGAGGCGGAGACGGAGACCCAACACATTCAGGGGCATCTGATCAGCGCTATGCTGCCGACTTCCAGCAGTTCACTAGCTCTTCTAATCGCCATACATATGCGCACAAAGATAATCCAAGCATGCTTGTGTTGACAGGCCCCAATTACTCGGGCAAAAGTGTGTATCTCAAACAGGTTGCCCTGATCGTCTACATGGCGCATATTGGAAGCTTTGTACCAGCAAACAGCGCAAAGATTGGTATAACCGACAAGATACTCTCCAGGGTCACAACTCGCGAGACGGTGTCTCGGATCCAGAGCGCTTTCATGATAGATTTGCAGCAGATCTCGTTGGCCCTGAGCCTGGCTACCCGCCGAAGCCTGCTCATCATCGACGAGTTTGGCAAAGGCACTGAGACCAGTGATGGAGCTGGGTTGGCGTGCGCAGTCATGGAACATCTGTTGAGCTTAGGTCCCGAAAGGCCGAAGGTCATTGGCACTACGCATTTCCATGGTGGATAGCCTTGCTCAATGTACGACCAATTATTGACCCCTGATAGAACTATTCGAGAGGGAACTACTCAAGCCAAGGCCAGCACTTGCTTTCGGACACCTGGAAGTACGCATCGATACAGATGCAGTGGAGGTCAGCGACCAAATAACGTATCTATACAAGTAAGTCGGCTCAGTAAATTGCGTTATGAGTGGACTAAAAGTATGTAGCTTCCGGGAAGGTCGAAGTACTTCAAGCTTCGGTACATGGTGAGTCTGTATGATCCACTCTGGTTTACGATTATTGACATCGAGGTAGCTGCGCTGCAATGAATGGTGTTCCTCAGGAGATAATACAACGTGCCGAAAACCTCATACTTCTTTCAGTGCGAGGTGAGAATCTTGTCGCCGCATGCTGCCAAATGCCAGAAGATGAAACCGCCGAACTCGAAGAAGCGGCAAGTAAGTTAATGCAATGCATGGACGCTTCTAACTTTGATCCAGGAGCAAATCGCAAGGGACTTCCTCGAAGCCGATGTTTATGAAGACCCCAAGACTACATTAGCGGATATACTGACTATCTCCACAACCACGGATTCCCGCAGTTAGCATACGATTACCCGACAAGGTTATGCCTGATTTGGTGAGAATACCTGGGCATCCAAAAGGAGTGTGCAGCATGCGGATTTCCATCAACGTTTCATTCTCAAAGCATTTGTTGCAGTGGTAGATCTTTATGAAAGCCTTCCTACCATGTATCGAATAGATAGCAATCCATCGAGGGACATGATGAATCGATGTTCGCATTCGGATGGCTTTAGCTTGGGTGGCACCCTAACGCCAAGGTGATCTCACGCGCCTAAGCACGCCCGGAATAGTACCGCGCTCCGACGTCAGACACTCCGCACACTCTTTCCACCAACCATAGGCTACAAAAGGATTTCCACACCGCCGGAGCCTTGACCGCCTGATTCTGTCTGCAAAAACATTCCACCACCCACGACATGGTCCAGGTACCCGAATCCTGAGTTGACCATGGGTCGGAGGCCCAACCAACTGATTCTCGAATATTTCGAGCGTGGACCCAAGCTGGAGGATGCAAGCAATCGCTACCAGCATACCTGCAAATCTTGCGGTGAAAAGGTGAGTAACTACATCAAGCCCTTGCGCACTAATGTGATATTTTTGTACTATACACATCCAGAAGTAGCACATGAACTTTGGCTACAAGACTGCAGGCAGCTTTTTTTCTGCGATGAAGGGGGTTCAAATTACAAGTTTTGATGATGAAAGAAAAAGGAGAGTGAAAGGTGATGGCTGACAGCGTCTAGTTTCCCAAAGGTCGCATTGATAGTCTCACCAACCATCTCGTCAAAAAATGTCCCGCCTTACCTCTTCAAGATCGCCAGCGTGCGTTGCTACAAATGCACGAACTGCCCCTCCCCGACAATATGACGCAGACGAACAATGCAAACGCATCTGGAACGAGTCAAATGCAACATGGCCAGGAGATGAACCTCCCATTTGCGCCGTCGAAGCAGCTTTCTGCTTTAGAGACACTGGCAGAGGTATCGCGACAGCATCTGGACCTGAGTGGGAAGCGCATGGCAGAGAAGCAGCCATCGCAAATGCACAACAATAACAACAGCCATAACAATCACCATTCGAGCCACGCGGGACTATTAGAAGAGTTCTTGATACAAGACGATAGGCCAGATGGTTCTGACTTGGGAGGCCTATCGCACGGTCTAGACATGACAAATGCGCCGACCATGCCATCCATGTACCAATTCAACGGGTCACTACATCATTCTCCTTCCACTTCGCCTCACATGGGCCACATGCCTCTCTCGAATTCCAACTCTATGGCGCATATGGTTCCATCGCTAGTCATGGCAGCATCCGCGGCGAACGACTTGATGCCACTAACGAATGGCATGGCTATGGAGTCAGACATGAACCTTTCACATGGTATGCATGGTATATCAGATGGAAAGTTCTTCCACCCGCAAGGACGTGGGCAATGGCCAAATATACAGCCCAATTCGTTGGATCCCATGTTGCAAGATCATGGCAAAGAGCAAATGCAGGCGACTGAGATGCACAAAGGTATGGGCCATCCGCGACCGCTAGCGATGAACCCAGGCAATCAGACTCACTTCACTACTGATTTCAGCATGAACCAGAAGCCTGCAAAGCCCAAGGTTAGGGGTCGCTTCACCGACACTAGGCGTAAAGAGGTACAGGAGGTACGAAAACGAGGAGCCTGTATTCGGTGCCGCATGCTGAAGAAGCCATGTTCCGGAGAGAATCCTTGCAATACTTGCCAGAATGTTGAGAGTGCGCGTTTATGGAAGCAGCCATGTATCCGTACACGAATCGCCGAGGAATTTGGTCTATACTCCGCAGGCCTCCATAGTGTTCTGGCCTTCCATGCAACCAACCAGGCGAAAGGTCAAATACGACTCGATCAAACTCCAGGACGGATAGAGGCTTCCCATTTCCCTGATTCTGCGACTTTTGTTACATTTATACCCCTGAAATGTCAGCAATCACAGGCTGCTCAGAACACGAACATAGATCCTGCCATTTTTGCTGGACTATCATCGCCCGATCTGGAGCTAATAGACGGCGACGACGACGTTAGTGGCAAGTTGGACCATTATATCAAAAAGATGGGGGGCCACTTCTCCGATACCGAGGACTCGGACTTTATGAGAGCGACGGTACACAGCGCAAAGAGCATAGCATCATCAAGTCAGGATGGTCTCATTTCCAAGGCATTGGAGCTCTGGAACCTCACCCGCATACTTACATCTCGTAACTTTGAATGGCACATCTTCTCCAACCCCTCACTTGCGCCCACCATGGCTCCTGCTATACTGGCGCCTGCAGACATTGAGGACGGCATCCGCACACCGATTACATCACTCGAGCATGCTGCCTCCTACAATCTCATCACCATGCAGCTCATGGGCGCGACAGAGAAGCGCGCCGCATGTCTTGCCCGCATCGTCATGAACGACCTCGAGCGTCGTCTTCTCCAGCGCCAACAAGCGAACCCGTTTGAGACCTTCCTAGTAGCAGTCATGCTCCTCGCCTGTGTAGAGCGTATGTGCTGGCTCTTCCGATCCTGGGAACTACCCTTTGACAAAAACCCCAACGACACTATCGACGGCACCTTTAAGCAACAACAATCCCTCGATGCCGATCTAGCCTCAGCCCTGCAATCTAATTCCTCTCCATCAGCAGCAGACGACATCATTAACCACCAATCCCCCCGTAATCCCCGCTGGCCCCTCGACAAATCCCCCTCATCATTCTCCCAGCAAGGCGACAAGTTCAGCGATATCCTTAACATGCTACTCAAGATGCGTGGTGTACCACCGAAGCCCACACCCCGCAGTCCAGACGGCGTGCTAGCAGTATGGAGCGAGAACACCAACGACAAGGCACGCGAGTGGTACGATGGCATTGCTGTGACAGCACAGATGCTGGATGACCGAGCGAATGCGCTTTTTGTAGGCGAGGAGCCGAAGGAGTGGGAACTCAAGTTTGTTGGAAAGATTATTAGGGGTGATTGAATACGTATTCGTGTAGCATGTAGCCCGTAGTTTGTTTTATGAGGAAAGATATAGATCGGCGAGGTGTTGCTCGGATAGGTGGTGGTACTCTGGATTTTTCCCCTTGTAAAGAAAGACGAAAAGCGATTGATACCAAGACGTTATAAGATGTCATGAGAGATGGGTTAAAAATCGCGTTCGCCCGGTTCGGAAGGGCATGTTGTTGTTCCAATGCATTTCTTTGAGATGATGCTCTGTATCTGTCAACCGTGCAGTGTTTGGAGAAGATGACATGACAAACTATAGTGGCTAATATAGAACATGTGGTAACTGTTGATCTCAGAAATTCATTCTGTCGTCGCTGATTTCGCTGCATACATCAAGCCCCTGCACCCAAACGCCAGTTCCCAAATCTAATATTCGAATGTTGCAATGTGCTGTATGCTAGCTCAGCTCTTGAGCGCCTCCAACCGCCCGCGCATCTGCGCCAACAGTTCTTCTTGGTTTTCCTCTTCTTCCTGCTCGTGCTGTGGCGCAGTAGGCAGTTCCTCTTCCTTGGCCTTGCTCGGTGGTAACCTGTCCTTGAGCACCTCGCTCAGTACCTTATCTACTTCCTCCTCAGCCTCATCCGCTTCTCCCTCCAGCATCTCATTCTCGCCCAATGTATCATCCAGCATCTCTTCAATAATGCCCGCCTTCATGAGCTCAGAGCTCAACTCTCTCATGGTGCCCGTCAGCTCCGGTAAGCGCACGAGACTGTTGACGTCTTTCATGATGCCCGTGCTAGCTTTGATGCTGCCCTCGATCTTCCTAACCGAAAAGGCCTCATTGACCTGCATCTGCACACTATTGAGCTGCGCCTTGGACGTCATGAGGCGGTTATTTTGTTTCCGGATCCGAATGAGTTCGCGGGCGAAGATACGAACGTCTTGGTTGGCTTGCTTGGCCATGGAGGGGTTGCGTTGGGCGCGTTTGGACGATTGTTGGATCAGCGTCTTGGTTTTTTGCTCTGTGGCTTTAAGCTGTTGGATATCGCGGTCGAGCTTGCGCACGTTTTGCCGGACGAGGGCATTGCATTTGCGCTTCTGGGGGGGCTTGGTTAGTGGGCTGCTGCGACATGTAGTGATAGGGTGGTGTACCTGCTCCTCGGGCGTCGGCTTCCAGAGGAGACCTCGGATGGTCTCCATGGCGGGCGCTCAGTTATGGAATGCGTGCTTAAGGCCTTGTGGTGGGTTGGTGTTTAGACCAGAAAAGCAAGTATCGCATATGCGAACGGTCGGGGATAAGGCGGGAGTCGGTGTAGGTAAGAATGAAGAGCGCCTGGTCACGAGCGCGTCTATTCGGGCAAGTGAATGTAGCCAGTCAATCACAATTCACTACGTAGGTGTTTACACACGGATATTACCTGCTGCGCAAGTCTTGTATATACAAGCGGTCGTTCATGCATGAGTAGGGTAAGGGTCCCGGGTGTGGCAGCATGCCTTGCAACACTCGAGCTCGGGCCCCATGTGACGTTGAGCTCTTCGCGGGGCAGTTGCAACCCACTAGCCCCGGGATCGAGGTTTGTCTATCTCAACGCGACATTGGCTGAGACCATTTAGCAGATCTAAGACACCTATCAAATAAATTGCTAATCCGCCCTACGAGCTCCATTCCGTAATTGATCCATCAAAACCGGGGCGCTGAAGTCCAAGTTTCCACAGAGCTTCTATTACTTTCCACGCTAGTCCCTCCACAACTGTGCATTTCTTCCACCTTCAAACTGCTTCCTCCCAACAAACACTACAACTACCCAGCAATCCACGCCTAAGAAGACTGTACAGAAACCTCAGATAACTGTTCGAACACGATTGGAAAACGCATCACCAAATCACAAGCCTCAAAATGACTACGCAGATTCCAGAAGGTAAGCTGCAGCCTATCCACCAAGCCATATCCGAAAAAGCTCCCGGGACACTTTCCGTGGTTTTCCTGTTCGCGACAAGGACCATGGTTGTGACAGGGACGGACCCGTCACAGATACACGTGCATCCTGCACTGCCTGTCGCGACGGATTTTGACAGCTTTCATAGAGCCTGTAAGGAGCCATTCGATACTAACATGCGACAGTCACCTGGGCGCAACGCTCCTCAAGTACCGAGCCTGAGAAGAACTACGTATACCTCACCATCGTTGCCGCCGACGTACCAGAGTCGGATCTGAAGCTCGACCTCAAGGAGCAGTCACTCAGCTTCAAGGGTACCTCAACATCTAAGAAAGTCACATACGCCGTTGACCTCGAGTTTTACGCGGAGATCGATCCCAAGGAGTCAAAGATCCATCACAGCGGCCGTGATGTCACATTGGTACTGCGCAAGAAGGAACTTAAGGAGGAGTACTGGCCTCGTCTGCTGAAAGACAGCAAGAAGATGCACTTCCTCAAGACCAATTTCGACAAGGTAAGCTACGTACTTAGGAGTAAAAGAGAGCTATGTGCTAACAATATTCAGTGGGTCGATGAGGATGAGCAAGACGAGGCACCCGAGGACGAGTCCATGAACCAGATGAACCCTATGGGCGGCGCTGGTGGTGATGGTGGCTTCGGTGGCATCGACTTCAGTAAGCTCGGCGGTGCTGGAGGCATGGGAGGCATGGGAGGCATGGCTGGCATGCCTGGTATGGGCGGTATGGACCTGAGCAGCATGGGAATGGACGCTGGTGGCGACGATAGCGACGATGACGACGACGACATGCCCGAACTCGAGAACGACGAGGACAGCAAGGACAAGACACCCGCAGCAGATGCAGCAGGTGAGAAGTCCAAGATCGAGGAGCTTGCTTAGGTGTTGTTTCTTCTCGCATCAAGCATTTGACTGGCACGAGACGGGGTGCGTGGCGCGCATGTACTGGCTGGCGCTACCACTCTATCTTTGGGGGGAAATTCGGAGTCCGATTCCTTGACAAGGCGCGGAATGCCTCTATGAGTTTGTTGCTCGGGACCCTGGCGTGCGGATGTAGGTGATGATGACATTACGGAGTATATGATAAAACAATACGAACCATGTTTTCATGACTGAACCAAAGTTATTTGAATGACTGGTCTTGGCTGCTATCCTACTTTGGTATATTCTAGCGTAAGCATGGTTTTGCATTTCGCAAGCAACTAGATGGCTATGATGTAGTCTACTTTGACAACTCATAAATTGCTCCCTATGCCATAGCTCTCGTAGGGAAAGTTTTCCAAACTGTGATGTAACCTCCCCCATCCGTCATCAATCTCACCTGGCATACCAACTCTCCTCTTTCCTTGAAAAACCTCAACTTCTGTCTTCTGCAACTGCGCCTCCTCATCTTCCTTGTGCTCGCCCGTCAGGCCCGCCAAAACCTCCTTCTCTCTACCTTTGTACTCGACCAGTAACTCAGGATGCGGACACCACACCACCTGCATGCCCGCTCTCCTTCCAGACTCTACACCGGGTACACTATCCTCGAAAACAAGACATTCCTCCGGCTGTATAGGCGGCTGGCCCTGTGCTTCCAAAGTCTTGTTCAGCGTAGACAGCGCCAGCAAGTAAATATCTGGCGCCGGTTTCCCTCTTCCAGTGGGTATCCTCGGATCGTCACCAAGAACCTGATGTTCCTTTTCAAAATGACCAAACAAATCCCCTAGATGCGCGCTCTTGAGCTCGAAATTTCCCTTGTGACTACTTGTCGCCAGCGCCAGGTGTACGCCTCTGGATTTCAGTCCTGGCAGCAGCTCCATGACGCCTGGTAGCGGCTTTGTGCGCTTGAAAAGGTCCTTCTGTAACTCTGATTGCTCGTTCATGAATTGCTCGTGAGAGATGGGCAGTTGGGCCCAGTTGTGGAAGATGAGTCCGGCTTGCGGGCCGGGTCGGCCTTGGAGTTGCGCTTTTATGGACCAGGGGATAGAGGGGCGGTTGTACCGCTTCAGTATTATGTTGGTCACTTCAGTGTAGAGGTCCTCCGAATCGATTAGGAGGCCGTCCATGTCAAAGAGGGCGGCGCGAATGCGGGGTGGTGGGGTAGTGCTGGGGAGGGTCAATGTTGGGTGTCTGGAGAAATTTTGTGAGGGGAAGTTTACTTGGGTGTCATTATGAGGAGTACTGTGAAGTCTAGGTGAGCTCTGAGTATCTCGGGATGTGTGGTGGAGTTTCAATGCAGATTGGCGGAAGCCTGGCCCGGTGCAAGTGAATGTTTACCCCACGTGGCCTAGGCGCGCTAGTCGGACCCCCGAGCGTAGACGTCACTTTGCAAATAGATACCTTTTCTTTGAGCACGCGACATAAACACCTACACGCCCACGTACAGTTTCCGTGAGCGGAACACTGCTATGGCCTCGAAAAGCGAATGTGCTGCAAAACCTGGCGCGACTGTCACCGTAACACCAGCGCCGGAAATCTTCCCCCCAGAAGAAGAGAAGAAGCTCCTAGACGAAGCAAGCACCGAGAAAGCCGCAGCAAACAAAACTTTCACATCCGGCGAGTACGACGGTGCAATACAAGGCTACGAAAAAGCCCTCGCGGTCTGTCCCACTTACCTCGAATACGACATCGCCGTCCTGCGCTCCAACATCGCAGCCTGCCACCTCAAGCTCGCCGAATGGAAGCAAGCCGTAGAATCCGCCACGCAAGCCCTGGAAGCCCTGGACCGCATAGATCCCCCGGAAACCGGCAACAATAATGACGGTAGCGGTACAATATCCGAAATCTCAGATACCACCGAAATCCTCCTCTCCGCCCTCACACGCACAAACCACTCCATTAACGACGTGCACAAACTCCGTACCAAGGCGCTTCTGCGCCGCGCAAAAGCCAGACACGAAGTCGGCGGCTGGTCGTCGCTGCAGGGTGCGCTAGAGGACTATCAAGCGCTGGGTAAGCCGCCGCATGTGCTGTCGAATTTGGATCGGAAGGCTGTGGCGGCGGCGTTGCGGAAACTGCCGCAGGAGATGGAGGAGGCAAAGAATAGGGAGATGGCGGATATGATGGGCAAGCTGAAACAGCTGGGCAATGGGATTTTGAAGCCGTTTGGGTTGAGTACGGAGAATTTCCAGTTTGTTAAAGATGAGGGGAGTGGGGGGTATAGTATGAAGTTTGATCAGGGGGCCAGGTAGGTGTGGTTTCGTGGAGAGGATAGATGGAGGGCACGCGGAGGTAGTAGAGGAGGTCAGGGTGATACCCTTGCCCAAGTGGAGTTCATTGATGTACATAATATGAAACTTGCTATCTCTGACTACAGCGATCGACTTATGTGGTTCAATGCTGAGGGTGTTAAACTAACGAGGAAGAAGCCGACTTCATTATATACGAGCTTGGAAACCTCTGCGTCTAGCCCGTATCGAGCGACCATCATCCAGCTGAGAATGGGGGGGGGGGGGTCTGGAGGATGACACAGTACCGGTCGAGATGCATCTAGCGGATCCCAAGTGAAGAGAAGCGTATTATGGTTATTCACCTTATAGGGACGGTAGGATATGTACAACTATGCCGGATACGGAATGGAGTCAACCTCAATGGTATGATACAGCAAACAGGCGAAGGATGAGGGCCTAAATGTCATGTCTCTGAAAAGAGGTCGACGATCACAGATATCCCGGTCATCTTAGCGACCCAATCAGATCCTGCAGACTCAGACCCACCTTTTGCACCCCAATTTGCTGGTCCGTGACTCCTTCCACATGAGGCAGCACAATGGCGAGTGAGGGCTTGGAGGTCACGTCTGCCGTGCGCATACCTGATTGAGGCACCGCCAAAACTATAAAAGCAAATTTCCAGCCTTGTCCTAAATCTTTCCTTACCATGCCGCAATATCTTGTCAGATTGGCGCAAGCGCACGAAAGCTTTCGGAGAGTGGAATTACAGGCTCTCGCGGACATCGCTGGTGTAACATTACAATTTGTAAGATATGAAGAAGATGTAAGTGTCAATTGGCATTCTTTGGTTGCTCTGAGATTACACCCTTGTCGCCATTCGAGCCAGTGCAACAGATCGCATCTGTGTTTTACCAGTCTACATGCTAACATTTGAAGTCTCCCTACTGTGTTGTAGATCTACCATCAGATGGCGCAGCGCGGAAAGTTATTGCCCGTAGCATCTTGGCGCAAGGCATATACGAACTATGGGGTCAGGGTCCCACTTACGATAGTCTTCATGACTCCGTCCGCAGTATATCTGCTCCCAAATGGTCTCAGTACGAGACTGCATCCTTTCGTTTCACTGTCGAAGGCTATCGGGGTGGCAAGTCGCCTGGGGCTCAGAAAGAAATCATCGACAGCTTCTCTTACATGGCTTTCAAAGGACCGCCAAAGATGCGAGACCCGGATGTTGCCTTCCGTGTGTTCGAAGACTATGACCTGGATGTGAAGGAGCCGAAGTACTTGTATTTTGGGCGCTTCATTGCAGACTCATGTCGTAATGAAGCAAAGAAGAGATTTGATCTCAAGAAGAGACTTTACATTAGCACTACATCCATGGACGCGGAGCTCACACTACTTACAGCAAACATTGCACACGTCTCACCTGGAAAACTATTCTACGACCCCTTCATGGGCACAGGCGGCTTCCCAATAGCATGCGCCCACTTCGGGGCTGTAGTCTTTGGCAGCGATATCGACGGCCGCACAATTCGCGGCACAGGGGGAAGCGCTCGGAGAGGTCAAACTGGCAAATACGACGTTGTTGGCAACTTCAAGCAATACGGCATCGAACCAAACTACCTAGGCTCCTTCGTCTCGGACCTCACCAACACGCCGCTAAGAATCCTCCTACCAGACAAAGACTACACAAAAGGCTACCTCGACGGCATTGTCTGCGACCCACCCTACGGCATCCGCGAAGGTCTGAAGGTTCTCGGCTCCCGCCAGGAGCTGCTAGAAGAAGAGCGCCAATCCCACCAAGATCAGTACAAAGCCCCAGGCTACATCCCACCCAAGCGCCCCTACTCCTTCACTGCCCTCCTCGACGACATCCTCGCCTTTTCCGTCTCCACGCTCGTTGAGGACGGGCGCCTCAGCATGTGGATGCCCACGGCCAACGACGAAGATATCGAACTCATCATCCCCTCGCATCCCTGCCTCGAGCTAACCTCCGTCTGCGTCCAAGCTTTCAACAAATGGTCACGCAGACTGTTGACTTATCGGCGCCGCCGCGAGGAGGAGATTCCAGAGGGCGCTTACGAGGCAAGTAGGAGGGAGTATGAGAAGGGGACGAGGGCTAGTGAGTTGAATGATTTTAGGCGGAAGTATTTTCAGGGGTTTAGGGAGTTTGAGAGTATGAAGAAAGAGTTTGTAAGGATGAAGGCGGAGGAGGGCAAAAATGGGGAAATGGCGGAGGTGACGGTTAAAGATGATAGAGTGTAGATTTATTGCTATACAAGTCTTGACAGTATTACGCGGCATAAGCGAATTGACATGAACGCCTGCCCGATGCCGAAAATTTGATTAGAGTGGAGATTACCCGATGCTCCCTGTTCCCTGTCCGAAATGTTCATCATCCATCTCTCCCTTACTCCTCCTTCTCCTTCTCCATGCCTCGTCACTTTTATACCTCATCCCATTCTACTTATATTCCTTCCCACTCCCCTTCTTATCCTCTCTCCAAAACCCCAACCCAGTCAACGTTTCACCAACAGTCCCCATGAACCCCCTCACCTCCTTCTTAGTGGGCCCCGGAAACTCCGCATCTGGGTGATCCCACTTATAAAGCATATGAGAAAATGTCAAGGCGAACGCTACCTGTACACCAGCCGACACCACACCTATAGTGCATTTCTGTAGCCATGTCAATTTCCCGTCGCGATTTAGGGGCCGGTAGGGGTTTTTTGTATAATGGAAGGGATAGGCTGGGGTTTGGCGGTTGTTAGGAAACGTGCGGATTGGGGTTCGTGGAGTTCGCGGGGAGACGGGTAGGCATCTTACGGATGCGTGCATGATGGTGGTAAGGCGCATGGTGAAGTTTGGTGCTTGTTGATAAGTATGTTAAGCTTTGGGGTTGGTTGAGTTCGAATTTTGTGTTTGAGATTGTAGGAGTTTGCACTTTAACTTTGTACTCGACTTTTGTGCTGGATAGAAGAAGAGCTCTCGGTGGTTGCGCAGAAGCTGTTTTATACATATTTCTACACGTGTCTGCACCATATCTTCTCTAAGCCGATACCCAAATCACGTTATTCAGTTAGACACCCATTTCCCTGCTCGCTGTTTCTGGTACCGAAATCCAGTCTCCACCATATAGCGTACCCTCATACCAAGACCGTACCACCTAATCCAATCACCCATCACTAATGTTCCCGCTTCTTCAATAGTACCTTGGGTCCTACACGATGCGCAACGGACATATCCCACAATTGATACTGATCCTCTCTTGTGCGTCCCCATTCACCGTCCTTGCTGCCACCACCGAGGTTACTCTCCGGATCCTTCATAACCTCATAGGTCCAGATGAATTTTGCAATCACAATCCGCATCTCCAGCCACGCTATGTTTTTGCCTACGCAGCCACGGGGACCTGACGAGAAAGCGCAGAAGGCGCTTTCGGCTAGCGCAACGCTTTCCTCGGTTGAGCCTGCTTCGCCAACGATCCAGCGTTCTGGGCGAAAGGCGAAGGGTTCGGAGTAGGAGGCGGGATTGTATTGTGCGGCCCAGATGGCGGTGCTGACGAGGGTACCTTTGGGGAGGTATTTGTTGTTGACTGTGATGCCGCCATCAAGGACTTGGCGGCTTGGAGTCGCGCTGAAGGGAGGGGCCATGCGCATGCCTTCTTGTATGAAGGCAGTAAGATAGCGACATGATTTGAGTATGTTCCCGCCTTTGATATCATCGTAGTTGGCAAACACATTCAAAATCTCCTTGGCGAGTTTCTCCTGCACACTGGGATTGCGGGTGAGGTAGAAGAAGAGGGCTGACAAGACGGTAGCTGTCGTATCTGATCCCGCAACTATCAAGAGGCCAATCTCGGCTTCCAGTTCTGGGAGCGAATAGCCAACTCCTGTCTCTGGGTCTTTAGCTTGCCAGAGATAGTGGAAAAAGTCTTTTCGCCCATCAGATCTCGGTGCCTTCTCATACTCGATTTGTTGCTGTGTACGAGCCTTCTGGCAGCTAGCGACGAATTGATACCATGACCTAACATCAACAGGAGCGGCCCGTGCTAATAGCTTGTCCAGGCCTCTAGGCTTGAGCCATATCCAGATGGAGATCCATGGCGCCCAAGCAGTCTAGGTGTATTAGCGCGGCCTCGAGCAAGTCGGTAACTGCTTACAGGTGCCAGTGCCTTGATATAACCTGTCAGTGTTTCGGGCACACTTTTCAGATCACTTCCAGGTTCCTTCATATCGAAGCATTTGCCAAAGCAAAGATCCCCAAGAATGTCAAATACCAAGTGAGACGTCTGCGGCGACATGTCAATTGAGTCACTCCATTCGCTACCCTCTCTCTGGTGTTGACCGAGAAGTTCGATCCACCGATCTATATTGGTGTGAATGAAGGGTTCTGCAGTACGAATAGCGGACTCGGAGAAGGCATAGTTCAACACTCGCCGTTTGCGAGCATGGATCTCATTGGAAGTCGAATTCCAAGTATTCAATGCGTCAATGGTACGCCTCCATATAACGTAGGAGTCGCCTTTCCTCACGTTCCCTCGATGGCCATAGATTTGCCGTTGGCCATCCGGGGTATTGATGCATACGGCATTGGGCTGGTATCGAAACTCGGGACCTGTAGAAGTAAGCAAGCCTTCACAGACAGTTGAATGTAGAAGGATTATATACTGACCATATTGGTCTTGTAACCTGAGCATCCATAAATGTCTACTCTGCTTCCTTGTATGCCACCATGATGGAAACGAAGATATCTTTGCCAATGTCGGACCTGGGTATTTAGCGAGGGGATGAAAGTATAGCCTGTAGATTACAGTCCCGATGATGTACGACAATAGAAGCGAGAAGCCCAAAGCAAAAGGTTGGACGCCTTGTAATTGAGTCACGGCTCGTTCGGAAGCCATGGTTCGATGTAGATAGCATTCAGAAGGCGGCCTGTGTGTCTTATAATAGCCTCCATGCAGGGTTCATACAAGCGAACTCGTAAGTAGGGTGCGGATCGATCCGGTATTCGCACTAAGACGATGAGGCTCTTCAACGTTCAAAGTAGATGAAGGTGATGTAGTAACTATGCCGAGCGGATTTTTGAGCTTAGCGGGAATTGAAGATTTGCCGAGACCGATTGGTGGAATTGCTCGAGATGTGCTCGTACTTGCCCACACGTACCACTCTGTCATATTCATCTGGATAATATGATAAGCCCTAATTTTGGAAACATGGGTAATGGACCTCGGGAGTCAGATTCTTGGGTATATAATGAATCATTCGCTCCCAACAGGATAGGGTGATATACGCGTCAAGTCAGTGAAGTTCCATTCGGGCCGTATCAAGTGCTGAAACCCAAGATGCATATCCCCACTACCCTATACTACTTTACACTCTTCACTCCGTTTACTGCGGCTCTCCCGGCTCAGAGCGCAAAAGTCAAACCACCATTCTTTGTTCTAGCCGGCGACTCCACAACAGCGGTCCAATCCACCGGCGGCGGGGGCTGGGGCACCGGTTTCTTGGACACGACGCTCGGCAATGGCTCATCAGGAAAGAACTACGGGCACAATGGCGCTACGACAGTATCGTTTCGGGAAGGTGGTGATTGGGCAAATGTTCTTGCAACAGCCAAGACAGTGTCAAGAGACTACACGCCCTACGTGACGATTCAGTTCGGGCACAACGACCAGAAGCCTGCGGCGAACATCAGCATAGCAGCCCTAACCGCCAACCTGGTCGCATTCGTAAAAGAAGTCCGCGCGGTCCCAGCGACGCCTATCATCGTCACCTCGCTGAGCCGACGCAGCTACGACTCGACGGGTCACGTAGTGGAGAGTTTGGCCGACGTGACGGCCGCGGCGAAGGCGGCTGCTAAGCAGAGTAGAGCAAATATGATTGATCTGAACGGAGCAAGTACGAAGTACTTGAACGCTATCGGTGCCGACGATGCGCACAAGTATAATCTAAATCCGACGGATAACACACATCTGAACGCCGGGGGAAGCATTATATTCGGCAATTTGGTGGCAATGCTAATTGATGACGAGATAGCGCAGCTGAAGGATTATGTCAAGCCTATAAATTCTATCCAGGAGGCGTTGGAGAAGGGCGAATTTGTCTTTGCCAGGCCATAATGTAGAGATAGGCTCGTACCCGAAGGAGATGGGAATGTTCCATGTCGGAGGTGGTGAAGATAGATGAGGCGTAAATCCAGTTGTGAGGCAATAATACAATGTAATTTAATCTTACAAGTCCAATGCATAGCATAATGGCTGGTGGGTGTATACCTATGAGAGCCATGTGTTGATGGAGACGGCGGGGAAGTGTGAATGTCGGCAGGGCTGAACACAGACTCCGACATGCCGAACATTTGCAGGACAAAGTAGGCATGATTCATTCAGCACTCTGAAGCGCACCGCTTACCGATGATGCATTGCTCGCCCGAGAGCGCACGGGAAAACAACAAGACTGCACTGTCATAGCCGGGAACTGTAGAAGAAGGCGTGGGGCAGACAGGCAGGCGCATATGACCCAATGTCTCTTCTTCGACCAACATGCGCACTCGCACGGCGACTGTGTACCACACAACCACAGCTGGAGCAACCTTACAAATCGGGTTTGCTAGCTCTTTTACAACGACACAGATCATTACGACCGCAATGCCGCTCCTTCACCTCCACACCCCACTACCGAGCGAAAGTCATAGACACGCCACAGCACCCTGTCATCCCACAATCACGCAAGCGCACTGTACGGATAGGGTCATTACCCGAAGGCCCCGTGCAGGACCAGACAATACAGCGTATATTTGGCCGCCGATTATCAGCACAGGATGGCAACAACGTGCTGCGCATACTGCACCACCGGCGGACGGCAGGCTCGCTCGCCGACTACGGCGTAGATAACCTAGGCAAGCAGTTCACGCACGTGAATAGGGAGTTGGCATTAAAGGGACTTGAATGGCTCCGCGAGAAATATCCCATAGATGAAGCGCGCGCCGCAGAAGAATGGGCAGAGAAGGAAGCAAACCGCATCGCCTACGAATTATGGCTGGCCGACCCAGAAACAGAGTCCAAGTACAAGGACCCCGCTCGTGCATTCCGCGAACAGCAGGAGAAGGAGGAAAAGGAAAGACTGCAGCAAGAAGCCGATAACCGCAAGATTGGCATACTACACGCAGGCAAGAGTCAATTCGAGCTCAACATTGAGGAGAAGCGGAGACAGCGTCTCGAGGAAATCACACGCAAAGCAGAAGAGAAGGAGCGCGAGGAACGGGCAATGGAAGAGAAGCTTGCGACAGGAGAATGGGTCCGCACACCCACAGGTACCCAACTCATGAAGCCGGGTCAAGAAACCTACGTCGACGTCTTCGGCCGCGAGCAAGTCAGCCGCAGGAAAGAGATCATGGAGAAGTACCGCCAGGAATCCGTCACCACCAAAGCAAAAACTCCAGAGGAACTTCTCGCAGAGACCACTCTCGTACGTCTAAACACCCTGTCTTTCCCCAACCCAACATCTACTAACAAACAACCAGCTTCAACGCCTCTACCCCATGACCGCCTTCGTTCTCTTCACCGTAATCCTCTCCTGGGGCTTTGCACACTACTACATCCCGCCGGACCCATCCTGGCGCCTCTTTCCCGACCTCGCCCCCTCAACCGCCACCGTCGCCGCTCTGGTTGCCGCAAACCTCGTCGTCGCAGGCTTATGGCGCGTCGTGCCCCTCTGGCCCTTGATGACGCGCTTCTTCATGCACGTCCCCGGTTACCCACGCGCCGTCCAAAGCATCCTCAACGTCTTCTCCCACCAGCAATATGAGCACCTTCTCGCAAACATGATGATGTTGTCGCTTGTTGGCTTCGCGTGCTGCGATCTCGTGGGCCGCGGCGTGTTCATGGGCACGTATATTAGTGCTGGCGCTGTAGGTACGCTGGCCTCCCTTTACTGGGCGAATGTTGGCAAGGGGAATATTACTTCGTTTTCTGTGGGTGCCTCGGCGGCTATCTGGGGTGTCGCGGCCCTGTACTGCTTGCTTACGGATCAGGATACTATCAAACTGCCCGTTCCCAAGGATGCAGAGGTTACATTTTGGCCCAAGATGCTGTTTGCGGCGTTTTTGGTCTTGGAACTTATAAGTGCCTCCAAGAAGAGGGTCAGTACGGTAGATCATGCGAGTCATTTTGGAGGCATGTTTGTAGGGATTAGTACGGCGGGATATTTGAGAGCGACAGGGTGGCATGGGAGGAAGGGCGGGGCGCAGGATAGTGTACAGGAGAGGGCGGGCGTAGAGCCGAATGTGGTTGACCCTGGGGCTGCTGTTAGGGAGGGGATCAGGGAGGTTAGGGCTACGTTGACGAAAGATAAGTAGAGTGGCCTTGATTTCTTTCTGAATAGACAGAGATGAGTGATAGGAGAACGGCTGTTGTATAACACACCTGTATATAAATCAAGAGGTAACTACTCTATCGCAATCTTTGTATACATACACACCCCATCTACACATCACCAAGTCTCTCATCCAACACACGCCTTCATCTTCAATAAAACACCCATATTCATACCCACCACCAACCTCACCAACTCCCAATCCCCACCCTCACCCACACAATCCATAACCACAACCCCTGTACTCCCATCCCCGCTCCCCGCCCTCTTCACCCCACCACTCATTTCCCTACTCTCCTCCACCTCCCCCGGCTCTCTCGTCTCTCTCGCCGGCCGCTCCAGATGATGACCCCCACAAAGCCACTCCTCCATTCCCTTATTCACAATCTTGGCAATCGCACCCGGCCAACACGCCTTCTTCCAGAAATTGCTTCCAGACAGGAAGTTCAGGTATAGCGGGCCTGGCGGTACGGGATTCACGACATCGGTCGACACACCTGGGATGGGGTGTATAGCGGCGGCAGCGCGGACGAGATGATCATTGCAGTGTTGGAGTTTTGTTGGGATGGATTCGGGGATGAGGACCTCGCAGAAGTCTTGGAGGCAGAACGTTGGTGTGGGGAAGTGTGGGGGGAAGAGAGCGTGGGAGGCGTTGTGGGGCCAGGCTGTTGCGTCTAGACCCGTAGTTTGGGGGTTGGATGGTGAGGGAGAGGATGGGGGGTTGGCGGTGTTGTAGCGGCGTACTAGGACTAGTTTGCCTCGGACGGTGCCTAGGTAGGGGATTTTGGGGTCAGTGTACCAGTGACTTTGTTTGGGGGCGATGTAGTGGTCTTGTAGGATGCGTGCAAGATATTCGTCTGTTGCGCTGCCTACGCCTTCTCTTTTCAGGCTAATGAGAACGGTCTCGCTTGGATTTGCTGCGAGGAAGTCGTAGCATATTTTTAACATGGGTTCAAGATATTTTGGCCCTGTCAGACTAATGGGGAATGCGCCGTGCACGAGATACAGGTCTTTTTTCTGTGGGTCGGTTGCGTGGACGGGCTGGACGCGTATGTCGAGGAAGCGGATTCCGTTCTCCAATTGCGTCTTTACGTCATGGACCTGGCAGCGAACGGATGGTAGAGCGCGGTAATGGGTGTGAGAGTTGTGAGTTCCAGGTATACTCATGGCTGAAAGAGGGAGATCGTCTGGTAATGCTGACATCCATGAGGTGTATCTGGAAATGTGGTTGGAATGAATGGCCAGATGCGGAATTGGTTTCGACGGATGAAAAAGCGCCTTGTATGTTGGTGGCAGCGAGTTTCCCGAAAGCGGCGTGAAGGTTTGGGTAGACTTTTGTGTGTATGAAGGGTGAGTGTCGACGCGGTGGCGTTCTTGGCCTGTTTGTATGATGAGGCGAAGAGTTGGACTTGACAGTTTTGTCGTGGCTCCAGCCTCTGCTGAGTCGGAGAAACGCAGCGTGTATGATTCAAAAGGCTGGAGTGTGATGTTCATATCTTGGTGGATGAAGCTTTGCGCGTGTCCGCTGAGTTCAGGTGATGTAGGAGCCAAGGTAGTCGTATTCTTTGAGCTGAAGACGTATCCTCTCGCTTTTGACTGTAGGGTATTGGGATCTTCAAACCGCTCAATGCGTGCTATCGATATGACCGTTTGCGTCAAATTTCGCACGGTAAGCGGCGGAGAAGACATTCCCGAAGTTCCAGCTCTTTCAGTTTGTGAAAGTTGTTATCAAAGAATAGGGTAACTTAGTGTTGGCAGAATGTCAAGATGTACCAAATCAACAAATCTGCAAACTTCTAGATGTTAGACCACAAAGATTCTATCGTAGATGCCCATCAACAATCAAAAGTCGAGATGCAATGCATGAAAACGCTTGCGCGAGCTGTCGAGTGAAGGAATGTAAAGAATGAGTGGTCAGCAAAGTGAGTGCACGTCCAAGCGCCAAGGTGACAACGCTATTAGGGAAAGCGCGCCTGGCACAACATTCAGAAAACGTGATCTGAGGCAGCAGTCAAAAGAGAAAGTGTGTGTAGATTATCAAGGTACGGCATGGAACAGAGTCGTACTACTACATCTACTTCTTAAACAGCACTAAAATCGATACCAATAATCACAGTAGCAAAAGATTAACCAGCAAGGCCGCAGCCGTAAACCATCATTGAACACCGCACTATATTTAGAAGGACCCAAAGCATTGTGTTTTGCTCCACCAGGGGATGGCCTGGGTATCATGCAATCGAAAAGCCAATAGCTAAAATCTACCTACCTAGTAATGAGAAAAGTACAGACACAGCTGTCTCTGTCTGCCCTCATTAGTGAACGCCTAAACGCACCCGATACCATAACGCAAATGCAAAAATTGCCCTAGTGATTGTACTGCAAACGCCGAGAATGCAATTAACGCTAACAGAGCAGGTGATTCATATTTTTGGGCACCGCCCCCGTGGGACTTTCGATGATGTGCCGCTGCGCGCTACCGGATGATGAAGGACGAAAATCATCCCTAGAGGATGTAGCACGCGCGTATGCCATCTCCTCTTGGAGTTGGGCACTTGGAGTGCGGTCCTTGGTTGGTGTAAAGCTCTCGATGGGTGGCCGCTTTGGTGAGTGATTGTTACGGCCGTCCACATTCGACACGGGTCTGAAAACATAGTCCGCCTTGATCTTAGTCAACCGTGTGGTCTTCCTCGGAGTGGCCGGAGAACGGGTCTTTTGGACGTGAATGCTCTCGCTGACGTTTTCTTTAGGCTTCAACTGTGGTTGCAGCGTGTATTTGGACTCGATGACTGTAAGGCTGGCATCGGAAGCTTTCTTAGTCGAAGATCTTGCAGTGCCCTTCGTAGCCTTGAAGACATTGTTGATAGCGGGCACATCATTCTTCGACTCCTTCTTCGACTTCCTGCTTGCTGCCGCTTTCTTCGGCTGGGCCTTGGGCCTTTTCGGGAGTCCTTTATTTGCGACTTTTCCAAATAGGTCCATCTGTGCATCAGTCTTCCGCTTTGTACCCTTCCTCGATGGCGTGTCCGGCTCCTCTTTATTGAAAGATTTGGGAAGAATGCGAGGACTTTGACCAGGTGTCAACTGGCCAGCGTTGCGAAGTACACCTGGTTTGCGAGGGGTGCCAATAACAACCTCTGCTCTTTGCTTCTCCTTGACTTTGCTAAGATCTTCATCGGTGACAGTCTTATAATCCATGGGATCATCCCATCGTCGCATTTTCGCGTGGCGAGCAACTTCGTCACAGGGTCCCTTCACGACCAGATCCCATTTATCTTCGAGGTCTTTGCCTAGCGGCTCGGGGTCGTTATTAAGCCAAACTGTTACGCCGTCCTTTCGATCGCGCACAATGTTGCACATTTCCCGGGCGATGCGTCGTACCCCAGGGACCTTTAACGTGGTACCGGCTACGATAACAGCATCCGGCCGCATTCGCATATCATGTGATGCGCAAGAACCAATAGACTCGTCATCAGGATTGTATTCATTGTAGAGAACCATGCGAGGCCGCAATCGCCCAATTCCATGGCTTCGCTTGTCAGCGAACAGGCGGATTTCATCGTTTTCCACGCAGCTCGGGCACGGCGGGGGTTTAGGTCCATTGAATTGTTCGGCGTCGAAAGGCGCCAAGGCGTGGCATTTCGAACAAACCATGTAGTCAAGACCTCCGTGCACCTGCACAGTCTTTGGCCAAGGTCCCTTCTTAGGTAGTGGGACTTCTGTGCTCAAGGGTGGTAGGGAGGTGTCTATACCGTCGACGTTTTGGGTGTAGAGTCGCATCAAGCGCCCTTCTTGAGCGAGAGTTGCGAGAAGATGGTGGAAGGCAGTGGGCTCTGCTGACTTGGTGTGCTGTGAAAGTGTGCGCACCATGTCATGAAAGGTAGATGTAGACGTGTCATCCTGGTATACAGAGGCATCAAAGAGATCCTTGCCGGACGATTTGAGCTTGTGCTCCTTCTTGAGCGTGTTGAACAAGCCCGTTGAGGATCGGAAGTCTGGAATGCCGGCCGACACGGATATACCTGCACCTGCAATGACAACAATCTTGCGCTTCTTGTGCAGGACGTTTAGCAAGCGCTGCAGTTGTGGCAGTTCGTCTTGGTTTATTTCGGTTGTGGAAAGATCGAGATATTCGGCTGTGCGCTCCTTGGGCTCGGCAATCTTTCGTCTTTTCGAGGGGCGCGGGTTCTCGTCATTGCTGGAAGGTGGTGAAGGCATGTCTTCTGGCGCGGGTGTGGTCTTGGCAGAAGACCGTCGAGACGAGGATGGGGAAACGTATGCGCGCTGTTGAGCGAAGGATCTGCTGAGCTCCAGCGGGGGGGTGGGCGACCGAGAGAGGATCGAGAGTTCAGAATCTGAGCTCTCGGCCAAGGGCGAGCTTGGCCCTTCATTTAGCGTGTCGGCAGCCATTGTGAAGGAAAAGAGGCGGGTGGAATGTTATGGCGTATACAGCAATAGGCAGCGACGGGTCGCGTGCGGTGTGGAAGGCTCGTGAGTGAAGGCAAAGCGCGCTGCGACTTTGAGGACACACGGTACCGCGTCTATGCTACAACACGCTTGATAGCTTGGCCTATCGCGACAAAGTCCTTCATGTATGTATTCAGGCTATTTTCTCCGAGTATGCCGCGTACGGAGGATGTGTAAAGAGGGTGAGAACGTGGGTAAGCAGGGACGGAGGGCTGTGGGTCGTGACTACCACGAACTGCTGTTGGATCTCCGTCGAGGAAAGCCGTACGTAAAGGGTAAGCGCGCTAGGCCATTGCGACGATTCGAGAAAGCGCGTCGAAAAATAGGCAGGCGCGTCTGGGATAGCCGGGGTTGTGGTGGTGACGGCGAAGGGTGGGTGGGCCGAGTGAAGAGGTTGGCGGTGGATGCGATGACGGGGAGCGCTGGTTCACCTCGACAACCATAAGACGCCGGGTAGGGATGCCAAGGAGGGAGCTAAACACTGGATCTGTTTACCTTTGGAACGAAGACTGTCTGTGCAGAAGCGACCGAGATCTGGCGCACGATATGGGGACACGCGAGTTTATAGCATATGTGAGATTGACTTGTTGCTCTGTGAATGGAGTTTTTGGTCTTTGTTTGCCATTCTTCATTATGGACAGCGTGCTTTCATGTAAGTTATGTCCCAGCGCACATGCAGCGAACCGTTTCCTTGAGTACATATTGCAGGGACGGATCAGTGCGTACAGCGGCCATGTGCAATGCGCAAGTCGCATACATGCAAATGCGAAGCCTTGGTCTCGACTTCTGTCACATCCTTCACGACAATCCCTCATTAGCACTCATCCACAATGAAGGATGATGCTGGACACATGACTGCAGCACGAAGCACCCGCGAACAGCACACGGCGCTACGTAAGGTGCGCTAACTCTAGTCTGCGTTAGCTGGGTTTCGCTTACTTCCGCGAGCTGGTCTCAGTCCGTCTGCCAACCAGAGCGTAGCCTCACCAACTTCATGGCTGCTCCCCAGCTGTCGTTTTGAGAAGCTTCCCTTCTCTTCTTTTCTGTTATCTGTGATACCCGGCGACTAACTTGGTCGCCACTCTGGCGCTCATTGAACAGCTCCTTCTCGCTTGACCACCCTCGCCCGACGTTTGTTTTCCCATCATCATATCTAACTACCTTGCATCAGCCTACAGGCAGGGGACATCTCGCCCAAATGGACGGCGCAAGCTACAACATGGACGTGGACGATCTGTTCGGAGACTCGGAACATGTCAACATCACCACTATCAACACAATCCCGCCACTAAAAGGCCTCGACGGGCGCATTGACGAGCTAGCGTCCAGTGGCTGTTGCCAGTAAGACACATCTCAAGTGAGTCTACATGCTTGACTAAGAAGTAATAGGAAAATCTCATGGTCTAAGAATGGCTGCGTGGCATACATCAGTCCTGATGGCTACTCTGTCAACCTGAAGATCTTCTCGTATGACCCTGAGACCGGCAAATGGAACCTTGGGAAGGCTGTTCCACTGGAATTCCCACAGAATCGGGAGGTCTTTCCATTAACCCACCTGTCATGGAGTCACCTAGGCAATGATCTTGCCGTCATGGACGAAGCAGGTCGTGTCATGGTCTTCTCGTGTGCCATGGCCTTGGACCGCATGCAATTCAGCAGAGCCGATATACCTCATCCTGAATCCGAAGTAGATGCAGTCGTAGGCATGCACTGGCTGGCGATTCTGCCTTATTCGCAAAAAGTAGGGCTACCACTAACTCCTTAGAAAAACTGTACTAACTCTCTCCTAGAACCTCATTGCTTGGTCAGCTGCCCGAGAGGGAAACAAGTGGAAGTGGAATATCAGACAACACTTGTTCAACAACGCGCATCATCCCGTCGATGGCAAAGCGTCTCTCATTTACCTCAAGAGGCACGGCGAACTCAAGCTTCGCTTCCAGCAGAATGACAACTACTGGCAAGAAGCATCTGCCCAGCTTGGGCCCATGCTCTCAACAAAGGAGCCCTTTACCCATGCAGCGTTTGCGTCCAACAATGGTAATACCCCTGATTTACCCTGATATCTACTTACTGATCCCTGTAGACAACACTCTTCTGTTGACAGCCTACGACGTCAAGAGAAGGCTTTACCTGTATCGTATCGAAACAGTCTGGAACGTCCCAGCAGATAAGCGCAGTCAAAATGCAGGTCCATTCGAGAAACCAACGATTCAGGTCTCATTAATAGCCATGGAAGACGATTGTAACCCCGTTGACATGACAAATGACGATCTGAGTAACGGTACAGAATCGAGGGGCACAGCTGCTGCTCAACTAACCCACCTCAACTTCCTTCCCGTTACACCCCAGCAGGACGATGTCTCTATACCCACCATCCAGGCCATATTCTGCAAACCACCAAATCCCATATCATATGACTTAAATCCCCAGGAGTCGCGTTACAGCATCGTCGTCAAATGGGAAGTGCATCAAGAGCAAAAAAGTCAGCTACATCCAAGTCTGGACCAGGTCACGTCAAAGAAGAAAAGCGTCAGTTCAATACCTGCTCAAAATACCTTTGTACTCAAGAGGCAGCTTGATTTTGCACTCCATGCAGTCGTCTTAGCCTTCTACCCCATTTGGTATGATATGCTCTTTGCCTTTTGCTACAGCGACGGTGCAATAGAGTTCAGGAAACGTTCTACTATGGAGGGTATCCTGCCAGATGACAACACCGACACCGTGACCTCGCTCTTACAAGCCGGATACATTTTCCAACATGCCGAGCCTTCACTACATGTGGCTTTCTCGCCCAACCACTGCATAGCTGTGTGTATGCAACTAGATGGTACTACAAAGCTGCGCTCGATGGAGTACTCACATGGCACACTAGCTACAGGCGATGACGAGCCACAGCACTCAGCAGCACTTGCAGCACTAACTCTCCAATTCGCTTCAGCCGCGAACCAGTACTTCTCGAGCGACGACATCTTCGCCATTGTCGGACCAATCAGCGAAAAGCGAAAACACGACTTCGTCAACCATCTCTTTGAGGGTCTCCAAGTAAACATCGACTGCGGAATTGATGAGAACGCAACCAATCACTTCATCTTGATGGGGCGGTCACCCTTCTTCGTCAAAAATCTTTCGGCAATGCATCTTCTGGGACTTGAAGGTGGCATCAAGCGCTCACTCAGCAGTAAAATGGCTTGGATGATCCTCAACGTCAAGTACCTTACACAGATCTTGACGGCCGTGTTCCGTCTACATGGCGACCCAGGGAAAACGAACCTCAAGGCCGAATACGTGCCCCCAATGATTGGAACCTGCAGATGGACCATGCACTTCATGGCATACATACTGGACGAACTCTTCACCCTAGGACGCGCCCTGTCCGACATCCCCCCGGTTGAACTAACGCGTGAAGTCCTCGAAGCCAAAATGCACGAGCTCAATAACCCCTCCGTCCTCTTCCTCCTCTCCGCCTTCCCTCGCGCCATGATGAAAATGTGGGCGCAACCAATTCAATGGGTGAAACGCAGCGCCGAAGCCCACACCGCCAACCCAAACGCACCCACGCCCTCCCCCGAAGCAAAAAAGCTCTTCACCCCCCTCCTCTCTGCCGTCACCGAATTACCCTTTGAATGGCGCTGGTTCGAAGTCCTAATCTGCGAAACACAAAACCACGTCCGCGGCATCTACAGACAACGCTCCCAATCAGAAGCCCAACGCAACGTCCTCGAGCGCCAGCTCCTCGTCGGCAAAATCCCTGATATCCTCTTTCCAGTCGCTAAACGCCTCGTCACTGATACCCTCTGGAATAGCAACCAGGCAAACGCTTGTCTGGCGGATAAACTTGATCTGGGAAAACTCATGTTCTTCGATACTACGTGGTTGGGTCTTGAAACTTCTAAACGTGCGGCTACATGGCATGATACACATGTCGTAGATGTGTGCCAGAAGATGATTATCCGTGGTACGGGCACGGTTACGCATCCGGTCAATACGGGGCATGGGTCGCGCAATCGCAGCGATAGCATTGCTAGTGCTGCGGGGGCGAATGGGGAGGACAAGAAGAGGAAGGGGATGTTGAGGCAGTGTGTGAGGTGTGGTTCTTGTATGGAGGATGTGTTTCCGGGGCTGCAAGGGTATGCGCCGCATCATTGTCAGTGGCTCATGGGCGTGAGTAAACATTGTATTTGTGGGAATAGCTGGATGCTGGTTGAAAGCAAGGGAAAGGCGAAATGAGGTAAATGATGAAAAACTTGCCGTACTTCAGTACGGCATTCGAGGGTTGGTATTTATTTTGGATAGAAGACAGGCCCACCATGAAACACCGGTGGAGCAGCAAAGTCGAGAAATTGAACAACTCGAGAACGCGGATATTTCAAACTTGGCAGTCACGAAGCTTAAAGGTCACAAAAACATTGAAATTATAATTGTGCTCATGTGTTTGCTTATTCATTCAGTTGCAGACTTGCTGCTTTTCATGTATCTCATCATAAGAGTGCATCGGAATCGTAAACACATACACACTGACAGAAGAGCCAAGGCCCAACGATCCAGTACAGCCAGCGGACAAGCAGTCTACGCCTTTGCCGCACCGGCCTTGATGAGGATGATATCACCATCCTCAACAACGTAGTCCTTGCCCTTGGTCATGATCTTACCCTTCGCCTTGCAGGTAGCTTCATCACCTTCTTCCCTCAGCGTGTTGTAGTTATATACGACACATTGGATGAAAGTCTTTTCGAAGTCACCGTGAATGACACCAGCGGCTTGTGGTGCCTTGGTACCAGTCCGTATCGTCCATTGTCGGACTTCGTCGGTACCAGTTGTGAAGAAGCTACCAAGTTGAAGAGCCTTGCGCATAGTCTGGATAGCCTTGGGAAGCGCGGACTTGGTGCCCAGGTTCTTGAGCTCCTCAGCAGCCTCGGCGTCGGACATGACGGCAATGCGCTCCTCGAGCGCTACGGAGATGGGGATGATTGGGTCACCAGGGGCGTTGGTCTTGACCCATTCAGCGATCTTGGGTAGGTTCTTGTTCTTTTGGCGGATGTAGTCCTTCTCGCTCAAGTTGACAAGGTATACCACAGGCTTGGCCGAGAGGAGGAAAAGAGGGTTGATGTGCTCGACCTGACGAATTGTAAGTTACGATTCGCGAGGAGATTGATGTTGCGCAATGGAGTTGAATGTTACAAATCAGAAAAGGACGTCACTTCAGGACGGTCCAGCGTTTATGGACCATCAGAGAGCTGGGATTATAGAGCAATCGCTCTTTGTCATCTTGTAACAGGGGTAGGAGAAAAAAAGAGGACGGGCTTACCTCCTTGGGTGACCAGTTGCCCTTGCGGACATCCTTGCCAGCCTTGAGCATCTCAAGGACCTTCTCAACGGTAGCTTGCTCCTCTTTGAGCTTCTTCATCTCCAAACTCTGGCCGCCTCTCCTTGTCTCCTTGACAAGCGCTGCATGTGCCTTCTCAACGAACTCAATGTCTTTTAGGCGCAGCTCCTCGGCAATAATGTCCAAATCACGGATTGGGTCGACGTCGCCCTCGACGTGAATGATCTCGGCATCGTCGAAGCATCGTACGACTTGGAAGATGGCATCGACAGCGCGGATATGTGACAAGAAGGCGTTACCGAGACCCGCACCAGTCGATGCACCACGGGTAAGACCAGCAATATCGTAGATGGTAAGATGGGCAGGCACGACCGACTTAGGCTTATAGTGCTCTACGAGCCAGTCGAAGCGCTCATCGGGGACCAGCACACGAGATTCTTCGGGGTCGATGGTGGCATATGGAAAGTTCTACGCACATTAGCAAAAAAATCAAAACGCAAACGACGCGTGACTTACGGCAGGGTTACCCAGTGAGCACTTTGTGATGGCTTGGAAGAGAGTCGACTTGCCGACGTTCGCTAGGCCAACCTGGCAATTACTGTTAATGTGAGAACGCGACAAAACAAAGCTACGCAGGGCTCTCACTCACGATACCACTCTTCAGGTTATTGCCTGGCCTGCCGAGCGGGAGCTTCTCCTCTTTGACCTGTTTCTTGGGAGGCATTTTTTTCTTCTTGGGGGCTGACGCGTATGTGCGGGCAGAGGAGTAGAGGAGGAAAAATTTGGTGGGACAAGTACAAGAGCGAAAAGAGGCCGAAAATTGGCTGGCAGTGCTTGCTGCCGGAGGGTACAAAGTGGGTATCAACGAAGAGAAAGAAAAGGTGAGCGACCTGGTGGGGGGCGTGATGAAATAGAGGGGTGGGAGAGTGACTTGCAGCCGCTCTCCTGCAGTTTTGCTTGGGTCGGGTTGGTGACGGCAGAGAGTCCAATCGAATTTTGCAGCTTAAGTTCCTGCGCTAAGACGCATTGACGTGCTTCCCAAATAGGCAAGATGGCTTCTTAGGGTGGGTGCATGCTCGCCGCGCCTCCAGACCGCAACGACGCGGCCATGTCTGCCCTATGCCACAGACGCTCGACCTCCCTCACCGTCTCCCCACACCTCCAGGGCCCTCTCCGCATATTACTCCCAGGGCTGGTCCCGTTCCTTTTACTCTTGTAACCTCGGCTCGCATCCCTCAATATTCGGACCCTTTGGCAGCTTTCATGATACCCCACCCTCTGCTGCCCATTACGCATAGACGCACCTGACTGCAATACATACTATACTCATATTGTGCACACACCCGTTCAGAATGTCTTCTTCTACCCGTCCAAAACCCTCGCGCAAAGCGTCTGGCCAACAACATAGGAGTACGCTATCGTTACAAAGAGCAGAGGTTACCATACACGTCTATGATTTACTACCACCCGGCAAAGTGTCGACGGTGTTGTGGGCAATAGGCAGTTCTCTGTTACATACAGGCGTCGTCATCGGCGACAAAGAATATGCATATGGTGGACACGACCGGCGGGATCTGACTGGCGTTTATTGGACCAAGCCAGGACAGGAGCCTCCAGGCGGCACCTTCAGACAGGCCATTCTACACGGGTTCTCGTTTCGGCCTGCGGAAGAACTGGAATCTATTATACAAGAGGTGCGACATTGAAATGAGATGCGGTTATGTGATTCATGGGCTGAACTGATCAATCTAGGCCTCACACGAGTTCCAAGGCACATCCTACAACCTCCTCACAAAGAACTGCAATCATTTTACATCCTACCTCTGCGAAAAGCTCACTGGTCGCCCAGCCCCGAGTTATCTCAACCGAGCTGCCAGCATCGGCGTCGCTCTCCCATGCGTTGTACCACGGGAATGGATAGCACCACCGGATTATGATACTGCGGATGGAGAGTTACTTGACGAGGACTTCGAAGACGAAGGGGCGTCGATGCTGCGACACGACCGAGAGCGGGAGCGACATCGAACTCATGAAGAAAGCAGAGGCTGGGAGCACGCGAGTAATCCTACTGGGAGTAGTCGCGCAGATTCGGGCGGCGCAAGAGGCCCTATTAGGTATGAGGCCGGAAATCTTGCCCCCAGACTTGTTAGCATCGCGGAAACAGATTCTAGTGGTAGGACTATTCCACCCGCTGAACGGGCACCGTTGCCAAGAAATTTGACATGACTCAAATTGGCTTGTTTATCTTGTTATATGTGCGTCTCCAGTGTGCCTGCTTTCAAAAGCCGAAAGCGTATACCCATAAACTCCTGGTGGCGGCATACTACCCACATATACTCTCCCATATATACACCAAAGTCTCAACCCAATCTCCTCGGCTTCTTACTCCTTGTACCACCGAACTTCAGCCTCGTCGAGTCTGACAACTTGACAATCAACGGTCGTACCTTCCTTCCCTCAGCACCCAATATCGCTTTTGTTACAGCCTCTCTCCCCGCCCCAAACCCCCTGTAGGTCAGTTCCAGCTTCTGGATCTGCGGTAGTAAACCCTTGTCCTGAATTCTGCTCATCAAGAAGGCGGCCAACTGGTAGGCAGCATCATACGTTCCCCGACCTGCTTTCCTGAAGCCAATATTCCCACATGACACGGATATCAAGGGGTCGCGGTTCGGTTTGGTGAGACAGAGATGTGTGTTGTGCTTGGTGGCGTAAACATGTAGTTTGTGTTTGTCGTCTTCTGCCCACTCGCGCGCCAGGTTGACAAGACCCGAGGGCTGGTTGGCGTTGGGTATTATGCTTCTGATGGACGGGTTGTAGGGGTCAGGACCTGCTTGCTGAAAGTTTCGGTCTACATTGGAGAGCATCGAGTCCATTTGGATTGGTTTGCCGGGTGGTGCAGCGGCATTGTGTGTGCTCTGAGTGAAGGCCCGCGCCGATTGTGAATGACGACACGATGCGCAAATGGTGGATGTGAGGGAGCGGAACGTTCGTAGCGCAGTGTTGTTGGCCATGTTGGGTGGTCAATGGCCCGATCGAGGCTCGGGGATGCACTGAGAGAAGGTCGCAGAAAGTTGCGTAGTTTGGGAGGCACTAACTAGTGCCGAATGGCCGATGCGCAAAAAGATGGCAACCCGCCTGACGTTCTTCATTCAACCTTCGCCGCGCCCGCCCTTCTGAGAATTATCTGCTGGGCCGGTCCTGCCCTTTAATTGAAGACTTAGCTTTTATTGTGTCCAATCCCGGAGCATGCGACCGTCAACTACGAGCACATTTGCCGCCAGTGCGCGATGGAGGATACAGCCCGCCGCTGCAACGCCAGCAAGCGCATACGGAAGAGCCGCAGCGTATAGGCGGATATCGACTTTACCTACAGCTTCAAGACTATCTGCTATACGCACTTCACTACCCACACAGTTTTCGCCCTCGGCAATTCCTCTCTTGCGGAGCCAATTCATGCCCCACGATGTCCTCCGCACGTCATCCGCATACGCCCGCCACTTCTCGTCTCGGCCCGGTCTATACAAGCAAGCACAGAAGCAAAAGGTTGTAAACGAGGACGAGCCCGCCACACGAACCGAGCCCAAGAAATCTGCTGCCTCTGAGGGAGAGCAGGCCGCAGGTGACCAGGCAAAGAAAGAGGGCGAGGACGCCAAAGAGAAGAAGGAGGGTGAGAAGGAAACTGGTGAACAGAAGGAGGGCGAAGAGGGTGAAAAGAAAGAAAAGAAGGATGCCCCGCCACCTCCGCCCCACGGCGATAAGACGCCATGGCAGGTCTTCACCGAGACTTTGAAGCAAGAGTTCCAGGCTTCGAAAGATTGGAATGAGGGCACAAAACAGTTGGGCGGTGCGTTACACGATTTCACCCAGAACCCACAAGTCCAAAAGGCTGGGGAGCTCTCAGAAGCTGCAAAGACCAAGACCACGCAGGCATTGAAAAAGACTGCGTCAGCCGTTGGTCAAGGTGCGGCCTGGACCTGGGATACTATGCCTGTAAAGGGTGTTCGTGCTGCTGCGAGGGTTACTGGTAGTGGTCTCGAATATGCGACCCGGCCAGTACGGCAAACCAAGGCTTTCCAGGCTGTCAAGGAGACTATTGACGATGGTAGCTCATCGAGATATGGCGGCTGGGTTGAGAAGGAGGAACGTAGGAAAAGGCGAGAATTACGCGAGCTCAACGAACTCAAGCGAGCTGGCGGCAAAGTCCAAGGGCCAATGGTTGAGAATCCAGAGTATGTTCCCATTGACAGCTATAGGATTTCTCACTAACAGCAAAAGTGCTGGTACAAACGTAACCCTTCACAAGGACGCCAAATACAAGGAAGTGTGGCGAGAATGGAAAGACAATTCCAAGCTCGCTCAGGGCTTCTTCAATATGAAGACCGTCTACAGGGAGTCTGACAACGCCATCATCGAGACTGCCCGTAGCATTTCTGACCGCATCACTGGCTTCTTCGCCGAAAACGAAACGGCCATGGTCATCAAGAAGTTCCGTGAAATGGACCCCAGCTTCCAAATGGAGCCCTTCTTAACCGAGATGCGCGAATACATTTTGCCAGAAGTTCTCGACGCATACGTCAAGGGCGATGTTGGCGTCTTGAAAGAGTGGCTATCCGCAGCCCAATACTCTGTATACGCCGCCCTCATGCAGCAATACCAGGCCGCTGGTCTCAAGTCGGATGGAAAGATTGTCGACATCCGCGGTGTCGATGTTTTAAACGCCAAACTCCTCGAACCAGGCGAGATCCCCGTCTTCATCCTTACCTGCAGAACCCAGGAGGTGCATGTCTATCGCAACGCAAAGTCTGGTGAACTGGCGTCGGGCATGGATGACAAGGTCCAGCAGGTCACATATGCGATTGGTGTCACGAGGATTCCAGAGGATGTGAACAATCCCGAAACGAGAGGCTGGCGATTGATTGAGCTGCAGAAAAGTGCTAGGGATTACTACTGAGCCACTCGATCCCAGCTCGTTCCCTACTGCTTTTCTTTTCTCACGCCCCACCGCCAATGTGTACGATACGATTATGGCTTTGTTGTATTTGCGTGCTCGCCATGAATTAGGCGATTTCCCACGTTCTGCCCACTAGCATCTTCCTTTGGCGTCCAAAAAATATTCCAGTTCGATACGTCTCTATCATGGTCGTGTCTGACTACCTTTTTCTTCGTTTTCTGGGGCTTGGAAGCGATGGTGGGGGATAGATGGTGGATCTGGGTTTCCTTGTAGATGAGGATGGGCGTATTTTTCTTCTCCAGATATGACACTCTTCTCTACTCTGTTATGTATAGTATGGTGGTTGGATGAGGGCGGTAGGAAAGAGGAATGATTAGTCAAGTCCAGCAGTGAGGAGGATGAACAATCCTCAACAAAGCAAGACCGGATATCTAACCCTCTCAATGAGGAGTCTGCCATTTTATGCGTTGATGATATGTGTGACTGTGTCAAAAACGGGAGTGGGACGTCATGTCCATCCAAGTACCAGCACAGGTAGGCAACAACCCCAACCCGTTCAAATACAGAGGTTGGCACCTGATGCCAGAAGAAGCCGCTTAGGAACATCGATTGAAACTTCGTGCGAGCTATTACACCTCCCAAGACTCCTTTGTATCTCCGTTCCGACCTCGCCCGTCCGTCGGTAGCCTCCTAGCGCTGGGCAAGAAGACACAACCAACCCGCGTCGCCCCTGTACCTCGGCAACTTTTATCCAAAAGTCCGAGCGTGCACGGAATCCCCGACATAGTGTTACGCTTTCACAACCCACCGAACCGAACCGCACTCGCTCGCTCACCGACTCGTGTCGTTTTCTATTTTCCCCACGCTAGCCAGAAATTTCTCTTCTGCTTGGGCTTCTAGACGCAACGCGTGTTCATGTTGACCGCAAGGATAGCCTTATCGAGGCATGTGGGCCTTGGGGCGGGAACGAGGAGTTTGGCGGCGGCGCCGTTCCGGTGCGAGGTCGGCTTTGGTGGTATAAAAGATGGAATCGTTCCTGGTTGTTGGGTGAGAGGACAAGAACGGCAGGGATTGAGACGGTGGAACAGTAGTGCTTGTATGTGAGATTTCTTCTTTTTCTCAGACACACTTTGTCCATATTTATATCTATATAAGGGAATATGAAGGTTCAATGCTAACACAATCGCCTCCAGCTTCACCACCAAACCCCCAATCTTCAACAACAACAACAACAGCACCACCACCTTCTTCACCTCCAAACGCAAAACGCCCCTTGTACCTCACTTTCCCTACCGCGCTCGCCCTAACCCTCTTCGCCTTCACAGCCGGCTTCACCATGTCGGGCAGCCCCGCCATCCCCTCAATAACCGCGCTCGCAAACCCCCCCACAGACGCCGAAACCCTAACCATCTACCACCCAACCACGCCCTCTGAATCCGAAATCGAGACCCTCATCCAAACACACCCACTCACGCAATCCCTCCTCTCAGACCTCCGCTACACGGCCTCGCGCCCGCACTTGAAAATCCCCGAGCCCTTACGCCCCCAAAACCTCACGGGGGGCACTCTCCTCGGCGCAGATAAAATCGCCGTTCCACCACTTCAATTCGCAACTCAAGACGGCTCCAGCTATGTGAGTTTGCAATACTTGGGTCCCGCGTTGTGCGGGCACCCTGGTATCGTGCATGGAGGGTTGCTGGCCACGCTGCTGGATGAAGGGCTTGCGAGATGCTGTTTACCTGCGTTGCCGAATAAGGTGGGTGTCACGGCGAGTTTGAAAGTGGATTATAAGGCGCCGTGTTTGGCGGGTCAGGTCGTGGTGCTTAGGGCCGAGACGGTAAAGGTCGAGGGGAGGAAGGCGTGGGTCGAGGGACGGTTGGAGACTTTGGGGGAGTGGGAAGGGGGCGTTTGTGTCAAGGAGGGGACTGTGTTGACAAGGGGGGAGGCGTTGTTTATTGAGCTAAGGCAGGCGAAGCAGATGGCCAGGGTTGTGAATTAGAACGGTGTGGTATGGCGTTGGAGATTGCGTGCATTGTTCCTTTTGGAAGAGAAACGCGGGGAGGGCGGTATAGATGTGTGTTTGATTACGTTGTTGATTTGGGCAGAAACAGGGTGGCTAGAATCGCCAGGTTAGACTAGACATGACATATAACTACAGACATCCACAAACTAGTTAGATAAATACTTTACCCCGATACAAAACAACGCAACACTACACCCATCGTCCATCTCATCACAATCATACACATTTGCCAACATCACATCACACACACAAGCACACAAAGATATAAGCTCTGACCCAAGACACATGCGCATCTTTTTCATTAGAATATTACCGTCTCGACCCGGAACAAGAAAAACATGGCCATCAACACTAGACGACCAACATTTTCCCCCGGCTGGCCAACACACTTTCTATCTACATACAAGAGACAGACAGACAGGAGATGGAGGAGATCTTATCCGTCTTGACACGGACGCCATTAAACAAACAAACAACACATACCCATATACACACACACCAGAGACATTTGTGTGGTCGGTAGCCGCGGCAAGTAGCAGATGTCGTTTGTTTCAACGACAAAACGAAGCTAATCCGCCCACCCAACAGACAGAGCAACGAAAAGAGATGTTCAGGAAAGATGGATGGATAGATGGGATAAAACCAAAAAAAGAAGAAAGAAAGAGTGTTTAGAAAATGAAAAGGTGGTTGTGAGAGAGTGTTGTGGTTATAGAGTAAGTAGATGTTTATATACACTGGTAGTAAAAGGAGGTACTTTATCGCGCCCAAATATGAGAGCGTTTCAGAGGGAAAAGGTTGCCTTGGCGGATTGTTGATGTCGAGGTGGGGGTGGGGTTGACGCGCTGTGAGGGGGTTGGCGTCGGGTATCTGTAGCGACTGAATTGCAAAAGGCGCTCGGTCCACGGGTGGAAAGGGGAGTGGGCTTATGCAATGGGATAAAACAAATGGGGTGTAGACGCCCGGCGCTGGATGGCATGCTATGCTCGAGAAAGAAAGACTGGCTGCTGATGTACATGGATATCCGTTCGCTGAATGATGCTACTTTTCGAGGTGGGAGGTGGAAGAGAGGGAAGCACAAATGAGTAGGTGTAGAGGGTGGAGTAGGTGAGGCGTTTGAGTGTGGGCTCGTTATCGACGTCAAGACCGGAGCTGAGCATGATCAAGAGAGATTTATCGTCCACCCTCACCAATGTTCAGCCATGACATGTCGGCTTGCACCTTCTTTGAGCTGTCCTGGTTGTTTCCTCCCGGGAACATGGTCACGTTGCTCTCGTGTCCGGCGCGCGGCGCAGGGTAGAAGGAGCCGAACTTGGGGCTCGGTAACGCAGCGTCCTGTTGCGCTTTCGTGGCAGCGCCTGCCCCGCTGGGGAAGAGTGTGCTGGTACTCTCGCGGGTGTTGGGCAGGTTGATCTGTGGTGGCGTGGGGTACATTGAGCTGAACTGACCCTTGGAAGCCTCTCCTGCTCCGGCAGTATCAGAAGGGAACATGGTGTATGAGCTGTCACGCATGTCAGGAAGGACTGGTGCGTTTTCTTGTCCAGGGTAAAAGGAACTTAAGTTGCTCTTAGGGTAGAACGACTCATTCGGATCGGGATAGTACGAGCCGTTGACGTCGTACTTGCTGTTGGGCTCGATAACCATGCTGCCTGTGTACTGACTGCTAGTTCGTCGGTCCTCACCCACTGGGGTCCAGCTTTCCACAGCCCTGTGGCGGTAGTGATCGCCGTCGTGGCTGAGGCCGGATATTGTGCTAGCGTTCGAGTTGGCGCGGGCGAGCTCTGCTTGCATAGGCTGGATGTTGTGTGCTAGACCAATGCTCGCAGGGGGTGCTCCAAGTGTAGGACTGCCACTCGCCACTGAGCTCAGACGCTGATTATCTCCAAACTTGGGAATCTCCAGTGGCGCGATGTGTTGCGAGGGGCGTGAGCTGTACATGTGCGAGTTTGTATACCGCGACACACTGTCCATGCTGGTCCGATCCGACGCAAAGGTTGACCGGTCAGCTGGTGGAGCGTTTGCGAGATTGGTAGCATCGTTGTTAGCAAAGTAGCGGCTCCAGCCTGAGCTGCGAGCTCTTGGGGCAGGTTTGGCTACTCGGCTCGAATTTTGGCGAACGATTTGATCAGCAGGTTCCGGCTTAAGGTCGAACTTGGCAAGCTCATAGGGCTCAGAGTAACCCAGCGGGCTGGTCTTCTTGACGAGGCCTGCCGTGCTGGCGTCGCTCGCAGCGTTCTTCTTGTGGCCAGTGTTTCTTCCTTGGATAATAGCAAGCGAAGTGAGTGAGTCGTTGTTGTGTTTGGGCTGGTAGTTGACCACTGATCCTCCCGCTTCTTTCATAAAGTCGGCCCCGCGGTCGGCAAAGCTCATACGAGCATCACGGGCCTCCTTCTCCACGTAGCCAGCATTCTTCTTGCTCTTGTTCTTCCTGTACTTGAGACACAACAAGACCAGGACCAGAAGAAGCGCAATGCCGAAAATTGTTCCTAGCGTAGCCCCGAGGACGGTCAGCATCCTGCCCTTGTTGTCAGGGGGTGGTGGAGGAAACGCGGGAGTTGCTGAGTTGGTAGAGCTGGCGGCAGCTGATGGATCTGAGGTGGAGGTTGGCGATGATGATGTGATGGAAGACGAGACGGAGTTGGAGAGCACCTGCTGTCCACTAAACACAGCTGTCGCATTCATCCAGGCGTTTTCAGTGGCGTCGAACAAAGCAATGGGTTCCTCGGGGTTTCCTCCGCTCGCCACGGTCTTGCCATCCTCTCCTTGAGCTAATGAGTAACCTGATCGTGTCGACATTGGCGCATATGTTTCGTTATATGAGGAGAAGTTGTCCAAGACTAGCCGCTTCGACTTGCCTCCGACGACGGTGCCCGGATTTGCGGGCTTACCGTCCTTGTTCAATAGTAGTATCCGCTCCACGGCATTTGGTGTTACACTCATGTCAAACTTCTGGAGAGCGACTTCTCCGTCTTTGCTGGAAACGACGGTGCACTTGACTTGTTCCTGATTTGAAAGCGGTTGTTGGAGCTTAACGCCAAGGTCCTGCCATCCTCCTGATTGCGTAAATTTCCAGACAGCAGTGTTGGTGGGGCCACCACCGACTAGCAGCGCAGTGTTGGGGTCCGAGTTCATTAGCATAGGCATTACCGACGGCGGTGCGCCCAAGGATTGTAGACTGGAGACGGTGTAAGGCGATTTAGTAGAGTACAGGAAGGTTTCTGTCGATGCGCCGGTGTTGCCCTCGACTTGTGATCCCGAGTAGACGAGAATTTTTTGCGAGTCCTGGAGGTAGACTGCGCCGTGGTTGACTCTGTTCTGCGTATTCCAACTCTCCGAACGTAGCCAATCCCACTTCTTTTCCGCAAATGTGTAGTGCATCAGTCCCGGGTAGTTCCAGTCGGCGGCCGTGGCATTGGGCCGTCCTCCAACGATGAAGAGTTTAGCGTCCTTTTTGTTACCCTTGGGTACCGCCTTGACGCATTCGGCGCCGGTGAGGGATATGTCCATTGGCAATGGCTGCCATTTTGCCCCCTCTTCAAGCTTCAGCGACTGGAAACCAGCTGGCGAGTATACGTAAAGCGTGTCTTCGTAGATTATTGAGCAATGCCCAGTCAAGGGGTACAGCGGTTGTGGCGTGCCCATGATGATGTAGATCGGTTGACGATCGGAAGGAAAAACGAATGTAGTGAGCGTTTAGTGTCGACTCAAGACGCAGGGAAACACTACCAAGGACCAATTAAGATTCCGGCCGACTTGTCATATCTATGTGGCAGTTGGTTGTGTGTATTAACAGGACAGGATGCAGAGATGCAAAGAGGACCCGCGTCGGCTTCAACTGGAAGCGCGTGTGGTGAGGAGAAGGTTAGACGCAGTCAACTGTCGCAATATACAGGGTCAGTCGGTCCAAGGCAGAATGGCAGCGTCGTCCAACGTACTTGAAGTCCAAGACACGACTGATGTCAACAGCAATGTTTGTGTAATGGGTGGCCGACAAGTGTATTCGAGCGAATGCACAGAGAGCTGGGGGCAGGCGCTCTCTCAAAGAGGCGTTAAGGATTGGGGCGAAGGGTAGTTTTGTTTGAAATGAGAGGCAGCACAGCTGTGCAGAGTGCGGGTGGTGTCGAGGGGAAGCCGTCTTGGTGAGGCTGTCAGGCACGCGGAGGCTGAAGCTGGGGAGAGACAGCTGAGCCTGAGCGCTGGAGCGAGAGGGAGACGTCCAAGCGGCCGGTGAGAAGGCCCGTCGTAGCTCACGGGCGCGCGCAAGGGCAGAGTGGCAGCAGCAGCAGCGTCCGGGTGGGCTTGGGCAGGATACCAAAAGCGCCTAAGCGGCGACGGCACGAGCGAGGGTGACACCATGCACACGAAGAGAGTCAGGGGGTTGCTGGTGAGACAGGCCAATGACGTGCGCCCAAAAGCCTCGTTATTCGCCTTTGCCCCTGGCCTTGGCCGAGAGCATTTAGCGGCCTAGTTAGCCAAGAAGGGCCTCCAGGGCTGCGTGCAGCGAAGAAACAGCCCAGTGTCGGACCTGGGCCATGACAAGATGGTAAGACGAAGACGATGGTTAGTTTTGCCCCGAACATGTACCTTTGCCATTGACTGCATTCACTGCATTCACTGCATTCACTGCTGCCATGTTGCCACATAACCTGCAAACGCCGCCTACCAAGAGGGAATCTGCTTCCGTAATTGCTGTCGTCGCCGCGCCGCCGATCTCATTCTGGTCGCATGAAACCTCGACACAAACGGGGACATGGACAAGGATTCGCATCATTTCCCCTCTACGATCAACCCTCACGAATCAGGACTGACCGCTCTCCTGCTTCCTTCTGTACCGTACGCGCGCTCATGAAAAACGCCTCGCATCATGGTGAGAGTATGTAGTAAGAAAGACAGTCAGACGGAAAAGGTCAGCATGCAGGTCCAAAGTTTGTTGCCCTGACCGTAGTCGGTAGCGTCCGCAGTAGTCTTTGTGCCTAAGTAAAGGCTACACTAGATACCAGTACCAGTGCCGTATATGCACATGCACAGGCACAGGCAGTAGTGCCCTGCCATGGTCCACATTTGGGCACGGCTCTGCGCATCTCGAGCTGCTGCCGCTCGTCATACTACTGCAGTCATTGCTGCACATTTGGCCACAACGGCTTACCTGTCTGTTGGTCGGCCGTAGACTCGGGGCGTCGTCAGGTCGTCGTCACACCCTCATCACGCCTTTGCGACAATGATTCGAAACTGTCGACTGTCATGGCACAATTGCAATAAAAACACAAGACGCGCGCGCTCCAATGGCCGCCAGCTGCCTCGGGCGTGGGTGGAGGAATACGAAGCGACGAAGCCCCTCCTTCGTAACTTACCTGCGCCTGCCATCTGAAACCAAAGGAAACCTCGGCCCCTGACTCAGCCTGTTTGCTAACCACGCGCTGTAAGACATAAGCGCATAAACCGTGTCGTCTACATACACCATCATCTATCTTTGACCAAGCATCGTGACCCGTCACCGACTCATTGATTGTGGCTACATCCGTCCGTTGTCATTAACAATCTGTCACACACCCCCACCCCGGCCCGCTGCGACTGCCCATATTAGCTCACTTATCCAGGACCTCCTTCCGCCAGTGCTCACATAAGTACAGTACAATGCGCTTGGCAGTCATCAATCGATCCCAAGAAGACAATCGCCTTCTCCAACCGTCGGCAAAACAAATGCCATGCAGCTAACGAGCCACCAGACAGGCCTGGCCTTGCACCACGGCAGTGGCGGCACACTACTCTGCAACGCCAAAGCCCTTCCAATACCCTTCCAAAGCATTGAATATGGACAAAGAAGAACACCTGCGCATCATAGCAACTTTGTGTGCACCAATCTACCCTGTCTGAGCAACGAGCCTTGTCCCTACCTCCAAGCTCCGATACGAAACAGTGTCTACGCCGCCAACACTAGGCTCTCGTAAGACGCGACGGTACGCCTGGTAATTCATTTCTCCTTGCTCCAATCAAAGACGCGTTTGCACATGTTTCTTCAGGCGCGCCTGCGTCTGGGGAAAATCCATGTACGCCATACCATCAGCCCAAGGCAGCCTTTTTCATCCAAGCGTTCAAGAAACCACCGTCCATCTGATATTAACGGCATGTGGAGCGGCACTTGCATCTGTCAAACCTGACATGGCGGTCCTCCAACAGAAGCATCGACACGTAGATACGCGAACGCGCAATAAGCAACGTCAGGTGAGCTGGAACAGCAGCTTTTCATATCTGGAGCAAGCCTCGTGCTTTTTTCCATACAAAACGGTAAATGTAAAACGGTGCATGTGGGGGGGGAACATGTCACCGCACGTGGGTCTTTGCAGGCTTCATATATTCCTTTTCCCAACCCCTCAATCGAGTGTACAGTGGAGCATTGCAAGAAGCAAGTTCGTTCAAACTACCATTGTTATCGCGATTGCGAACCCGATTAGATTAAATCAAGCATATAGTAGCATGCAAAAGCATGCGAGAGCAATGGTCTAGATTGTTTCCAAACAACCTTGGATGTGTATTCCCAGTCCGTAACTAGGCGTGCTTTACATACATTGAAGCCACGTTTAGAAGTTGTGACGAAGCCCTATAATACCAATTTACTGGAAACCAGGTGTTTGTGACTTGGAAATCGGGAAGGTGGGGGGGGGGAGCAAACGAGCCTGTCAAAAGATTGAATCACGTTACACGTACAACTGCATAGACTATCAACATCACCCAAGCAAATCGCGTATCTCATCATGTCGCCATCTCACATACGAGACACGGCCCCTCCACTACCGCCAATAACTTCCCCCCTCTAGTCGTCTACTAATAACCAACCCGCCACTCGCCACCGCTCACTTACCCAATCAACCCCATCCTCCATACATGCCCTAAAATATGTACAACACAAAATTCTTTGTCCAACTTCCGCTCCGCCCCGCGGCCTCCGATGATTCTACCGACCTCCGAATACGAAGGTTTCGTAAATCTTAATTTGCGCTTCCGTCCAATGGCTGTCACCGCGCCGAGTCGTACCCAGGAGTAGTAAGGAGCAGTAAGCAGTGTGTCTCCGCGTTGTTCCGGGTATGTGGCTAAAGATCGGATGATTCCATCATGGTAAGGTCGATACGCTGGGTAGTCTTCGTGGCCGTGAGATCGCGGGGTCTGGGCGTCAGGGTAAGTTGGGTTGGATGGATATAATTTCCTGATGAAGGTAGAATGGAATGGGTAGGAGGGATTTCAAATAGCACATTCCATGGTGGGAAAATACAACCATATACAGATCCTCAAAAAAATCTCACACATGGTTTATCTGGTCTACAATACATCATCTTTCCATATTCGTCACCAGAATCTGTATTCGTGTATTATACCATTGCAATACGGAAACCTCATAAGTTTAATGCCAGTACATATACTCGCTACCATCTGTTCTCTGACATACCACATTACCTCGACCAGCTCAGCCTAACCACTGCCCACACTACCTAAGCCAACATCTGTACAATTCCAAATCAGTATACAGCCCTTTACATTTTAGATTCAAACTCCTCTAGTCAACCACATCTCCTCCACACATGTCCTACACAAAAATATCTTCCATCTCCGTACCTCCGCCATCCACTCTTAGCGCGAACCTACAACACCTATCCACCACGACATGAACCTCCCGACCCAATGAGACTGCGCCCCCTTCAACCCAATATCCACACTATTCGAGATCGAAAATCGACATCGACGATAAACCCACCAAAGTTCTCCGTAGTAAGCCCCCAGTGCTCCACTAAAAAGTGCAAACTAACAAAGGCAAAAAAGCAAATAGAAACTAAGGCCCAAGACTCAAGCCAAACCTACGGTACCACAACATGCAGTAGCACCATCGTACATGCATAACCGAGCCCAAACATACGTTAGCTGAAACAGAAACACCTTCTATTTAGAGACACAAGACGTCATCCAAGAGTCTTCTTTCTCGGCCTATCTAGGCGTGCTGCTTGAAAGACGTGATCAAGCTGTTTCTAGATGCATGATGAGAGATAGGTAAGGGGCGAGCGTGAGATAAGAGAGCATTTACAGAGTAGATTGGAGAAGAGTGTGGTATTGATTGTATTATACTCACCTCGTGGGGTGTTGTAGTTCGGGACCATGCCATGGAGGAACAACTTCGCTCGTGAACAGTATACCGGCCAGACAAGTAAAGCAAAATAAACATCATTGGCAAAGAATCAAAAGATGATCAAGGATCCGATTTCATCATAGGCAGTATGTCGAAGCATCACATGCTTCCATCAACATACAAAACCTATCATAATTGTAGAAATGTGTCTCACCATCAAATCATCTCCTTCATCGAATATCTCGAAGACGATCTGCAGGCGAGCAACGGCTATTGCCATCGGTCTTTACTCTTCGCTAGTCGTATAGCTCACGGCAACCAAGGGATACGGTTGATGAGCAGATATCCTAGCGTGATTGGAAACATCACGTGTAGACTTTTCACGGCGACGGCAGGAGTAACAAATCCGATTGATTGCCAAACTCCAGATCCATCGTTGGTATCATTTCGAACAGAATATTTCGACGGGGCCGCATGACGGCAAGTCCATTGTTCGAGCTAGAAGCCGGTATAACGCCCTGCTTTTCATGCGCGCATCGCATGCCCAGACCGTGAACCCATGATATGCATTTCATCCACTGCGGGTGAGTACGAGAGCTCGTGTCGATGTCCCTCGAAGCCGTGATGTGTCGTCAACCAAGAAACAAAAGTGAGCGCTTATGCCTCCCTCTGCTTCTTCTTCTCCTCGCGACCGGCGCTCTTGCGCTCCAGGATGGACTCACGGTCCTTGTCGAGCTTGAGCTTGGTGACAACGACCTTGGAGGGAGCGATGGGGATGGGGACCGATTGGCCGTTGCTCTTCTCGCGGACGACTGTGTTTCAACTTAGTACGACGGAAGCCAGAGGTGATTTCAGGGCTACGCACTGCCGTTGACGTGGATGCAGTACTTGAGACGGTAGACGGATGAAACCTTGCCCTCACGTCCTTTGTTGGAGCCGCGGACGACGGTGATCTCGTCCTGAAAAAATTAGCACACAAAGGCAAGGAGGAAGCAAACTGAGGGTACTTACATCCTTGCGGATGGGAATGCTGCGCACTCCGTGCTTCTCGCGGAGCTCCTTACTCAAAGGCGCCTGAAGGTTGTTAGAACATGTCCATTGCATTGTTCCAAGTCTCTTCATACGCTCATGATGACCCGACGCACACTACTCGGCGCACTGAAGTGTGCCTTTCGCGATTTGCGGCGAGAGCTCGCGACCATTGACTGGACCTTGGTCATTTTTGCTGTGGATGTGGCGGGTTGTCGGGTTAGTAGACAAAGTTCGTGGTCGCAACACAAAATTGAGAGTCGGGGGACTCATTGTGCTGGGCCGTCGCTTCGTTAGCGCCGGAGTGATGGTTTTGCCGGAACGCCGACACGTCCGGCCCATGCAAGCCGCCAACCCAACGCGCGCGTCGGAATGATGGATGAGTGCCGGGACGTTAGTACTTCCAGCACGCGTCGCAGGTAGTCTGTCTCGCTGTCGGCGTACTTGGCGTGTACACTATACACGGTGATAGTAAAGTGTCGCGCTGGAATCACCCCACGTCCATCGGGATTCAAAGCGACTCTTTACCATACTCGCCCCCTGTACGCGAACCGGCATTCTCCATGCTGTTGCCCTACCTACCTCACCTGTACCGAGGCTATAGGTGGGCTCCTAGGCTCTAGAACACACACCCGCCATGTCATCCAACAATTACAATCAATACAGCTATCCGTACCAGCAAAGCTCCGCCCAGCCGTACTCGACTTACCAGACCGCATCTGCTTCGAACAATGTCGCGCCCGCGCCCCGTCAGTACCAGCAGCCGCCGCCGACTCAGGCACAGGACTACATGTCCTATCAGCCACAATTGTACGCGAATCAGAATAACGGCTATGCCACGGGTCAGGACAATTCATGGAATGGCACCAACTATGGCAGCACGCGAGAGACGACGAGTCGCGCTGCCGAAGTTCTGCGCAACATGAGCAATCCATCTTATACGAATAATAACACAGCGGTGACTAACCAAACGGCCTTCACCGCAGGCAATGCCACGGCTTCGCACTCTGGTCACTATACGACAGGCAATTCACATTCACCACAAGTGCAGGCGCAGCCGGCTTATGCGCAGTCGCAACCACGTCCCCGCAGTGTCAACACGAACCGCACACAGCCAGCAAGTCGAGGTTTACCGTCCCCTGCTATGACGGCAGGCTATCCCTCACAGAGGGCACAGACAATATACAATCAGCAACAACAGCGTTCCGCCAGCCCAGCCCAGCCCCAATACAACAATGTACCTGCCAGTAACGTGAGAACTGCGACTATGACGGCTACGGCAAACCAACACTATACAGACTATAGCGACCGACAACTCCCTAGCGTCGACGCCTCGCGTAGCTCTCAGAACGCCACATCGTCGACGGCCTACAACTACGGCAACGCGCAAATGCCTTCGAGCGCAATCGCACAACCAGCGCCCACTGCCACTATGGCTGATACATACAGTGCTCAAAGTACCACCACCGTAGATCCACTGGCAGTGTATGATCCGTGGCCGGAATACCAGCGTAAACAGGCCGCGCAGAAGGCGATGGAGGATGCACAGCGCGCAGAAGAGGAAAGGATTGCCGAGGAGGCGCGTAAGATAGAAGAGCAGAAAAAAGAAGAGGAGCGCAAGCGACAGCAGGAGGAGAACCAACTACGACAATCGCAGTCAAGGTCGATGACGGCTCAAAAACAACAGCCAAACGCTGCTGAGACAGCCTCTGCAGCACCGACTGGCAACGATGCGGCCCAAGCGTTGGAGACTCAGATCCGTGAGGTGATGGCCAAGATGCGCGAGTTGAACAGACAAGATCCAGCTATGCTGGCACGCATTTGGGACGAAGAACGTAAAGCAAAACCCAAGTCGCCCACGGTGCAAAGCAAAGCCCCCTCCACAGCTGCAGCCGCAGCTGCGCAGGCCGTACAACCTGCCCAAGCCAACACACCTCAGCCTATCAGCTCAAAGAAGAAGACAGTGTCCAGAGACACAGTTGACCTACGCCCTCCCAAGCGAGCCACGGGAAACACTGTTTGGCCACCTGAGAAGAAGGCTCATCTAGCCAACGCAGCGGCGGTATATCTCAACGCCCAGAATGAGGTCCAAAAAATCGAAGGCAGTCAGGTGCTAAACATGCTAAACCGTAACCCATCTTATATTGAACTATGCGAACAATTAGAGCACATGGGTCTGAAACTAGATCGTGCTGCTTTCGCCAAGAATTTACTTACGGCTGTACCAGACGTCAATTCAGCGTCTCGCAAGTCCGTACCCCAACCTACACCGGTTCCAGCGCCGAAACCTCCCGTACCCCCTGCCGTCATGAAGAGGGAAGTCACGACACCTGGTGTGCCAAGTCCACAATACAGGCCAGCGGCTGCCTCACCAGCAAATGGAGTAACCTACTCGTCATTCCCGGACGATACCCCGGCCGCACCTACCCCAGTGCCCGTTGCTGAAATGGTCCCAATAAAACCTGAGCTGAGAAAACCCGCAAACAAAGAGGAAGCAGCGCGCAAGCGCAATCTGAGTGACCTTGTCGACCTTACCCAGCTATCAGACGAAGACGAGATGGGACCGCCACCCAAAAGGCTAAACACAGACTCTCTTCATACATACGGATCTCCGCAGCCAAGTTCCCAGGACGCAATGCACGTCGACCAGGAGCCCGCAACCCTGAATTTCCCCATCTCCCATGCACCTGCTCCCGCCCATCCGCCACAAGCATCCCTACCTCAACCAGTTCAGCCGCCTAGTGAACTTCGATATACAAGTTATGTCGAGCCACTGGATAAGAAGAAAGCTCTACGTCGTAACACCTACAACCCCGCCACAATCGCACGAGATGTTCTTCTTGCTTGTGGCAGACACCCATCGGAGAGGAACCTTAATCAACATCTCGACGGACTTAGGACAACTTTAACTCAGATCACATTCGACGCGGATCTTAGTACGATTCGCTGGGATTTGATCGATCCTGGAAACCCACCACCAGGTTACTTCAAGAACGGTGTCCAAGCTTTGACAGAGGATGCGGACGATGAGGATGATTCGGATGAGGACGAGAGAGCACAGGCCCCCCGAGCTCCGACCAACGCGATTGGCGGTGAAGGTGGGGCGCAAGCCAGGGTCCAAGCTTTACCAGAAGCAATCAATCCGTTCAAGCAAAAGCGCCGCGGTCGACCTCCTCGACATTCTTTCCCAGACGGTGCAGGCCCGACAACACCCAAACGTCCAATTAATTTCGCGCCGATGAATTCCAGTGCTCCTCGTCCGTCTAGCGGTGCTGCTGGTGGAGTAGGATACCAAGCTTTCCGTTCAGCCACTAAGTACGGCCCTGATGGAAAACCGCTTCCCAAGAAGAAGGGTCGTCCAGTTGGATGGAGGAAAGCGATTCATGGATCTGCTGCAGCACAATCTCGCACAGGCGCAAATGGTCAAACCGGCTCGTTGAGTTACCAACCTCCGCAACCGAGCTCTTTGCGCAATGTTTCCACGGGCCAGAGCAACGAGTCAATTCGCATCGATTCCAGGTCGCCGAGTGTTGTTCGCCAGTATCCGGTGTACAATTGCAAGTGGCAAAATTGCAAGGCCATTTTGCACAACCTGGAAACGTTGCAAAAACACGTCTTCAAGGTACATCGGAAGGAGACGCACCGGAAAACTCTAGAGTGCCTATGGGACGACTGTGGCAAAGAAGTCACCAACTTTGATCCCATGACCAATATGAGACTCGAACGTCACCGGCCATTTTCTTTTGACCTAGAGAGTGACTGGCGCGGCCATCTACAGCAGAACCACTTCAGTGATTTGTCATGGAAGCTCGGTGACGGACCAGCCGGGGGTCTCTCTGGTAAGGAAGATAGTTAGAGGGCGTTTGCTTTAGATGGATTGAGTTCGTACATCTTATCTAACACTTAATAATCTAGATTCACATGATTCTGAGGTGGAGTCGTATCTGAACGATGCACAAGGTCGACAAGTCACTCCACGGATTACCGTCGAACCAGAACGTTTAGAGGCAATTCGTTCATCGTGGTCACCACAGCCGTCGGCAGTTGCCCATCGGGGTCGTGGGCGTCCAGCAAAATATACGGCAGAACAAGAAGCTCGTGATGCACATGATAGACTCGTGTCGCATAAGAAGCGCATTGGAGGGCCGGGCATGGATCGCGGAGGTGCGACGCTGGTGAACGAGAAACGCAGAAGAGGCCTCATTGAGACTGAGGAGACAGAAGAGGAGCTAGTCGATGCAGAATATTAACGGAGATGGTAGTGTCTTTAGGCGATGGGATCTCATCTGCTATTGTTTTTTTGTATCTCTGACAATTACGCGTATACCCACTGAGAAAGCTTCACGCATTTGGTTGGCTTTGTCGAGTACATAGTTGAAGTAAATGAAAACACAGTACATGCCATATCTTGCTTAATCGAATATGGTATTATACAGGTGTGATAAGCAGAACACGGTCCCATGTATCCGTCCGGGCTCATGGTCTGGTTGTGACATGTGCCATGTGGTGTACGCCATAACTCCATGCTGGTGTTTGACATGCGTCTTCTTGATGTGTGAATGGTATAGTTTCCTCTCCGTCCCCTGCATGCCTTTGCAGCATTCTTAATTCCCTGGTGCCAGTAAAATGTGATATCCCTTATGCCTTGGCCTTTGACTTGCCCGCTGCGGAATTGGGTTTCTCCTGGACCTTGTGGTCTTCCGAGTTGACCTCGAGGAAATGATATAGCACGATGAGCATCATAGCAGCGCTTCCGAGGAAGATGGCGAGCGAGTAGAGTTGGCTGTCGGTAATCATCTTGGTGCTGACGGCGCGTCAATGACAGGTGGGCAGTAGTGTGGAGGGTTTCAAGATGGACTGCGGAGTTGTCAGTGGATTCAATTGCCGCATAAAATTGCCAAAAACTTACAGGAGGTGAGAGCGACAGGGCAAGTTTGAAGTCGGGAATGTCGGGGCCGTTGTTGTGCTGTGATTGATTGCTGGGGTTCATGTGAGCGCTGGAGGCCACATTGGAGCTTCGGGAATGTCGGCGATCCTGGCAGGGCAGGCTGGCTCTTAGCGCAAGTCACTCCGCCACTCGAAAATCCACCCCACACAAGCGTCATTCTCACTTTATTACACACATCCTGTGTGCTATACCGACCACCAGGCACCGAACTCGACCTCAACTCGATCCCCAAGTTCGCGGGACCCCCAACTCACCTCACCCCACCCCACTGTCATTTCCACGCCCGCACAGAGTCACCCAACATGGCACCCAAAGGCAAGGGCGAGCAGCCCAAGGTGAAAAAGGTCGCCGTGGACAAGACTTTTGGTATGAAAAACAAAAAGGGAGGAGCCGCCCAGAAACAGATTGCGCAGATCAAGGCGACAGCTGCCTCGGGAGGGTCGCCCGATGAGAAGCGAAAGGCGGCGGAGAAGTTGCAGCGCGAGAAGGAGAAGTTGGCGGCAGAGCAAGCACGCAAGGAAACCGCCGAGCTCTTCAAGCCTGTACAGGTCCAGAAGGTGCCCTTTGGAACCGACCCCAAAACAGTACTATGTCAGTTCTTCAAGAAGGGCAACTGCGAAAAGGGCAAGAAGTGCAAGTTCAGCCACGACCTGGCTATCGAACGCAAGACGGAGAAGAGGAGTTTGTACACTGATAGCCGAGACAAAGAGAAGGAAGAGGAAGAAGAGCGACGGAAGAAAGACAACATGGACAACTGGGACGAAGACAAGCTGCGACAGGTCGTTCTCAGCAAGCACGGCAACCCCAAGACAACAACGGACAAGGTGTGCAAATACTTTATTGCCGCTATCGAGGACCAGAAGTATGGTTGGTTCTGGATATGTCCAAATGGAGACAAGTGCATGTACAAGCACTCTCTGCCGCCAGGGTACGTTATTCTTCTTTTTCTTACATGCGCAAATCGTGGCCCGATAGCGCACTTCAAAACGCCACACAACAGATGTATTACTACGAATCTTGTACAACAAAGGGCCGCGCATATCTTTCGAAGATACCAAGGTCACGCTCACATGGACTAACACGATCCACAGGTTCGTTATCAAGACCAAGGAACAACGTGCCGCCGAAAAGGCGCTCATGGCCAACTCACCACTCAACACCCTCACTCTCGAAGACTTCCTTGAGTCTGAGCGTCACAAGCTTACCGGCAAACTCACACCCGTCACACCAGAAACCTTTGCAAAATGGAAGAAGGAGCGTGTCGACAAGAAACAAGCCGAGGAAGAGGCCAAGAAGATGAAGGAGGCCACGGGTAGGGCCATGTTCGAAAAGGGCGACTGGGCACAAGACAGTGATGCGGATAGTGATGACGATGATTCAGATGAGTGGAATTTGGAGACGATGCGAAAGGAGACCGAGGCGGCCAGGGCGCGGAAGGAGGAGGAACGCATGGCTGCTCAGATGGGAAACATGACAGTGTCTTGAGTACGTCTACGATTTGGCTTGGCAACTCAGCTGGGGACGTTATGGTGGCTTGGATAAGCCACCGGCTTGATTGGGAACTTCTGGGGAGAAGAGCGCTAGAGCCCAGAGCCTCACTGCTTGCCACACAATGCTGCAAAAGCTTGCGGGGTATTTCCGGGGCCAGGCTTGGAGAGGAAACGCACATGGTGTAGAGAGTCTCGGACCATGAGAAGACTCGGCTCTATTTGAGCTCAGCATTCATTGCGACATTGTCTTACCATACTACGGGTTGCTCAGTCAGCTTTTGTGTCTGGCGCTGGCGTCGTGCGCTTTGTTGTATCGGATAATACATACGGCATTACAGAGTTTACATGTTGTCACCAAGTATTGTAGAAAATGGCGCTGTGCAGCGAGGTCCCATGTCTTGTCCGGTGTAGGTGTACCGAGAACGTGTACCGAGGGTATGCGCCGTCCGGGTTTCATGCGCACGCACTGGTTGTAACCACTGATTCATGCAAAGAGTACGGCCGTGGTAGCGGCATCGTGTTACTGCTGACTCCTGTTCGATTCACCATGTTATTTACGCCGATGTACTTTACTCATCCGCGATTGAGCTGTCTGGTTGGCGGTGTGTTGGTGGCAGGATGGTAAGCATATGCGGAGTTGACCTGGAGCTATACTCGATCTGCTGCTGATAGTCTCGAAACCTAAGGCAAGGAAAGACGGTACTTGTAGCGCGTGACTAGGCCATAAGCAGCCTGTCTTAGTCCTGATGCAAACGGAATATGTCGGCTTGGCAGCCATGTGCCGCGCATAACTTCCGCCACGCCGACTGTGACGACACGGTTGGTCGGCGGCATTACTCGATGAGGGCCCTCTGCATCCGATTTCACTGCCGGTACACACTCCACATTCCCGACTTTCTTTGCCATGTCTACACTACCCAAACCGCGACCCACATGGAACCCCATGCCGTCCAATGTCTTTCTTATAAAGGACCTTGTCCGCTACTCAAGCTGTTGGACATTTACTTACATTGTTATCAATTGACTTCATACCTCTCAGCCCCTCCTTGCCGTCTACTTTCTGACCTGAAACCGCCCTTGTACACATTTGCAGCTCGGATCATACCGAGGAGCAATGGCCGTCGAAAACTACGACATCGTCATTGTCGGCGCTGGACCTGTTGGTCTCTGTCTGTCGACAAGTCTGCAAAGATGGGGTTACAAAGTCAAGCACATCGACAACCGGTCGGAGCCTACAGCCACCGGCCGAGCGGATGGAATCCAACCGCGTTCATTGGACCTCCTGCGGAACATGGGTCTTAAGCGCAAGATTATGGAATGGGAGCCTGCTAAGGTGTACGAAGTTGCTTTTTGGGACCCTGCGCAAAAAGGCATCCAGCGAACCGGTACCTGGGCTAGCTGTCCCAAGTTTATCGACGCAAGATATCCTTTCACCACTCTGCTCCACCAGGGCATGATCGAGCGGACTTTCATTGGTGACATTGAGGCAAACGGAGGCAAGATTCAACGGCCGTGGACCATCAAGGGATTCAAGAACGATGGCGTGGACAAGACTTATCCCGTTGAGGTCAAGCTGGCGCACATTGATGGTACCGCAGAGGAGACAGTCCGAGCCAAGTACTTGTTCAGTGGAGAGGGCGCTCGGAGTTTTGTCAGGGAGCAACTAGGTGTCAACATGATTTACAAGGATCCTATCGCACACGTCTGGGGAGTTATGGATGGTGTTGTTCGAACCACCTTCCCTGACATCAAGGTAAGCGACTACGAGTTTACCAATCTCTATTCCATACTAACAAACTTCAGATGAAATGCACAATTCACTCTGACGCTGGATCAATCATGATCATTCCCCGCGAAAACAACCTGGTCCGTCTCTACATCCAAGTCGCCTCATCCACCGACAAGGACTGGAACCCACGCAAGACCGTCTCGGCCGAAGAAGTACAAGCGCGTGCTAAGGAGATCTTCAAGCCCTACACCATTTCTTGGGACAGGGTTGAATGGTACTCGGTCTACCCTATCGGTCAGGGTATCGCTGAGCGCTACACCCTCGATGAGCGCGTATTCATGGGCGGCGATGCATGCCACACGCACAGCCCCAAGGCCGGTCAGGGTATGAACACAGCATTCCTCGACGCAGTAAACCTTGCGTGGAAGATTCATCACGTGGAGAGTGGATGGGCACCACGAACAATTCTATCAACCTACGAGAGCGAACGCAAACAAATTGCAGAATCTCTCCTCGACTTCGATGCACGATATGCAAAGCTCTTCTCCGCACGGATACCCTCAGCTGGTGAAGTCGCCGGCGCATCAACAAAACAAGGAGCAGAAGACAACGAGTTCATCAAGACATTCAAAGAGAGCTGCGAGTTCACCAGCGGATACGGAGTCGCATACCCACCCAACGCTATCAACTGGGGTCCCCAGCACCCCGCCCAACACCCACTCATCCTCTCCTACCAGAAAGGCACAAGCCAACGTACCGGCCGCATCATGAGCCCGGCAACCGTCACCCGCGTCGTCGACGCAAACGTTGTCCACCTCGAGCAAGAGATCCCCTTCAACGGCTCCTACCGCGTCTTCGTCTTCGGTGGCAACCTCTCAAAGACATCCGCCGCCCTCCAAGACCTCGCAACACACATGTCAGCTCCTACATCATTCTTCAGTGCCTTCCTCCCCGAAGACCTAAAGACAAAGGACCGCTACCATGAACGTCACAACCCCCACACCAACTTCCTCTCTTTCGCCTTTATCTTCTCCGCCCAAAGACCAGAAATCCATATTGACGAACAATTACCCGGTCTGTTTGCCCGCTACGCCGATCACGTCTATGCAGACGATGTCTGGGATCAGCGCGTCCCTGATGCCAAGGCAGCAGCACACGCAAAGATGGGTCTTGATGAACAGACGGGTGGTGTGGTCGTTGTTAGACCGGATGGATATGTGGGTGTTGTTGTTAAGCTTGCCGAGGGCAAGGGTACATGTGAGGCGTTGGATAAGTGGTTTTCAAATGCAACGGGGAAGCGGTTAGGAGGTGATGAGAGGGCGAGTTTGTAGGAAAACACAAAAGGGATGGTTTTGGGTTTCGTGAGCGTTTTTGTTTGTTGTCGTATGACATATGTTGCATACGTAGTTTTTTGATTATCAAACGATGAATACGTTTTTTTGTCCTAAATCTGTTGAAGTCCTTTACGCTCCGCTATGGGTTGCTGATAGACATATTGTATAAATTCTACAAAAAGATACTGTTCTATGACTTTTGTGAGTGATGTATGACTGTGGCAAAGAGTTTTTTAGTTTGGTTCACCCCTAATGCATATTCCACTCTCTTTCCTCGACCAGTATATGTGCTTGTCTGCACTGCGGGATACAGTGTACTAAGCAGATTGTAACGAGGAAAACCCCTGCTGCGACCATGTACGGAAGACCTCGCCATATGAGAGCGCCGGAGAGACCATATCGAAAAGCCGATGCGAAGAGTGGTCCTGATATCATAGTACCGCTACTCTGCATCATTGCTATAGCCGTGCTCACAGCCCCAAGACAATTCGGTCCAAACAAATCTACAGCCAAACTCCGAAGGGCAGATCATAATCCTCAGCCACAAGCAAGCAGGCTGGTTCCCGTACCGAAAACAACCAGATTGGGACCAAACACCATTAAGATGGAACCAAATGCAAGAATCCATGCGCTAGCTCGGACGACGCAGAGATCTTTGCTGTAAGTTTACATATGTATACTGAATGCGTTTGAGAGTTTTGGTAATAGAATCAGCAGAGCCACAAGAGTGACGATGCCTTTGAGGGGATGAACAAGGTTGCTTCGGCCACACTCCATCCAAAGCGAACAAATACATATTAAATGGTCAGTTGAAGTGCTTACCTTTCTATGCTCGCAAAGAAGAAAGCAACAAGAACGCGAATGGTGATGAAATTCAGCTTGGGAGTCGATCTGGTGTTGAAGTTCGCGTTGGAATACACTTGGTGGCAGCTTTCGCGATAGGAGGTGCATACGGACGCCAATGTTTTCAGTAAACCGTATGTGGAGATCGACCTTTAGAAATTGGAGGGTTGCGATTATCGAAAAAAATAATTAAACGAAAGACATAGGCGGATCATGAGTTCCGTTCTTGGATCACACACAGAAAAGGAGGCTAGATTTCGAGAAGCATGGTCATAGGTCCTAGCCATAGAAGCCTAGATATCAGGGCATGAGGGCCACTTCCTTGAGCTAGGCGGAGAGCAAGCCCAGTCCTTCGCCGCTGTTTAATAGGTATATTGATGCATTCGTGTACACGTATGCGGATGGGCACGATGGGTTTGTGGATGGCCAGACACATGACCTTAGTCCTCCATTTCACGAGAAGCACCTTACCCAGACGCTCCGGCTTACGTACTTCGAACATCATGCTGTTAGGGCTGCTTTACACAACCCTCGTACCGAAGTCAACTATTCTGGATAATATTGCATCGGCATTTCGTGCTGAAGCAGTCCAGAGCTCATATTCACATCACACAGTGTGTGAAATCTCTTGAAGACTTCCGATATGCAAAGCAATTGCTCAGGTCGATGAACAGAAGTGACTGAACTGAGCCCAACAAAATCTTTCGTTGAAGTCTTCATCACACAGAACACTCAAGAGGCCCGGCTTGGAGCACTCGAGGTGTCAGACGCGTTGGAGTCTGCGGAATCACTGAGACTAAATGTCTAATCTGAGCTGGGTTGCAGTTATTACCTGGAGCTAATGACTACAGAGGGCGTATGTAACATACAAATAGCAGAGACGCTTCTTGGTGTACGAGAAGAGTACATAAGTACCATGAAATAGGGCAGTAAGGTCACACATAGCTTACTGAATGAGCTACTCGCTTTTTAAGCAACTAGAATTTTCATATTTCTTTACGCTGACTATTATCAACAGGAAGATTTGTTTTGAAAGTTAGAATAGGCTGCGCTAGAACGCTTACCCTCACTTACTCTGTTTCATATTTGCTGAATTCCGGCTTCTGCATCTTCTCGTCTTCGCTCGTGAACAACGTCTCGTGCGCGCTCCGCTTAGAGTACAAGCCCACTCGGTCGACAACTCGCTCCTGCGTGCCGCTTTCCGCGATGCTGCCCGCCCCAAGTACGATAATCAGGCCAGAGTCATGGATAGTGCGGAAGTGGTGCGCTTCTTCAACCGTCAATCCCCGCAAACCACAGAAATCGATAATCACGACTCAAGTCGTCCGGTACATAGTTCCAAGCAAGGTTTACCTAGCCTACTGGATTCAATCTCCCGCAAAGCAATGGCGTAAATGCCTTTTCAATCAACCCATCTCCATGCTTTAGCCAGCCGAACAACTACTCGTCATGGGGGTGAAAGAAGTCGAGCGCTGGGACCACGATTCCTCGGATCTATCGATGCGAAAGGACATCGGGACGCTTGGGGACGATATCGTCTTGTCAATAAGAGCCGGTCTTCCGAGGTCAAATTGCGATGCGCAGTATCTCATGACGGTAATATCTGGGCAGGTTGATAATGGAATAACTATGTTAATGGTAACGGTGAGGAGAGTCCAGTAGAGGAAAGACCCGTGAATACGAGTGCCTACCAGGTATGCACAAGCAAGCACACGCGATAGTTACCAGCAGTGGAGACGAGACTGTCGTCTACATACCACCCGCCGTCATTGGCATCCGCAAAATGTGCAACATATGCGGCTCATGATGCCCTGCATGCAAGTGTGCCGGCTGCGCCAACGACAACCCCTGACATGCTTAAAAAGTGGAAAATTAACCCTTGAGCCACCGACGTCGCGCCCGCTCTCTCATTGGACTGCTAATCGTCCTCTCCGCACTCTGTCGGAAATGAGATGAACATGTTCTAAGCATCTGCGCCGTGCGCCGTGCGCAATGGCATGGGCCTCTGGCTCACCGTTCACGAGGCTGAGCGTACGGGAACACGACGTAACGGCCTCGTGTTTGCCACGTTGACGGTGCCAGCGTATCGTGAACGAAGACATGGTCGGAGAATCGTAGCAATCCGCTACGCACGATATAGCCAGGAACATCACCAATACCCTCCCAGCATTGAGAGAAAGGAGGATGCCAGATCAGCCGCTCTCATATCGCTTGTTTACCGTAATTCCAATTCCAACGTCTGCGCGCCCACCCCAAGCAAGTCCAGTCCAGTCCACCCATCCCCATCCGACGACGTGCAATTTTAAATTTCGCCATGATAGCCGCCGCCGGAGAGGCACGATAAACCATCGTGACCTTTCGTGCCGTAGTCCCCGAGTTTCAAATACGACCGGGATCCGCCCTTTCATCTCTCTCTCTCTTCTTGTCTACGCAACACACCTTCACGCTCATTATTTGCGAACAAACAACAAAAGGTTCCCCACACTCATTTTCGGACCGTAACACTGCTACGCGCGACTATCACACTCACTACCTTATTGCGATTTACATACACGCGACAAGACAAGCAATTGATATACTCGAGCAAAGATGATGTTCAAGACTGTTATTGTGGCGCTGGGTGCGCTTATGATGGGTGTGAGGGCTGAGGCTGCTGTTGAGTAAGTACTATTCATCTCCACAGTTTGCCGTCCCCTAGCATGGGGAAAAACGCGCGACTACCACGCGTTCTACCCGAAAAACAAACTTCACGTCATACATAGAAATCTTACTAACATACCAACCATTTAGCCCTGCCGTGCAAGATGCCGTCCTTATGGCTCTCGCCAAGGTAATTCCCAAGGACGAAATCGCCTACGCCCTCGCATCTCCCGCCGCCTTCGCCGCCGGCGTGCAATCCTGCATCTCAGAAGGCAAGCCGCCAACATGGTACTCTACAATCCCCACGAGCATCGTCACTCTGCTGCCTGAAGTGTACCCCCATGAGACATCCGCCACTCCCACTCCCACTCCCACGCCCACCCCGACTCCCACTCCTACCCCCTCTGCCACGCCTTCCAGCTCCGCGGCCCCCAAGAGCAGCAGCGCTATTGTCTCTAGCTCCAGCACTTCCAAGCCTATGCCTTACCCAACTGTTGGCCTGAACAGCACTGTCGTTATGCCTACCATGACTGCCACTGGCATTGTCAGTGTCACATTGACACCTAGCGGTACTTCCGCCGAACCTGCCATTCCTACCTTTACTGGCGCTGCTTCTAAGCTTTCTTTCAGCGCTGGTGTTGGTGCGGTAGTGGGTCTTGTCGGTATGCTCGCCTTGTAAACAAGCTGGGCAGACGGAAACGATGAACCCCTTGACGCTATCCGATGAAGCAATGGCTCAGCCACGCACATTGTTCCACACAGAACATGTGCATCTGGCTACTGTCTCCCTCTCGTTCACCCTCTGGGTGTTCGGAACGTTTTTTTACGACGCGATGCTGTTATTCTTGTTTAAAGGACTAACGACTTCGCACTATACCTTTTTTTGTGATTTTATACGACAGCGGGTAATGTTTGGTGTCTGTGGTTGGTAATACGACTTGCGTTCTATTGGTGATGGTTGGATTGATGGATGATGAGGTGGTTACGTATGGTAGTAAAGTTTAAGTTTTAATAAGTAATTATCAATCAAACCTGTATGTGCGGAAGAGCGAACTTGCATTCGACAAAGTGGGTGGGAGAGAACGAGGTACTTAAGTACGTGCATGTGGCAAACGGACCCTAAATACGCGTAGTCTTTCGTGTTGGGCTGATGAAGGGGCCCACTTGTGTTACGAACCCTGTGCTTGTCGCAGCATGGATTATCAATCAATCTACCTAACTACCGCTACCGTACTTGTGTGACTAACAATAGATCAACAGTCGTCAGCAAAGGAAATGTAGTAGCACGGATAATGATATTCAGATGATGACGATTTGTGAGCTGTATCTACTTACCTGCTCATTCATGTGTCGTATTCTTCAGATGGCCAACGAAGCCATCCAACAGACAGACGGGAAGACGTGAAATTAAGCCAGGCGGGTGGAATGCTAGGAGATGGGTGTTGCTAAGCCGTGATAAATTTCAATGTCTATGTTTGTCTAAAAGTCATATTGCTCGTTTCAAGTAAAAAAGTGCGTAACAAGCCCACCCATCTCCAGACGCTTTATTTCCGTTCCTTGGGCTGTCCATTAGTCGTCGCTTTCTCCGGCGCAGCAGTCTTGCCACCGGCCTTCTCCTTCTGCTTCTTCTCAAACGCCCTGCGTTTAGCGCCCTCCTTTTCGAGAACCTCAATCGTCTTCTCACTGCTCTCCCAGAGCTTCTTTTGTAGAAGCTCGTCGTCAATTTCCTTGCGAGTCCAGAGTTTTCGTCTGCATTCTTTGAGGAAATAGGATCCCTCGCCTCTGCCCCATTGTGCTTCCATGGCGGCGTAGAGGAAGGTCTGCGCGCCGTGGTCGGGGCTCTTGAGGACAACCCACCAGAGTGGCCATGTCATGAGGTACATGGCGAGTCCCCAGAGCGAGCCAAAGGTAAGGTAGCGTCGCATACCAGGGGTGCGGGTCCAGCCCGGGTCCACCATGATGACGCGCGCGTTCATTGGTTTCTTGTCCGGACGAGCGTAGTTTGAGAGATGTTTCTGAAAGGCAACGGCAAAGGTCATGAGGGCGAGCTTGGAAGTAGCGTATACGGTTGATGGCGTGAAGTCCAGTTGTCCCGGCTCCGTGCTTGCCCCTTTCTGCGACTTTGCATCGATGCCAGGCAGCTTTCCGCCTACGTATGCTGGACATGTGCCGAAGATAATTCGGACGTCTCGGTCTGGAGGCTGCGCACGTATGGCAGGGCTGAGAATGCTCAGCAGATGGAAGTTGGCGACGTAGTTGACACCCCAAGTTGCCTCTAGTCCATCTTCGGTCTGCGTTGCTTTTCCGCCAGGGGGAGTCATCGTGTTCGCACACAGTATGATGGCATCGAGACGGCGCGGCGGAGCATTGTCAACCCATTTGGTTGCGAATTGGCGTATCGAATGCAGCGATTCGAGATCGACGTGCTCGGCCGTGATGAGCTCATTGCCTGTCTGGGTGCGTAGGTCTTCGATGTAGTCGACGAGAAAGGGGTCGACGAGTGGTTGCCGGACCAAGAGGATTATCTGAGCACCGCGAGATGCCAGGCCCCTTACCACTTCAGCGCCTATACCAGCTGTACCGCCCTAGAGATGATTAGTATGCCCAAGTCTGGCCTCTTTCGTCCAATGCTTACCGTAACCATGACGACTTTTGAGTGCATGTTCCTCTCTGAGCCATTGCTCGGGCCATTGAAGAACCATTTCAGCACATAAAGTACACCAAAGACGACTGCAACCTGTACTACAGTGTAGCCATAGGGAACCGAGTCGAGGCCCTCTGAAAAGGCCTGGGCGAGGATGTTGATGGGCATCTTGGCGTTGATGGTGGGACGCAAAGGGTTCAAGGACGCGGATCCGACGTGACTCGCTAGGCGGGCCACAGCAGCGCAGCTACCCACGTGGCGTCATAGCATGTGATGGCGCGTTTGCCTGCCCTCTGTTACTTTCACCATCCACTTCACTACCAGTCTGTCGCGAAACCTCACAATTGCACGTGCAATCATGACGGCGCCCCCTGCGAATCCACCTCTTGACGAGGAAGCATGCGAAGATAAGCTACCCGAAGACGACCCCGACATTTCCACCAAGCCGTTTGTCCAACAACGCGCTTTCGGTCGTGGTCTGTGGAAGAATCCCATCCAGTTCGTATCATCTGCGCCTGAGGTCCAGCCAGCCTCTACAGGGACAAACGGCAAGACCATGGCCGAAAAATATCTTGCCATCATGTTTCCCAACGGCGAGCCGAAACCCGAACCAGACGCCTACCCTCGATGCGGAATATGTGGCGAGCCTGTCAAAGAATCCGACCAGCGCATACATTACCTCAGCCCTGCACATCAAGCAGTCCTACCCCGAGCACCCATTCCCTCGGCCATCGACCGAACGAGAATGGGGCTGAAATACATGGAAAAGCATGGCTACGACGTAGATGCGCGCAAGGGTCTAGGCTCCAGCGGCCAGGGTATGCTATTCCCACTGGTACCGAAAGAGAAGCGGGACAAGTTGGGCTTGGGAATAGACAAGAAAGACCACCAAAAGAGGCGGGAATTAGGTGGCGCAAGCCGCGCAGACGTCAGAGAGGCTAGGCTCGATGCTGGTAAGGTCAGGAAACTGGCACTGGTTGAGAAGAAGAGACACAATAATCTGCAGAAGATGTTCTATGGAAACGATGAGGTGGAGAAGTACTTGAGGCAGTTGGGCGACTAAGCATCTTTGCTTGCGCCCGTCTCACGCTACGCGCACGCCATCCAAGAGCCGTTCAGACACCGATAGACTGTAACGTTTGCGTGCCTTGACGAGTACGGGTGGGTGCGAAAGCAACTTCTTCTATTGCATAGCGTCGGCGTTGAATCTGGTATGATTTTTTTTTCTCGATACCCAAAGTTGAGGAAATCCAACCTGACACGACTTTACCCACAACTTGAAACATTATAGTGGCAACTTACCCATACACTTAGTCAGTCAGATATGATATTTACCCTGCGTTCCCGCGATCCAATCGTCTCGAATGGGAGCGGGCGCTGCGGACTTCCGCTACCCCACTTCGCCCCTCTGACTGTATCCTTGGAAATATCTTTCACCCCACCATACCCTGTCGACACTGAACTCATCGCCACCTCCAACAAGCGGCTAACGCTGTTGAGAGCATTACGGTCTTAGGATTTAAATTTTCGAAACTGACGTTTCTTTATCGAAAACACCTTCACGGTCGCTTAGCTCAGTTGGTTAGAGCGTGGTGCTAATACCTTGTATGATACGCCAAGGTCGCGAGTTCGACCCTCGTAGTGACCATTATCTTTTTGCCGGTGCATGCTCCTCGAACTGGGAAGGCTTGCTGGCATGTTTTTTGCTGGCGAGCGAGTGCCTTTTACACAAAAGGTTGGGTTGGTGCCGCAACATAGGAATTGCATGCACTAGAAAGTTACACCAGTACATCGCATCATTTCCTCAATAAAACAATCTTTCCGCCTAGTTTAAGTTTTAACTCTGTGTACAACAGGCCAACTCTCAACCATAGGCCCACAGCCCGCTTTTTCTTTTACCAAACTAATGCACTTCCACTGGTACCGAGCCTCACCACGTAATCATTTCAAAATGGGTCCCCTCAGCCCCTCTTCTCTCCTCCCCTTACCTGGTCAACACAAGCCCCTCTACAACCAGCTATTACATATATCTATCTTCGGTGCTAATTAGTCATCAATCAACTCCAACCCGTCGTTCAATCTGCGGTCTCAAAGTCTCGTTGGTGTAGTTGGTTATCACGTGGGTCTCATATTCTGTGTTTTACATGCCTATAATATGACTACCAGTTTACTGGTGGATATCCCAAGGCCGCCAGTTCGAGTCTGGCACGGGACAGTAATCTTTGTTTTTGGATGTCTATAGGGGTTGAGAAGGTCAGGTGGTAGGTGGGTGGTGGTTATGATAGGAGGGCAATTTGTTTTCGATTGTGTAGTGTAGACAGAAAGGAGTGGGTAAATATCAAACTTACGATATCACTTGTTTAGAGGAACGACGGGCTATCCATAAGACTGAATCGATTTTTCTTGTAAAGCTGTAATGCCAGTTCCACCCTACATATCGACTCCACTGTCTCCTAGACTCCGCAACAATCAATTCAATCCGGTCACTCTCCTAGACCCACTTACCTATCTAGGTAGGGCTTAAACTCCTATAGGTAACTACTAGGCTTAAAGCGGTAATCAATCAATCCAATCTGAACCTTCTAGGACCCACTTAATTGATTGTTGCGGACTGTGCTGTCTCCTATCAATCACGAAAAGCTACTCATACCTCTCCCATCTATACATCATACCGGCTACAGCTGATACCCACTCTAGCCCCAGCAATAAGCACCAGGAGCGCCAAGCTGACGGCAACGGTCGTTGAAAGCGCCACTGTTAAGGCAGTTGAGGGAGCTAGTGCACTATTATTGCAGTACCGCTTTAGCATCGCCACCTTTGAAAATGCCAGCCAACCGACTAGTCTCCACATCCGAAAGATGAAAGAGGAACAAGCGGCTTACCTGATGGTGCTCCTGGGGATGGTAAATGATGTTGGTTCCGCAGATAAGGTTCTGGCTAGCCGACTGCTCATTGCAGACTTGCTGGGTGAGGCCGTCCCATTGGGGGCCAGTGCCAGATGGGTCCTGGCACTTGCAGTTGTGGCCGGCGTAGGCCCTGGGGGTGTTGTGTTAGTCTACCGGGGCGGTAGAAGAGAGGAGAGAGAAGACGTGACGGACATGTTTGCAGCACCGAGAATGGTGGCGGCGATGATGGTTGAGAAACGCATGGTTGTTGGGCTTGAAGGGGGTTTAGTTTGTTTGGATGGTATTGGAAGAGAGGCTGCTGTGCTTCGCTGTGTGGATGATTTTCTACGAAGGCTTGAGCTCGTCTTTTATCTTCATTCTCGTCTTCATGTCCTAAAGACTTTCTCTTTCTGGATGTTACTAAAGTTGTGGTACCATTGACTAAACTTGGTAACAAAGATATCTGTTACGTACGTGTGTACCCAGTATTGCGGTCGTCCCATCAGCAAGAGTATAGTTAGACGAGGCTACGTGGGCACAGTATGGAGTTGAGACATGTCTTCGGGTCGTCGCAGTTCGTCTAGCACGTTTGTGGTCCGTCGTTGGTGTTGTCTGGTGGACATGAGTCGCCATTGTGGTTAGCGTTCAAGTTGCAAATGTTGAATAAGCTCCGGTCTGTTACACAATGCCCAAATTCTGTCGGAAATAGCTGGGAGATGCGAGGGGAATAGATTGATGATCGTCGGTTCAACTCCTTTTCCGCATTCTCTATAGCTCAGTATGTCGTCCGTGGACCCATCCTCACTGGCTTTGGTAGATGATAGCGGGCTGGACATGGTGGACCCGAAGGATTTGGGGTCTGCGCAAATATCTCTACAGGGCTTAGTATTTCTCTATGCAGAAAATGTTAGTACGTCATGTGAAAATTTCGTTCTTTGTTGATTTGTTTGGTCCGGGCGATGATTCGGATTTGTACAATGAATACTCATCATGGTGGAACTCGCTGGGCACAGGGAGTGTGGTCATGCTAATGTAATCTCAAGGCAGGTAAAGAGAAAGCTAGGGATTTTATAGCTCCTATGGTATACACAGCTCTTTACGGTGATTGTAAACTTCCATATTGTATACCATTCTTCAGTGCATCGTCGGAAGGTACCTAGGTAGAGTGACGTCACTCGGCATGTCAGAAGTCCAACGTCAGTTGATGATTCCAAAGGCATTCCTCTATCGAAAAATGGAAAGTGGATGTACAAGGCTGTGATGAGTGAGCAGTAGGAGGCGTTGCGACAGAGACGCGTCTCAGCCTCAGAGGGAAGCGAGTACGGTACCCCGCGCTGCCGCTAAGTAGCTACCCGGACCCTTGCCTCCCCACCGCTTCCATTGATCAACAACAGCTATCTATTGTTCCAATCCAAGCTCCAACTCTTCATTCAACACAACAGTAAACATGTCGGCCAGTATAGACTCGGAAACGCTCAAGCAGTACCTGGCTGATAGTCCACCTACTGTCGTACCTCTGACCATCAAGCCTCACTTTGATGCATTGAACGACAAAGAGCAGCTCTATGCACATCATCTCTCAGTGTGAGACAGCTCAGAATAAGAATTTTGGAAAGTTACTAAGACAGAACTAGTGCCTGCTTTGCTGGAACGCGCATCGTTCTCCGCCAATGCTCGCCCGAGTCCGAGCACATCTACGACTTCATCGTCGCCCTCCACAAGCATGCCAAGGGCGACTACGCAGCACTCGCCAAAGATACAGGTCTCTCCAAGGAGGAGATTGCTGAATACCTCAATTACTCTGCACAGTTCTTGGGCAATCTAGGCAACTACAAATCATTCGGAGATTCCAAGTTCGTGCCCCGACTCGAGCCCCGACAGCTGAAGGCACTCGCAACTTCCTCAAAGGACATCCTATCCATCTACGAGAAGTTCAAGGACGCAATATATGCCGGAAATGATGTTGGAAAGCTTCATTTGGGCTACCCGGGCGCAGGGCACATCTCAACGTACTATCCCGACAGTCCTGACATCACCAGTGAGCAGATATCTACAGTGAGCGACTTCCTGGAGTCAAAGGGACTGCTCCCAGAAAATACGAGAGTCAAGAAGACCAAGGATGGGTATAAGGTTCTCATTGCTTCGGCCTCAGACAATCCATCTGCAGAGCAACGGGATCTAAAGGAGAGCGAATGGACAATGGACAATGGAGAGAAAGTGAAGTTAGTATTCGGTGACTACTCCAAGGAGATGGACACCATTGCGCATCACATTGAAGAGGCAAAGAAGTATGCAGCCAACAACCACCAGATTGAGATGATGGAGGAGTACACCAAGAGCTTCAGAACCGGCTCACTGGAGGCTTACAAGAAGAGCCAAAAGGCCTGGGTACAAGACAAGGGTCCTCTGGTAGAATCCGACATTGGCTTCATCGAAACCTATCGCGACCCCCATGGAATCCGAGGTGAATGGGAAGGTTTTGTTGCCATGGTCAACAAGGAGCGGACCCGAGCATTCGGAAAGCTCGTAGAGACGGCACCACAGTATATCCCTCTACTGCCATGGGACAAATCCTTCGAAAAGGACAAGTTCTTGAGCCCTGATTTCACATCACTTGAGGTCTTGACGTTCGCTGGTAGCGGGTGAGTATCTTGTTCTGTATCTCCCCCACAGTCATCCTAACAGCTCACAGTATTCCTGCTGGCATTAACATTCCAAACTACGATGACATTCGTCAGAATTTCGGCTTCAAGAACGTTTCACTAGGCAACATTCTCTCCGCTAAGGCGCCCAATGAGTCTGTTCCTTTTATCAAAGAAAGTGATCTGGCCACGTACCAGAAGTACCGCGATCCCGCTTTTGAGGTCCAAGTCGGTCTCCATGAGCTCCTCGGTCACGGCTGCGGCAAGCTACTGCAAGAGACAGAACCGGGCGTCTTCAACTTTGATAAGGAGAATCCACCCGTGTCACCCCTTTCCGGCCAACCGATCAAGACATGGTACAAGCCTGGGCAAACATGGGGGTCAACGTTTGGTACCATTGCAGCTTCGTACGAAGAATGTCGTGCTGAGTGTGTCGCCATGGCGCTCTCGTGCGAGTTCCCCATTCTACAATTGTTCGGCTTTGGCAACGGCGAGGTCGACATGAACGGTGAAGCCGGCGACGTTCTGTTTACGGCATACCTCCAGATGGCACGCGCAGGAATTGCGGCGCTGGAGTTCTGGGATCCCAAGAGCCGAAAGTGGGGCCAAGCCCATATGCAAGCCCGCTTTTCTATCCTGCGCACTTTCCTAAATGCCGGTGTCGAGTTCTGTCAACTCGAATGGGAAAAGGAGGACCTGTCCGACCTGACCATCCGCCTGGAACGTGACCGCATTCTGGACCTTGGCCGCCCGGCGGTCGATGACTATCTCCAGAAGCTCCATATATACAAAGCCACGGCAGACGTTACAGCCGCAAAGAAAATGTACGACGAGATCACGAGCGTGGAGCCTTTCTATGAAAACAAGGTTAGACCAGCGGTGCTAAAGAAGAAGACACCAAGAAAGGTGTTCGTGCAGGCCAACACAGTTGAGAAGGATGGCAAGGTGAAGCTGGTAGAATACGATGCGACCAACGAGGGTATGATCCAGAGTTGTGCAGACAGAGAGTACGTCTGAGTGCGATGCTTGGCATTTCTAGGATCCGTCGGGGTTCCACGAGGAACAAGTGTAGTGCGGAACTACGCACGACCATGAACTAAGATAACATACGAAGATTGCGGTTTGCACAAGACGGGAAAGCCGGACGCATGATGAAACACACTACATGAAGATACAGAAGCTGGTATCTTGAACCCGGCTACTCAGATAAGGGGCAACGAACACCCTCACGGACACGTTTGCAAGTCCTACAATATCATACGTGACTCCTCTCCTACTTTTTTTTTGACATAAAGCCATCCGCATGATTCTTTAGGATACGACGGCATAAATATTATCCAGGGCTTGGCATCGTGCTTGCGACCCCGCTACTTGTGGAATCTAAAGCCTGACAGGCGGAAAGGCTGGTCGTTGGAGGAGTAACTTTTGGCAGTCCCGATTCGCCCTACTGCATGTCATCGGGCGGAAAGTCGCCGAGATGGGAGCTGCCCTTAGTTCCGGCAGCTGGGGCGCCAAGGCAGAGAAGTGTGGAGGTGGAACATGCTAGCCCAAGGTTTCGAAGTGGTAGCGCATCTGCTATACCTTTCCGCGATGAAAGCGCCGAGGTTGGAATTATTCTTCCACCGATCAAGAACGACAATCATATCAAAATTGATTGACCAAGCTTTCTTGTGCTTTGCTTTTTCCCCAGAAGCATGGGAAAATCTAGCGCAATTACCCCAAGGCGTAGTCGAGGGCCTGTATCACGATACTGAGGCTGTGACTATTGCAGAGCTTGTATCGAAACGCAATTTGATCCAAGCATCCAGTAATAGACCTGGAGAACATGTTTGTGGGTTACACGGGTGACCGACTCGTTCCGTCTTGAAATAATGATGGCGGGCCACTGTATGACCACACTACGAGACACCAAGGCTATAGATGCATTTGAGGTGCTCCACATCCGGAGTGGCGTTTGTGCCTGTCTATCTCTCCTTTGGACCGCACTTTAGCGCACAATTCAATCTTGTACAAGCATCCTATTGTCACGAGCCGCAGCATCTTCCGTCCTACTAATGGAAAAACTAAAGATAACCTGCGTATACTCCTCACTCCAACACCAGATGGAAATTGCAACTGACATGGGCTTCGGAACATCCTTCCAGAGGTGATCCAGTAAGCTAGTGATGGGGTCTTTAAATGGAGCCGTTTCCGTTCTGTCAATACATTATCACATGAGCATTCAGTTCTCTGGACTGGTATCTTCTTCTACTTGGTGTAATTGTCTTCTCAGCCCACTTTTATCATGAAGTTCACTCTGCTTGCTCTTGCAAGCGCCTACACTACCAGCGCTGCCGCTGTTGGCGAAAGAGCTACCTACGCAGTCAAGGGCACACCTGAAGGGTTTGGCAAAGGCACGACAGGAGGTGGTAATGCAGCATGCGCCATTCCTTCTTCCGTAGCCCAACTGAAGACCTGGCTCAGCGACAGCACCGCCCGCTGCATTGTTCTGGACCGAGAGTTCAACTTCAAGGGCACCGAGGGCACAACCACAGCCGCTGGTTGCCGTCCTGCATCTAACAAGTGCCCCGGAAACGGAGGTCAAGATGCCATCAACAATGCCAACTGGTGCACCAACGGCAATGCTGGAGCAGGATCCAAGAGCATAACAGTAACTTATGATACTGCCGGAACCTCAGCCATCAACCTAGGATCCAACAAGTCCATCATTGGCGTTGGCAACAAGGGTGTGATTCGAGGCAAGGGCCTTCGTATCGCCAATGGAGCAAAGAACGTCATTATCCAGAACGTCCATATTACCGAGCTCAACCCACAATACATCTGGGGTGGTGATGCTATTACTCTCGACGGTGCCGACCTTGTCTGGATCGGTACGTACTTTTCATCCCTCTATGACTTACCCAACTAACACGCCTACCTAGACCACGTCAAGATCTCGCTCATCGGCCGCCAAATGTTCGTAGCCGGCTATGGCGCCTCCAACCGCGTCACAATCTCCAACACGGAGTTCGATGGCTCGACCTCATGGTCCGCCACGTGCGACGGCCGCCACTACTGGGCCATACTCCTACTCGGCACCTCCGACCTCATCACCATGAAAGGCAACTACATCCACCACACCTCCGGCCGCAGTCCCAAAGTAGGCGGAAATACTCTGCTCCATGTCGTCAACAACTACTTCTACAGCAACACCGGCCATGCGTTTGACAACGAGGCCGGCGGCATGGTGGTGGCTGAGGGCAATGTTTTTCAAAATGTGGCCATGCCGCTGCTGGCGAATAATGGAAAATTCTTTGCAGCGCCCTCGACGAGTGCGAATGCTGCATGTCAGGCGTCTTTGGGACATACCTGTCAGTTGAATGCTTTTGGCAGCAGTGGTAGCTTGACGGGAACTGATACGAGTTTCTTTGGAAACTTTGCTGGGAAGAATGTTGCTAGTGCTGGTGTGGCTAGCTCGGGGATTGCGAATACCGCTGGTGTAGGAAAGATCTGAAAAGTGGAAGTACGGAAGATATGAGAGATATCTGGGCCTGTATGGCCTGATGTACTTCTTTTCTTGTATATATTTTGCGGATGAGATTAGCCTTCCCAGCCGAATCGTAAATAATATCCTGTCATTACTGTCAGGTTCAATGGTTGGTGAAAGCACTGGATGGACAATATTCTTCGTCAATGGCATAGTGTTGAGTCTGCTAAGGATAGACGAATCGCTACCGAGCCCTCGTAGCGTATTCTCATCCTAGCCTACCATGGGCGACCATAGCCCATTCTGGGCGGGGTCCTGACAATTACACAGTACGCTCAACTTCCACTTGAACCTATCCTCATTCAAAGACTTGCTTAAAAACTTCCAAATTCTTCTTTCCCTTCGCCCCAGCAGCATATACAGCAAATGCCACACTCTCAAACCACCCCTCAAACTCCCCATCCTGCAACGCCCTCTTCATCTCCCTCGCCACAACCCCCGGCGGACACCCATAAGCCCCACACCCCATAGCCCCCAACACCAACCTCGTCACGCCTTCTCCCGCCGCCATCCTCAATACCAATAAAATCTTTTCCCTCAAATCCCTCAAATCCTCTTCTTTAGCAAACGCCTCCCCTGGCCTATCCAGCCCCGGAAACCGTGGTGCAGCTACCGTGATCACAACAACAACATGCCGTTCCGACTCTGGCAGCTCAACAAGGTCGTTGTCGAGTGTATCCCGGAAAACGACAACACCTGGTGATACGATTCCCGCGCAAGACCCTGGACCTGTGTTGGGCCAGGGATACCAGTCCGGATGTAGTGTCGCGTAAAGCGTAGAAGAGTAACATAGAGCTTCCTCTTGTGTTTTGGATAGCGTGTATCGCCAACCCCCACCTGGTGTTTCGTCCGAGGCTAGATTCAGGACTCCTGTTTTTCCTTTGCTCGCATTGGGGGAATTGGCGTCGAGCACGCGGGCTAGGGCAAAGGAGTCGCTGTTGTAAATTTTGATGGGCGTTGTGAGGGTAAGATTTGGGTAGGCGGGTGAAGTACGGGTGAGAGGTGGGAGCTGCGAGGGGATGAATGTACTGGTTAGGCTGCTAGAAGGGGTGGTGGACGTTATGGTGGGGGAACGTGTGATTGTGTCTTCGCAGATTTTACGGAGGGTGGCGAGGTCGAGCATCTTTGTTTGGGATTTTAGCGTCTCGGGCTTTTGGGGAGGAGGAAAGAATGAAGGGATGATGTGACTGAGTACGTGTTGGAGAATACATGTAAGCAGCAGCTGAGCACGTGATCTGCGGGCTAACTCGAAATCGTGCGCAACTTACGGAGGTGCCTTTCAAAAGTATTGTCTGACGCTAATCTCGGCGCTTCGGCGCAACTCTTCTTAGCGCAACTCCAACCCTTAAGCTGAGGAGCTGTTTGATCAGTCTACCTGCTACTACGCAGTTATCTTCTTACTATGGCTCCTTATACTGATATATATACCCGTACCTTAGTAATCGCGTTAAAGTCACCTCCTATTGGCAAGAATACGTCACAAGTCTCTGCGCTAACTAGTGTTCATCCTCGTACTGTCGATCGTATCTATAGTAGAGCTATTGCTGCAGGCTTTGAGCCAAACGAACTTCCTATTAAGATCCTTCCACACCACGTTCAGGATGCTCTAAAGCCTGGTAGACCTGCTAAGCAGGCAGAGGAGGTGAAGGAGCAGATATTTCAACAAGTACGACGCGATAGATACGGACAAGAGAAGAGCTGTGCTGACGTTGCCGGTGGGCTCAGTCTCCAAGGAGTCGAAATCTCTGCCTCTACCGTCTGGAGGGTGTTGAGAGCAGCAGAATACAGGAAGACCAAGCCAACGAGGAGGCCTGGGTTGACACAGGAGATGAGGAGTGCTCGTCTTAAGTGGGCATTAGAGCATAAGGACTAGACGTTAGAGGATTAGAAGAATGTCATCTGGACAGACGAGACGTCGGTGGTGATTAACCACCGACGTGGGGGGTATAGAGTCTGGAGGAAGGCAGATGAGAGAGTAGTCAAAAGCTGTATCCGTGAGAGATGGAAGGGATACTCTGAGTTCATGTTCTGGGGCTGCTTCTCGTACGACAAGAAAGGTCCATGCCATGTCTACCAGCCAGAGACGAAGGCAGAAAAAGAGGATGCTGCTCGTCGGATTGAGCAGCTGAACGCTGAGCTTGAGCCTCTACAGAGAGAGGAATGGGAGCTGTCAGAGTCTATGAGGAGGACAGGGCTGCGCAATAAGCGTGGCAGGAAACCTTAATGGAGATGGACAGAGAAGACAAGCAAGCTGGTGCGTACGTCTGGAGGTGGTATAGACTGGTGGAGATATCAGACCTACGTTCTGATCCCAAAGCTGATTCCTTTCGCTAAAGAGTGCCTCCAAGATAGACCTTAGACTATCGTAATGGAGGATAAGGCACCTAGCCACGCCCACCACTATTAGAGTGTGATCTATCGCCTGCACGACGTTGAGAGACTACTCTGGTGTGGTAACTCGCCAGACTATAACTGTATTGAGCCATGCTGGTTCTATATGAAGAGAGAGACTACAAAGAAAGGAGCTCCGCAGTCAAGGGTTGAGGCAGTTAGAATCTGGCAGAACTGCTGGAGAGATCTCTCGCAACTTAAGATCTAGACTAGGATTGAGCGAATTCGTGTACATATTCAAAAGATAATTGAGCTACAAGGTGGCAATGAGTACATAGAGGGGAGAGACAAGCCTCGGCTAAGGCGGCCGTACATCGGCTAGATTATTCTTGGCAGACAATACTTTTGAAAGGCACCTCCGTAGTTCTTTCAGCATTAATTGGGAATGATATGTCTTAAGCATAGCGATATACAGATTGGGAGCACTGAAGGACACCTGATGCGATAACTAGATTGGAGATGCTTTCCCAGGAAGATCGGTCATAGTCACATGATTCGTATCCTACATAGATGCCTTCCAACCACCTTCCGCCTCAAAGACTTCACCAACCTTTTTACTAACAGCAAGCAAACGTCGATCATGATACCTGGGCGCAACAAGAGAAATACCAATCGGCATACCATTCTCACCCTTGAAGCCTGGAACATTAACTACCGGTGTGTGTAATGCCTACCTACGCGTTAGTCAAAGACCCCAAATAGCCTAGCAGGAAGATCTAACTTACCGTCCAAATCAAGCAGAAAGAAGCGCTTCCAGTCTTCTCAATACCCAACGGAGCTTCATCGGGTACACTGGGTGTGAGCACTGCAGCGTACTTGCCCAACATCTCATCCACCACCGGCCTTGCTGCTGAAATCTTGTCGAAAGCTTCTACTTGAGCTCTACGCGAGATTTTTCCGCTGTTCTCGACATGGCCTACGAGCTGCGCAGAAATCTTATCTTTGGCTATCGTGTACTCGGGCAGAAACGCTGTCCGACCGTCCGAGTTGAGCACAGTTGCATGCCACGCAGGAAGCGCATTCAAATCTTCCGGGAAAGAAATTTCCTCGACCTCAGCACCATGCGCATGCAGTAACGATACGGCTTTATTAAGCGCCGCAGTAGTACCAGGTCCAACTTCGGGCCAAACCATAGTCTTCAGAAAAGCGAATTTCGCCCCTTTGAGCGTAAAGTCCGTGGGTGGGGATGCATCATCATGGATAGCGAAAGTATCAGCCAACATCTCCAGATCAGCCACACTCCTTGCGTAAAGCCCCAGTGTATCCAGAATCAAAGAATAAATCTTCTGCCCCTCACGCGTTATCGAGTTCCAGGTCGGTTTCAACGCATAGATGCCGTTGTACGAACCAGGACGGATAGTGCTTCCACCCGTTTGCGTACCTAGACCAATTGGTGCTTGGAAATCACCCACCGCAGCACCTGAACCAGATGAGGAGCCGCCAGGGGTGCGGCTTGGGTCGTGTGGATTGCGTGTTTTTGGGCCGAATGTTGTGGCGGCGAACTCTGTGGTTGTGGATTTTCCGAAAATGAGGGCTCCGGCTTTGCGGAGAATTGCTATGGATCCAGCATCTACTTTGGGGGCGTCGTTGGTATATATAGGGGAGTTGAACTGTGTGGGCATGTCTGTATAATGGGGTCAGCTTAGATGGAGTGGCTTTGGCTGTGGCTTGGAACAAACCCTTGGTGTATATAACATCTTTTACTGCGATGGCAACGCCGTGCAATGAACCTCGCTCAGACTGTGGGACAGCATCAAGTGCTTTTGCCTGCTTAATTACGAAATCTGGGTCAAGATATGCCCATGCTTGGACAGCCTCATCCCGCGCTTCTATGCGCGCCAGAAGTGACTTTGCATATTCCTCAACTGAAATATCCCCTGCCTTGATTCTTGCGGAAACTTCGCTAGCCGTCAGCTTGTAGAGATCAGAACTCATGGTGTCGCAGTTGATTGGAAATCACGTGCAACGTGTATGATGTGTTGATGTGCTTGAGTGAATACAGGTTCACATGTGAATGAGAGCAGAAATATAGCCTCTATTCGATTTTGTAGGTCTAAATGACCTAGCAGACGAAGATAGCAACATATGACTATCACTCTCGGTCAAAGTCTCCCGTGCATTGCAGGAGCGATTGGTCGCATTGTTCGGATCCGCTCATGGGCGGCAGAGCGGCCTACCTACCTATCGTGGAATGGCGCGAGATCTTCACGCCGATAACAGTCTCTCGTATCGGAACATGAAATCCGATAGACTAGATATGTATTGTAAAGCATAGACCATTGCCGCTTAGGCCTTTTACTAGCTATCACAAGTCACGAGTGCAATTTATCGACCATGGACCCTAAATTCGTTGAACGTCGTGTTGAATCTCCAATGCATATTATTATCTAAAAACCCAACTATGCTACTGCGTTTGTCGGCTCAATAAGACACTTTCGGCGACTTCTCTCCCGTCTCCATATCTTCTTCCGTCATCGGTGGTGTAGCAGCCGCATAGATTGCGCCGCCATCTCTGTCTCCGTCGTAGAAGCCTTCACGACCATCGTTGGCCAGCCATTCCTGTGTGAAAGGTGTGCTCTCGCGTCCGTAAGGGAACACTCGTGGCTTGACGAATAGTCTCAAGATGTAGTAGACAATCGCCGCAGTGGTGAACGTCAGTACGTAACCCATGCGGTACATGTTCTGCGCAGGCATTGAGATGATCTTCGGCTGATATTGGCCGATGAGACCTGGGATACCCATGGATGTGCCGCCCAGCCATGCGAACACACCGCACCAGTTGACACCTGACCAGAACCAGTAAAGACCCGTCTTCTTTCCATCGTAGCAGGAAGGAACATGAATGTTGCCTTTTCGTACCAGGAAGTAATCGACTATGATTATGGCGCAAAGAGGTGCCATGAAGATACTGTAAGACCCAAGGAAGCTATGCATGTGTTAGTGCAAATCTATTAGAGTGTTCCAATTCAGCTCACCTAAGGAAAGCTGTCGCATTAGCCATGAGTTGCCATGGCTGCACAACGACTCCAAGGAGGGCACAGAGAACCTGTCCCCTTCGGATAGTGAGCCACTTCGGGAATAAACCAGTCATATCGGAGCCAAAGGGGATCGAGTTTGCCCCGAAATTTGTCGCAAAGACACCGAAAAAGAACGCGAAGCCTGCGAAGAAAATGGCAGCACGTGCGCCAGCGCCGAAGTGGTGATCAAGGATGGCATCGAAAAGATCCCAGATATTCCAGTACGCAACGCCGTAAGCTGCCTGCATTGATGTTGTGGAAGCCATGCCGAGGAAGAAGACGGTAACGGAGGCGACGAAAACGCTGACACCCTGGATCGGACCGGCATCTCGGGGTTTCTTGCAATAACGGGCAAGATCGGGCTGGTTCACCAGCATGGGCGAGAGGGAACCGAAGATAGTGTTGATACCTGCCATGATACTCCAGCCTAGGGGAACTTTCGCGGCAGAAAGTTCACCCTGTTCAGAAGCGAGATCCATAGCACCGAGACCACCGCCATTCTTCATACACCAACCAAAAACAGCAAAAGCCGCAATAGGCATAATGACACCTTTGACAGTGAAAATGTAGTGTATGTGCCTTGGATGAACCCACATGAAAGGGAACTCCATGAGCCAGGCCATGAAGAAGGCCAGGAGCTGCTTCGAAGTGACGTTCGCACTTGGAGAGAGGGTGTTATGGAAGTTCACCCAGGAGTCGCCAAAGATGCAACGCAACATCACCGAGAGGATGTTGCCGGCGTAGAAGGACTGGATGCCGTACCAGATGATGCATACTATCGCACGGATGAAGACGAAGAAGTAGGAGCCGTACATTCCCATGACAGAGCGCGCAATAATGGGACTTTGGTAGGTTAGCGACTGTGAGGTGATGTCTATGGAAGTCTGTGACTTACTATCCAATATGGTACTTGACACCTGGACGGGCCATGAGGACGACAATGATTGCAGCGAGAAATGAGCCGATACATGCTGAGACAAACGATTGCTGCCACGTCTGAGACAAATATCAGTTATTGCCTTGTGGCATTGTGCTCGACTTGACTTACAAGACCAACTGTCACCAGCGCAGAACCGGTATTCCAGCCAACAAGGGAGAATTGGTTAGAGAACCAATATAGGGGCAGATTGAACCTTAGTCTGTTAGCGAGTTGTTTAGGTAGAAGGTATTACTGAAAGCCTACCAAGTCCATGTCCTCTGCTCGACCGGTGTTGGCTCGAGATCTTTGTTGCTCCATCTCTCATCGCCTATCGGGGCCTGGCCATCGTTGCCCTGAGGAGATCTTATGAAATTGACAAAAGCTGCCTTGGATTGAAAAGGGGCTGTGACCTGTTGCCTGGTTGGCAGCTGAACTTTACCCATGATGCTGCACGTTGTTCTAGAAGGATGTCAACAAGAATCGACTGTTAGTTGCAGACAACCTCTCATCTCATTTCCACACTGGCGGACCATGGTATCTCATATGTCGATCGGACCTTGCTCCAACTCCAGATAGTTCACATATCGCCCGCACATCAATCTTGGGGTCAGTCAGACAAGCGTTGTGCGGCTGCGGTTTTCGGAGGGTTTCTAGCCGATGTGCCATGTTGCCACGCCCACAGATGTCATATCCAAGCCTCTCTGAAGCGGTAGGAGGTGCGTTAACAACAGGGGTGAAGATAGGAAACGCTGTAGACATCCGATGTGTTTCTTGTTGCAGCGTAGTTCGCTGCACTCCCCAAGGTGGATCGATGGATCCGAGATAAGATCACATGACGTCTAATCCTCACCCTCTTGGGACTAGTTCCGATAAGACACATCGGCTCCTGCATCCCGCCTCTTCCAGCCAGCCATTGCACGTGAAGCACGATGGATTACAGCGCTATGAGTATGAGTCGGTAGGGCTCTCGATCACACACCATGTTTTTGACGACAAGGCAATGTTGCAGTCTTACCTAGAGAGCCCACTGAGCCCCTCTTCTAGTCAGGGAGCGACCGCCGACACGGTACCAGCTGCAAACACGGAAGCGCCCTCAAACATCACGAATTCTCAACCTTCTGCAGCCAGAAAGCCTCGCGTGGCCTTGGCCTGCAAGAGATGCAAGCGGAGAAAGCAACGAGTACGTCAGTCTACCATGTGTCTGGTAAAGTAGACTTTCACTAAGCTCATTGCAGTGTGACGGCGCTCGTCCAGTTTGCAGATCCTGTGAACGTGCTGGCGTAGCTTGTGCATATGAGAGGACCCTGCGACCCCAGTATCCTGGCGGCAAGTCCGTGTATGTCTTATCTATGTGAATATTACAAAATCTCGATCCTGACTAGTTAGTTACATCAACGCTTTGGAAGAACGCATCGCATTCCTAGAGGCTCGCCTTCCAGATCATGCTGAAGACCATTACGATAATGGTCCAGAACCATTGCAGAATGGGTCGAGCATGAGTACAGAGGAAGCGTCCACAACTCTACAGCCTCAGTCCAGTGTTTCACGCTCGCGCCGGGAGTCTCGAGAAGACTGTTTTTCTGAAGACCATGAGGGTGACGACAGGACATCGCTCGTCGATGGTGTCGCTTACCTATCTTTATGTGCCTCTGGTACTACAGATACCACCTCAGAGCCTTACTATGTAGGCTCTAGCTCTGGAGCTACCATTGCTCGCATCATCCAATCATCTATTTTCCGAAGCTCAAGCAAGAGATCAGGCCACCCACCCATACACCAGACAGATCAAAGCTCAAAGAACGCGAGACCACCTCCACCTCCAGAGTCTATCCATTCAGAGGAGCCGACGACTGATTTCCCCGACTGGCAACAAGCCCGCATGCTTTTTGATGTTTTCTTCGAACGTATCCATACACGTTGGCCATTGCTCGACCGTGTGGTCTACACTAAACTCTTTGACAAGCAGTACATTCAAGGTGCTTTGACCATCATTGAACGCAGCATATTTCATCTTATATACGCGATCACTGCTCGCTTCTTGTCTTTGACGCGGAAGCCATGTGGTATAGATTCCGATGTAAGTCTTCCAAACCACAATCGTCTAGTAGATGGCTCATAGTGTATAGCGTCATCTCGTTGCGGCGACTGAGCCAATGGATTATATATTGGCTCAACACAACCTCGCGACCGTCCAGTTTCTCATACTTCTCGGAGTCCACGGTCAGAGGTCGCCTTATGGTGCAGGGGCTTGGTCTCAGATTCGCTATGCCACATCAGTCTGTATTGAGATGGGTCTGCATAGGAAGAGAGCTTTCATAGGTTCACCGGAACAAGCGAGAGATGCAGAGATACGGCGCCGCGCGTTTTGGGCATGCTACTGTCTTGATCGAGTGACTAGTATCGTGCTTGGAAGAGCATTTGCCATCGCTGACAGAGATATCAATGTTGAGGTATGTTGGTCTATTCTAACACCAAGTGTTTGCTAACGGACCCAAAAGCTCCCGAGCACCAGCCCAGAGTTTTGGACCTTGACCCATACAGAAGCTCCAGATGCAGACAAGGTTCAGTGGTCGAATATTGAGCCCTACATACATATCATCAAGTTGGATCAGATACAGTCAAGGATCCACAGAACAGTATTCCGTGTCGATCGGGACGTTTTCAACGAGACATCCGAGCAGCATGCGAAGCTAGATCGAAAGATGGCCAAAATCCGTGCAGACCTCGATGAGTGGCTGCGCACGTATCCCCAGACTCCTAAAAAGGAGAACAAGATCACCTGGATGTACGACCCCGAGAGTGCGTACCTTGACGCGCGAGACTTCTATGGTGTTCAATACCACAAGGCAATGCTGTTCCTTTTTACAGTCTTTTTGCCTACTCTAGACACGTCGGATGTGCGCTTCATTACTTGCGCACGCTCGGCAGCTTGTGTCTGCAATGCGTACAAGCGACTGAGTCAGAACCGGACACTGACTTACACCATGATATCACTGCATTCGTGTTTTGTAGCTGGTCTGACACTGGTATATTGTATCTGGCGCGAACGTTCGCTATTCTCCTATGATGTCCTTGAGGCGACGCGGGCTTGCTCTCAGATTCTCACCATATTTGGCGAGAAATGGCCCGGCGCTGTCAAGTATCGCGACATATTCGATGCGCTTTCCGGCAGCCTGTTCAAGACGGTTGTTAACTCAACATCCACGACAACGGTACATACCAACGGCTCCCGACCACTTCAGTTAGACATGGACGCAGAACCAGCAATGAATGGTTTTACTTCGCACAGTCGACAAGCAAGCCACGAGCAAGTTTCACAAAGCACAAGTCAAAGTAGCAAGCCTACCTTGTCTCACTTGGTCACCGATGCTGTGAAAGAGGCTTTCATGGAGGTTGATGAAGAAGCTCCTGGTGGGTGGCAGGGATGGAGAATGTGGAATGAGATGGTAAGAGACGACAGTACGCCCATCCCTGGTTCGGCAATGAGATTCGATGGAGTTGCTCAAGGGCAAGCGCAGACGAGTTGGAATGCTTATGAAGGTTCTGCCTTCTATGGGGTGGACCCGATTCAAGATGCAACAATGCAAATGGATAATGGCGCAATGATGGATAGCAGCCAATGGAATTTTGGAGTTTACCGGTAGATCCAATCCTCCAACCAATGTCATTCGGATTTCTCAGCTTCTAGTAATCAACAGAGTTGGTCCAGTCAAACGATAATACCATGTATGTTAACAATATCTTTTCATTACTCCCCTGTTCTACGCAAGCTCACCTTTCTTGTAGGGAAACTGTTCCCTGAACGCTTCCGCTATTTGTGTTCTAGTTGCAACCCACACGCCCTCCTTCTCCGAAATGTATTTGACAAAGTCCTGCAACGCTTTGAACCGACCTGGCCTACCAACAATACGGCAGTGCAATCCAATCGTCATCATCTTTGGCTCTCCCGCCTCGCCCTCCTCGTACAGCACATCAAAAGCATTCTTCATGTGCTCGTAGAAAGCGTACGCACTGCGAAATCCAGTGCCCTGGCAGTGAAACTTGAAGTCATTGCAGTCGTAACTGTAAGGAACCATCAAGCAGCCCTTGGGATTCGCGCTACCACGCTCATGTGGCAAATCAGTCCAGTAAGGCAAGTCGTCAGCGTAGGCATCGCTAGCCCAGAGGAGTTCCTCGCCCATTTCTTCGTAGACAAGGGGAATCAACGCTCTGCTTTGTGGTGAAGGACGTCCGTAGTACCATCCTTTTGGTGCGTAGCCAGATAGCTTCTTCAACGCGGTGATGCCGTCTCTGATGTGCTGTTTCTCGGCCTCTACAGACAGATTGGCGTGGTCAATCCAGCGGTAGGCGTGGGAAGCGACATCGTGGCCCTCCTCCACGCAGCGGGTGACTACTTCTGGTTGCTGTTCCACGGCCTGGCCGACAGCGTACAGGGTAAATTTCATCTTGTAGTCGTTGAAGAGCTTGAAGCAACGCCACCATCCGCGACGAGATCCATACTCAAACTCGGATTCGCCGCTGTAGTCTCGCTCGTTGATTCTGGGCTGTGCTGGGTACTCGCGGAGGTTGGTCTCGGATACTCCGTCTCCTGCCATGACTGTACGCTCGCCGCCCTGGTTGAAGCATGTTAGCGCCAAGTTTAGTAATAGGGTAGTGGATGGATTCTACATACCTCTTCGTAGTTGATGACGAACGACACGGCAATCTTTGCGTTGTTTGGCCATTTCAAGCTTGGTAGACCCTTCTCGCCATAGCCTTTGAAGTTGCGTTCAAACGCGTAATCAAGCGGTGCAGCGTATACTTCAGGCATGGTGACTGTTTTAGGGTAGTGAGGTATGAATGATATGTATATATTCTCCCAAACAAACGAAGAAACTCGGGTCGTGGAAGATGCAGATAACTTTTGTTCTCTACGGACGAGCCTGCGCCTACTTATTACCAAACTAAACACCTCCACCCCGATCCTCCACATCAATCTCCAACTAACTACCCTGCCTCGTCCCCTATCCCTATCATCGGCCGTCCTCGACCCGCCCGTCAAAGTTCCTCCCGCAATCGGCACATTACCTCACGATACCTACCCCCTCACTCATATTGCGTACACCACGTTACTATTACTACCGCCATCATACGAAATCGCCGGACGTTATCTCTACCAAAGCTATACTATCGGCATCCTACGATCCGCATTTTGTAGAGCTACTTCCCAAACGGGAAACCGGAGGTGTCCAATATAAGGCCGCCGATAACGAAGCGGGAATTAGTGGGGCTGACGGGCGGGTGGGCTCGTTTCGCTGCACCTGCTGTAATGGGAAGGCTGGGCTAGTGTGGTAGCGTGGTTAAATGGGTTGGATAGATGCGGTAGGCGGTAGAGCGGAATACTTATGGGGAAGAAAGTGTGAGTGTGGGGATGGATGATGGATTGAGTTGTTGATGGCAAGGGTGGCGATATCGCGATCGCAAGATCAATAACAACCTATGTGAAAGGTGAAGGGCAATTGCTGTTACCAGTCTTGCAGAGATGATTGTGATGAAGTGACCACGAGAAGACACTAGCGAACATCCTCTTGTATGGTGATTTTGTCTTTTTTTGCGGTTGTGGTGGGCGGTTTTGCGCACGTTGCTGTATATGATGATGACGTCGCTCTACGGTGTGAAAACCCTAGAACACAAGCTCTATATGCTATGCTTTTGTACGCCGCGAAACGATGCTGATGATGTTTTTTGTACCCATGCTGCGCAACGAGACCCTCGCGCCAGTGTTCATCTTGGGTGAGCAGTGCTTTCCACATCCCCTCCCTTCTCATCAGCAACAACGTCCTGCACCTCAAGATTGCGACCAAGAATAACCTGTGGCTGAGGCGCATCATCTCGTGTAGTCGCCGGCACCACTTCTTCCTCATCCAACTTCTTCGGTGCCTTAAGACTAGTATTTCCCACCCAAAAAGTCAGGAACAAGCCGAGTCCTGAACATAGCGTGAAGAAAATGAAAATGTAATGCAAACCTAGCATATACGTATCGAATACGTCTTCCTGTTGGTTCTGAGAGAGACCAAATTTGGCGAGGTCGTAAGTCGAGGACGTGAGCTGTTGCATCAGGCTTTCTGATACAAAGGACTGGTGTGACAGGTCTCTGCTGAGTGTGTTTGAAAGTATCACTCCGGAGACTACGAGACCAAAGGCGCCACCGATGGTGCGGATGAAGTTCCGCAGACCGGTTGTTACGGCACGATCTTCGCCACGGCCGTTGGCATACATGCCTACAAGGGTTGGTTGGAGCGTAAGACCGATTCCGGCTCCTTCTATAATGCCGATGATGATGAGGACAGCCAGACTCGTTTTCCGGTCAAAGAGTAGAGTGAGCCCGTTCCCGAGGGTCCACAGGGCGAATCCGACGAGAATACAGTGCATGTAGCTGCCCACTCTGTTCATGTATGTTCCCGATGCGATTGAAGCGAAGGAGGTGGATATGACGACAGGTAGGATCAAGGCTCCAGATGCTAGCGGCGAGTATCGGAGGATGGACTGGAAGTAGAGGGGAAGGTAGAAGAAGTTTCCAAAGTAGGCCAGACCGATGAGGAAGGTTTGCAAGTAAAGCGCTGAGCAATGAGGTGCTTGGTACAGTCGAAGCGGCATTATGGGGAGTTTGACGAGTTTCCACTCGTATAGCACGAATAGAACACCTAGTACTGCTCCCGTTATGGTGCAGGCGATGAAAAAGGGGGACGCCCAGGCATACGTTACTCCTCCCCCTGACAAGGGGATGAGCAGGAGAAGCGTCGACGCAATGTTGAGCACCATGCCGCCGTAATCAATCTTCTTCAGTTTTTCAAGATGGTCACCAGACCGATGTTTCAGCGGTAGGAAGAACAAAATGACGACGGCTGTGGGGATGGACATGATGGGAATCATCCAGAAAACCCATCTCCACGTTGCTCCTTCCACAATAGCACCTCCTAAGAAGGGCCCGGCGCCGTTTCCTAAAGCGATAATAGCACCGAGCCAGCCTACGACGATACATTAGTACGAATACCAATTTCGAGTATGCAGAGAGACCTACCTTGATATTTCCCCCGATTTTGCAAAGTCGTAATATCACTCACAATAATCATGACCAAACTATTAATCCCACCCCCCCCTACACCGGCAATAGCACGCAGCACAAACAACTGCACATCCGTCTTTGCAAACCCACAGCCCAGATCCCCTAGAGCCATGAGCATCAAACTCCACAGTAACAGATTCTTGCGACCAAAGATATCTGACAATCGGCCATTGATCAGCTGAAACGCTGTCGAGGCGATCAGAAACGATGTGCCGATCCATGATGTTGCTGTTCCGGTGTTTAGGTCGACGGCTATGGCGGGTGTGGCTGTTGAGACGCTGGTTTGGTCGATGAAGGAGACAAAGAGACAGACTGAGAGGGCGGGGATGGCGATGCGGAGTTGTCTCGACGTCATGGTGTTTCGTTGACCTCCGACAGATGCTGCATCGCTGTTGTCGTCGCCGTTGTTGTCTTGTTCATCAAGTGGAGTTGGAGAAGGGCTGTTATGGCTTGAAGCCGGTGTTCCTGGGTTACATTTCTCGTCGTACTCCGATGGCTTCTCGACAAAAGCATGTGTATTGTTCTCCATGGCTGCTTGGCCATCAACAGTCTGTCGTTTGTGGTCCTTCATCGTGTATTCACGCCCGCGTCGCTAAAAGAAGATGCCAAAACTCAGTACACGTCCCAAAGCCATAACCTTTTGACCGCCAAAAACCACAACAGTCCCAAAACCCCATCCATTAGCGCCAGAGGGGAAATAACGAGGTGCATCGGAAGGGGCGCCCGGTGCGGACCGGAAAGATCCCCATGCCTACGACTTCGCCTCTTGCTGCACACCGTCGGACTCCCTAGCCGCGTCAACCATTCTCGCTACCACAACGCCGCTGACAAGCTTCAATGTTGTAAGTAGGTGCATAGTGGAGAAGCACAGGTCAGTTGACGCCAGACCTAAGGCCTAGTTCGGTTGTAACAAGCTTAGTGTGTCGACCCTTAAAATGCCGAAAAACGGTTTCGGCTCTTTCTGAGCCGATGGTCACATCGTCATTCCTTCCCATCCACCCATCCCTACCAACATGAAGAAGAAGCCGATGTTTAGGCGAAAAGGTGCGGTTACCTTGCCTAGAAAAAGTTGGAGCACGGTGTATTCCACGTCGCTTTTCTTGGCCAATGTTTTCGTATCTGCGCACCGAGGCTGCACGTTGCCGACAATGACCTGAGATCGAGCGAATGGTCTGCACTCATATCTGAGGTCAGTTTGGGCTGAGACACACCCGTTTGTAAGGTGGTGTATGTACATCTTGGGCCGAGGCTTATGTGCTACAGGGTGTTTCACAGATTAGAGATTTTTTTCTGTTTTAATATGGGGTAAGGAAATGGTATATAGGAGATAGCTGGTTCTGCGTTTGCTTTTTTGTGTTGGAACCTCTGTTTACACTTATCGAATCACACAACGATACGCATTCATCATGTCGAAGCTTTTCCAGCCTTTGAAGGTAGGGTCTACGGATGTGGGACACCGCATAGCTATGGCGCCGTTGACGCGGTACCGTATGAACGATGACTATACGGCGAATGCTATGAGCAAAGGTACTATAATCTATAGTTACTCATTTATTTTACAAACAGAATCCACGTTCTCTCCAGCGCGTTCCAATGTTTGGTTTCTTTGAGACTGGACAAGATGGTCACAGTATCAACAATACCATCCACCCTCAAAGAAATTAATGACTTCAAGATACCACCAACCCACCACCTGCCAGCCGTTTTTCACTAACAGATTCCCCTTTAGAATACTACGAACAACGCGCCAGCGTCCCAGGCACCCTGATAATTAGCGAAGCCACTATACCCTCTCCCTCAGCAATCGGCTGCCGCAACGCCCCCGGCATCTGGTCCCCTTCCCAAATTGCCGCCTGGAAGCCCATAACCAGCTCTATCCATGCCCGCGGCTGCTACATCTACTGCCAACTCTGGCACCAAGGCCGAGCTGCCAACCCCAGCGTACTAGCCGAAGATGGCATTACCATGGTCTCCTCCTCCGCCGTCCCAATGACCCCCTCAGACGCAACCCCCACCGCTCTCAGCGAGGAGGAGATATGGAGCACCATCGCCGACTACGCATCCGCAGCGAAGAATGCCATAGAAGCCGGTTTCGACGGAGTAGAAATCCACGGCGCAAACGGCTATCTCCCAGACCAATTCCTGCAAACAACCTGTAACCAGCGCACCGACGCCTGGGGCGGCAGTATCGAAAACAGATGTCGTTTCCATCTCGAAGTCACAAAAGCGGTGATTGCAGCCGTTGGTGCCGATAAAGTAGCCATGCGACTATCCCCCTACAGTGATTTTAACGGCATGTTAATGCCGGAGCCTGAACCCACATTCTCCCACCTACTCAGCCTGCTCAAACCGCTCAACCTGGCGTTCCTGCACATCATTGAGGCCAGAATTACCGGCAACGATGATTCTGATTGTGGTGGCCAAAAGACGGTGCGGTGGATGGTTGAGGAGTGGGGGAATAGTACGCCGGTTATGTTGGCTGGGGGGTTTAAACCAGAGACTGCGCGAAAGACGGTGGATGAGGTTTATGACGGGTATGATGTGATGATCGCGTTTGGAAGGTATTTTGTTTCGAATCCGGATCTGGTATTTAGAATTCGGGAGGGCGTGGTGTTGGAGGGGTATGATAGGAGTGTGTTTTATACACCGAAGACGCCAAAGGGATATGTGGATTACGCGTTTTGTGAAGAGTATTTGCAGGCGGTGGCGCAGCCGTAGAAAGGGAGAGTGTTGGGTTGACGAAATTCTTATCATATGCGAGCTTTTGCAATTGACTTTTCGATGTGTAGTCATGTCTTGTTTTAGAATGGTATAAAAAGGTCGCTGTATGATGTAAAGGGCATGGGAACAGTAAATCTGATCTCAGCAATGTAAGACGTAAAAACATTATTAGAGTTATGTAACAAAATCTTTCTGCAGTTCATACGTAAGCATATTCGCGCCGTACGGAAACCCCAGAAGAAAGCTGCGTTAAAGATAACTGAGAAATCCTATGAGTTTAGTATCTATTGAAAGTGACAAAGAGGAGTATTCATCTGTAAATTCAGGGAGCTATTCAAAAAGCCCAAAAGCAGGCCTGTGTTGCTGGTGCACAGAGAAGGGGAAATCAGAACGTGAGTGAGTGAGTGAGTGAGTGTGAAACCAAACAGGTTGTCGTTGGATGAAAGAGGAAAGAGGCCTGTTGATTGCGGACCTCCGAAGGCCCGTGCATCGCCGCATCGGCTACTTTGTTCTTGAGACTGCTCCCGACTCACCCAACTCTCGCCTCCACCATGGCCGAATACTGGAAGTCAACAGTAGATATATCCCCATTATGTTTTGCGCAATACGAGCTAACTATTCCACAGCCAAAATATTGGTGCAAATTCTGCTCCACGTTCGTAAAAGACACAAAGTTCGAGCGCGCGCAGCACGAAGCGACCGGCCGCCACCAAGGCAACATCCAGCGCAGTCTGAAGGGGCTACATCGCGAACAAGAAAACGAAAAGCGCAATCAAGCGCGCGCGCAAGCCGAGGTTGCACGCTTAAATGGCCTCGTACCCTCCGCTTCCACACCCTCGGTAGCAACAGGCGTAGGAGGCAAACCCACGTTCGAAAAGCGGGTAGAGAAGAAGGCGACTGTAGATGATAGGAAGAGACAATGGGATGAACTGGCGGCCATGGGTGTCGCGCTCCCTGCAGCTGCACGAGGTGACTTGGCTATGGCAGGTGAGTGGAAGACAGTCTCGGAACAAGTCATTGGGGAGGTCACAGAGGATGGGGAGTTCAAGGTGACAGCGCTAAACAAGGGTGTGCGCAAGAGGATGATAGACGAGGACGAAGAGGAACGAGAGGCCGCGGGAGAGTTGATCACGAAGAAGAAGGGCTGGGGACATAGCTACAAGAGCTTTCCAGGAAGTAAGGGTGGGGACGATGATATCGAGAGCTTGCTGGGGAAGACGAAAACCGAAGTCAAGAAGGAAGAATCAAAAGACGAGGTGAAAGTGGAGGCGACCAAGGACGAGGATGCAGACGTCAAGACGCTGCAAGAAATACCTACGGTAGAAGAGGCAGAAGCCAGGGCAAGTGAGGCGGCGGCCCAGAAGGAGGAGGATGCACCGGCTGCACCAGCTGTGGTGTTCAAAAAGAGGAAGAAGGCCAAATGAACAGCACATGTACGACTTCCAACTCACAATCCATATAGGTACACTCTATGCATGGAATTGTGAATGAGAACATTTCTTCCGTCGGATGTAGCTTGGATACGGACGTCTACAGAAGTGGAGAAAGGGCCATGGTTGAGTGGCATAACATTTGCTTCGGCCTCGGCAGTTGCGACATTGCACCAAGGCTAGTGCGACCAATACCATAGTAGCCTCGACCGACGACATGAATACGGGCAGAACTGAGCGAGTGATGAGAGTTGTTCTCGCTGCATTTGGTCTGCGCACTATTTGGAAGTACTATGATGGTGTTTCGATGGGCAACCATTGGGAGAGTGAATACGAATACTTCAGCTGTGAGCTGTGTTATGGGAGGAGCTTAGGTCTACGACGGGTTGGGTGAACATGGCCAGCACATAACGTTAGCATAAATACATGACGCTTTATTCCAAGCTTACTCTTCAGCTTACTGTAATGTACAAATCCCCACACTACTCCCAGTCGCTTGTTTCCACTTTTCGATCGGCGCATGCACCTAAACCTTAAACCCCTGCTCCAACGTCTGCCAAGTACCGTCAACTGCGAGTTCGCGTCGCCAACGCCAGACAACTGTCGCGGTCCACCGAGACGTGCGGTTCGATTAGCAACCCACAACCATTTCTCCCAGCCCTCTTCCCCCCCAACTCGTGGTCGCGTAACAGCACGCTTCGAGTGCTGGAAACACATACGCGACCATGCGTCTCATCAAACCGCAGTGGTTAACGCATCCGGGTAAGTGCACTTCTGCGCATGCACAGCTTCTTTGCGCCCCAACCCATCTCAGCTTTGTAACTGACAAACCTCGTCATTCTAGGCGAACAGAAAGACTTTGAAGTATACAGCTGCCACGTTTCCCCCGATGGGTCGCGCCTGGCTACGGCCGCTGGAGGTTCGTTAAATCATGCCCGTTCTACACGCGCCATGCCCTACTCCTTAACACATTGCTAAGTCACGCTTCACAGATGGCTATGTGCGAGTGTGGTCTACAGAGGCTATTTTAAATTCAAACGACCCCACATACACCAAGCCGAAGCAGCTCGCCGCTGTCAGCCACCATTCAGGCACTATCCACGCCGTACGCTTCTCTTCCAACGGTAAATACCTGGCTTCCGGTGCAGACGACAAGATAGTATGCGTCTACGCACTCGACAAGAATGCGCCAACACACGCAGCTTTCGGTAGGTATACCTCAGGCATTGAGGGCAAGCAATTGCTGATGGACTTGCAGGATCGAACGAGCCCCCACCCGTCGAGAATTGGCGTGTCATCCGCCGCCTGATTGGACATGATAACGATGTGCAGGACCTTGGATGGTCATTCGACTCCTCCATATTGGTTTCGGTGGGGCTGGATTCAAAGGTCGTTGTCTGGTCAGGCCATTCATTCGAAAAATTGAAGACGCTATCAAATCACCAGAGTCACGTCAAAGGCATAACCTTCGACCCGGCGAACAAGTACTTTGCTACTGCTAGCGACGACCGAACCATCAAAGTCTACCGATTCAACTCACCGCCGCAGAATGCGTCCCAGCAAGACCAGGTCAACAACTTCGTCCTAGACCACACAATCACAGTCCCCTTTCAAACCTCGCCGCTCACCACATACTTCCGCCGTTGCTCATGGTCGCCCGATGGCGCACATATTGCTGCTGCGAATGCTACAAATGGACCCGTCAGCTCAGTTGCCATTCTTTCGCGTGGAACATGGGACGGGGATATCAGTTTGGTCGGTCATGAAGGCCCTGTCGAGGTCACCTCCTTCTCTCCGAGGTTATTTTACCGGGACCCGCCACGTCCAGACAAAGACGGAAATATCACCCAACAGACCGTGACCATTGTCGCATGTGCGGGACAAGACAAGTGCCTTAGCGTGTGGAATACAAGCTTACCTAGGCCATTCATGATTTTCCAAGAGCTGGCAGGAAAGGCCATATCCGACTTGTCATGGTCACCTCACGGTGAGACCCTGTATGCGACCAGCTTGGATGGCAGCATCATGACACTCATGTTTCAGCCGGGAGAGTTGGGATATCCTGCGTCGCTTGCTGAGAACGAAAAGACGCTTGCAAAATTCGGCGCTGGTAGAAGAGTTGGCATTATCGAAAGCACGGACGCACTGCTCCTAGAAGAGAGCAGTAAGAACGGAGAGTTGAAGGGAGTACAAGGCAGGATGGGTGCACTAATGGGCGATGGCGGTGCAGTGCAGCCCCCAACTATTACGAACGGAACCAACGGTATTCCCACGACGACTCTCACCAATGGATCGAGCGCTACCGCACAACCGCAGGCCCCTGCCGAACCACCCCCAGACCAGAGGGTAGAGAAGCTCAAGCAGCGAGTGACTGTCACGAAAGATGGCAAGAAGCGGATAGCACCAATGCTCATGTCATCTTCGTCAGGTGTCGGCGAATCTTCCCTACCGCAAACGCAGCTTCTCTCCGCAACGACAACGTCGGGTGGCAGGAGCGATAACCCCCATAACATTCTCGACCTCTCAAAACCGTACGATGGATTCCCAAAGGGCGGGCTTGCGACCATGCTTATCGGAAATAAGAGGAAGTTTGCTGAGATTGAGGGTGACGAAGACAAACAAGTGGAGCGACGACTGGCTGCTTCTGTACGACCTGGAGGTGCAGCTATAGTACTGAACAGCGAAAACGGTCTCATCCCACCCGCTGCCGCGCCACCGAAGAATGACCTACAAGAGATTCCAAAGGTCCTAAGGCCAGCCATTGTCAACCCTGCTATGAGTCTTGCTCAGGTCCGCCTCGCAGTACCGAAAGTCCGGAGTGTTATCGTACGAACCATGGACGGCAGTGAACCACCACAGAATGGCGTAGATGCTAACACAGGGAAAGCGGAAATACCAGACACTGTAATTCTGGAAGCACGCAATGCCAGTGGACCATCACGGACAGGACGCCCACAGGATCACGACCCAACAAGGATGACTTGTACCAGCAAAGGACAGTCTCTCTGGCAAGACTTCCTCCCAAAGGCCGTACTCCTAGTCACAGGCAACACCAATCTCTTCGCCGCAGCATGCGAAGACGGCTCCGTATACGCCTGGACACCTGCCGGCCGCCGCACTCTCAACGCCATGGTCCTAGAAGCCCAACCCGTCATTATGGACTGTCGCGGATGGTGGTTAATGTGCATAACCGCCGTAGGCATGGTCTACATCTGGAACCTAAAAACAATGTCCGCCCCACACCCACCCATCTCCCTCGCCCCTATCCTCGACATCGCAGCCTACGCCCAAGGCCCGCATCTCACCCGCTCCCCCGGCATCGTCTTTGCGCGCCTAAACTCGGCCGGCCGCATCATAGTCGCTATGTCCAACGGCGAAGGCTACGCCTACAATCCCGACATGTACATTTGGCAGCGCATCTCTGAACCCTGGTGGGGCGTCACATCGCAATACTGGAATAGCACCGATTCTTCCGTTGGCAACATCCGGTCCTCGCAGGATAAGAATGCCGCACCAAAGGAAAAAGATGACATGGTTTCCATTGAAAATATCTCAGCGGGCATCATACCTGCGCTCGAACGCAACACTACGAATCAGTCGCTCCTCCAAGGCCGCGCCTTCCACCTCCAGCGTCTCATTAAGATCCTGGTTTCGGCAGAGGGCTACGAGACGTTTGAGAGCTCGGCTAGTGTGGCGCATCTGGAGAACCGCGTCGCTGCCGCTCGTACGCTGGGTGCGAGAGAAGAGTTCAAGATTTATCTCACCATGTATGTCAAGAGGCTTGGTGCAGAGGGTCTTAAAGGCAAAATTGAAGAGTTGTTGAGGAGCCTTGCTAGCAGTCTTGTTGCTGAGGATGAGGACGAGGGGGGCGCAGAGGGAGACGGTGAGGAAGGCGAGGATGCGGCGGCGGCGTTGAAGGAGCCAGAGGTTATTTGTGGGTGGAAGAGGGAGGAGCTGTTGAGGGAGGCCGTGCTGATACTCGGTATGTTCCTTTTCATCCATGATGAGAAAACGTTGCTAACATGTGTGATACAGGCAAACACCGCGACCTCCAACGCATTACTGTGCCCTACGCCCGTCTCCTGGGTATCGTGGTCGATGGACAACGACAGGATGAAGCTATGGTTACAGATATGTAATGTTTCTGCCTTTTTTCATCTTGTCGGGCTCGTTCTGTCTTCTCATTCATTCCCGTCTGTCACATCACCATCGCCGTCGCTGTTATTTTTTATCGACTAGGGAGGGCTTGGTTTCTCTTGCATATTTTGTATCAAAAGGTGTACTTATCTATTACTGTCACTTTCACATTGGAGGTGTTTGTCCTGTGTTGCATGAAGGTGAGGCGTTTGGTCAAAGATTCAGGCGCAACAAGGGCATGAGGTGTTGTATCGAAGTCGGAAGGCGATGACTCGATTGGTGCACGAACAACTTGGTGTAATTGTAAAGCTAGACTTTTGTATTCTTCGCTACAATTTCAGCCTGCTACATGGAATTTATAATCACCATTTCCCATCTCCCTCCGCCTACAAAACACCCCTCTTCTTCAGAATCTCTTTCTCCCTTGCACTAGCTTCCTCCTGGGCCCACTTCGGCCCATCCCACATCTCCCACACCGTCATCTTTTTCACCTCCTCGTACTCTTTCCTACCAGGTGGATACAGCGCTTTGCCCATTTTGCGCTTGCGGATCTTATTCACGATTTGTGTGGACATGGCCGAAACGTAGGATTCTTGCGTAGGGTAAGCGCTGGGGGTCATTGGGAAGACGGACGATGATGAGGTTGCGGGGATGCTGAGAGTTGAAGTGGGTAGGGTGGTGGAAGAGGTGGTAGTAGGAAATCTCCGGGAGGTTGGAATAGGAGTGAAATCCAAAGTCGGAGACAGGAATCTCGAAGTCGAGAACGACGTCATCGTTCCTTCTCTCGGCGACAACGTCGTCGACGTCGATGTAGGCGGTTTGACAGAAACAGACGGCGAGAAGGGCATAGTAGTAACCTGTCCAGTCTGCTTCATCAACGCCGCCTCCCTCTCCGTCCTCTTCATGTCCGGCCTCTTGATGCAAAATCCCAACAAATCATCCGTCGCCGCCTCCTTCAACCTCAACTTCTGCCTAAACTCCATCGCCTCCTCCAAATACGCCGCCTTAACCCCCGGTAACTGATACCTCGGTACCGACTTCTCCTTCTTCTTCTTCTTCTTCTTCTCCTTCTTCGCCAGTGGCGTCGTATGTGTGGTCGGTGTCTCGGACATAACCAAGTTGCCGTTTTCATCCGGGTTGACCGGCAGGGACAAACTAGGCAAAGGTCTCCGTCCCGGATGTTTCTCACGCACTGCATTCGCATGGTCTGCGAAACCGGGATCGAGAGTAAACGTTTTTTGGCGCACGATTTCTTCTTCTAGGCTGGCTTTTTCGCGCTTTGAGGCGTTGAAGAGGTTGAGCACGTCTGTATGGTCGTCTTGGAGGGCGGCGAGGCGGGCTTGGAGCATGGTGACGTGCCAGTTTGACTCGTCGGCGGTTTTTTTGTAGTACGATTTTATTTGGCGGAGACCTTCTTTGCGGATGCAATGGGCTTCCCGTTCGAATGCTGAGGTGCGGAGCTCGAGTTGGGATTTTGACTCTGCGAGCTCGGATTGCCAGGATTGGACTTCGTCTTGGAGCTCGTTGACTCTGCTCTTCAGATTGGCACAATCGTTTTGTGAGTCTTCAAGGAGGTTTTTTAGGTTCGAGATCTTCTCGATTTGGGTGGTGGTTTCTGCTGACAATTTGACTTTTTCCAAGTGAGCCTGTTTGAGCTGTGCTTTTGTGTTCTTGCGTTCACGGACCTCATTCCTATAGAGTGTCTCGGATCCGTCTCTATCTGCTTGTAGTGGACTCATTGGGGATTGTAGAATCGATGGAATAGCTATATCAGGGCTAGCAATACGCACTTCGGCTGTCAGAGACGCCTTGGCTGCTGCTTCTAGTTTGGTGACCTGAAGGTTCATATAATGTAGTTGACGCTTCAAGTCTTCATTCGTGCTGTGTAACGATCTCCTAGTCTTTCCAAAGGCTTGGAATAGCATATGGATACTCTCATATAAGCTGCTCGTCTCGATTTGGGCGGTAAGCTGCTGTACCAAATCGTAAATCTCGCTAAGCTCCATGTCCGAGTCATCGCTAATGGATTTCGTCGCGTTTTCCATGAGTGTTGATAGTGTGCTGATGAGATCTTTCTGCCTCTGGATAATCAACTCGTTCTCATTAATCTGGTCTTCGAGGCTATCCTGACCTTGGTTGGCATACTCATAAGCTTCATCCAATTCTTTTTGTTTTGTCTCAAGCTCTTTCTGAGTTGTAGCTTTGTCTCTCTGCAGATAGGCCACTTCATCATCTCTCTCCCTCAGCTTCTGTCTCAATTCTGCATTATTCCACTCTAGATCTGCGATAGTCACTTCTTTGGCCGACGCATTAAGTGGCAAGTCTCGACGCCAGTATTCTTCCTTCTGTTGCTTTAGCTCCTGTACGTTAACTAAAAGTTGATCACGTTCTTGGCTAAGCTCTTCCATCCTGTTTCTCGAGCCTTCTAGTTCCTCGTTCATTTTCTTCTTCTCTCTAGTTACGAGTTTGAGCTGACTGGAAAGCTTATCGATCTCACTCTCCAGTTCTTCCGTTTTAGCTTTTGTTTCGCGCAGCACCCTGACTTCTTTTACCAGCTTTGTTTTATCCTGTTGCAGTTGTGACAATCTGCTCAGCGCTTCTTCCTCTTCTTGCTGTACTTCCATCAATGCAATGTTCTCATATTGTAAGCGTTTGATATCTGCGACCAGATCTTGAAGGTGAGGATCTGCATGCTCTTTCTCTGCAGGCTGCTCTTCATCGATATCAATCCTGGTCTTTTCATCGGTGTACGCATCATCCCTATGCCCAAACTTCACTGAAGTAAGGGGATCAGCACTGGATGGTCGCGACAGCGGAGCAGATTTCGGCTCCGATTGCGCAGATGGTGATTGCCCATCAGAGGTGTTTGGCCGACTAAGACGGTCCTTGCCCGAATCTCCCCTTTTCACCAGCGCCGGAAGCTCCACTTTCTCATTCTTCTTCGCTTCTGAAGCTTTCGTGGGAGCATCATATGTAGGAGGCTTAGCTAGCCGTTTGGATGCATGTCGTAGGATATTCGGTGGTGGATGGACGGACCCATGCAAATTACACGGAGACGGCGTGTGCGGAGAAGGTGTCAAAAACGGCGAATTGTCATATCGTTGCTTTTGCTCGTTATACATTGTGTTCTTCCCCCAATCTTCTGGCTCAGTGGAAACGATATCTTTGTCTATACTGAGATTAACAGGCTTCTTCATCGTTCCCTGACCTGGCTGCTCCATGGCCTCATCTTCCAATACTGAACTCTTGTTACCAGTCTCTGAGCTATACATATTCTTGAAGTGTAATTTCGCAGTGCTAATCGTATACGGGACTAATGGCTAGTAATTCTAGTAGAATGCTAAATTTCTTCTTCCTGTATCCACCCATCTTTCATTTGATCATTCCCTCGTCTCTGTATCAAAGAATCATTATGTCTCACTGTGACTGAAACCCCTGATCCAATAGGTCTGTCTTTGTTCTCTTCTTCGCATCAATGAAGTTCACAGTTTGTAAGAACAATGAAACAGGATGCTTTTGTCCTTTGCTTGCACGAAGACAGTCACAGTTCATTCGTAGGACGACGTGATCATGGCATAACCTGGGCTGATTTCCTTCTGATTCAGATATCTCCAGAAATCTAGATTGCTTACGCGTATTTGTGGGACAGGTCTTAATAGTGTGGTCCTCCTCGATACACACGAAGTAGTGGCTTGTTCAATTGGAGTTCAGCAGACAGTCCGCCTCATTACAAAGCTAGACTTTGCTTAGCCCATTTGTACACCTTACCATTTCCCAGATCGAGTCTGGACGCGGCGGCGAACGCTGGGCACCATGATCAAGCGAGTAGTGCAGTGTTAGTTTTATCACGTGACGGCGCATTACCAGCCCCATGGGGCATCGTGGCATCGTGCTAGCTAGTTGCGGAAACATCGAGCGCCGCTTTTGAGCCGCATCTCTCCTAGATAGGTACTGGGAAGCTGAGGCACCACGATCTAGTGGAACAACTGCATGCAGAAGATAAGCGGAAAATGGGTACGAGGTGAGATCGATACAAAGATGAAGGATGACTAGGAGGCTGATCCCAAGATGAGTGCGGCGTGGGTGGAGGATAGCCTTGCTAAACCGTTAGATGGCGATCGTTGGGCCAAAGCCTTCGCGCGGTCAATCCTGCACGTGTTGTGACATGTGCCGCCACAGACTTCACCAACCCACTTTAGCCGGGCGAACGACCCGAGATAAGCGCCTTCTAACTAGACCATCCCGCAGCTAATGTTACCCTTGCAGGGGTCTTGGTCATCGTTCTGATGTGATAGATATCGCAAAGTTTTGATCGAAGTTTCGCAACTGGTTGAACCCGCTTCCACGGAAGCTAGGTCTCCTGACTATGTACCAAGTGGGTGGTGGTCGCCAGGTGACCGGATAGATATCGGTAACATCATGCGATACTTGCATGTGCGGTGCATAATTACAGTCGATATGCTCTAGTCGATGCCTCGGCGCATAGTTGCTTGATCTAACCGCGACCGTTGGTCTACTGCGCGGGCGTCTATTAGTGTACCAATATATCAGCATCAGGTCGCTCAAGCCGAACATCTGTATGCTTGTTCTGAGTGGGTACTGTTAGCAGTGGGCTTTTGCTTGTCCTTCCGGTCCACTTCCCGCAAAGACGCGACAAGTGTTGTTGTAATGTAAGAAAAGAGTCGAATGTCGCGATGTTGGTCGTTTTCGCCAGACTATCGACAGCATTTCCGTGCTACGAGCGTCCCATGGTAACAGCAATGGTTGAGTGGGGTAAACCGAGAACCCTTTCCTCGCGCGAATTGAGCAGTCCAGCTTGCATTTTAGTTCCCGGCCATCGTTGCAAGGAGCCGGGAAATTTAAAGGGGCATAGTCGTCGATACCACTGCAAGTGGCGCGGGGTAGAACGAGCCATGCCAGATCAATGACGGATAGAACTAACGGAGCGGACGTCCTTGGCTGAACGAACAAGTCTTGGTATCGAGGAACGGGGGGCTTGAACTGGTGGCTTTGGCATAGTTGGCGGAAAGTAACGGAGATGTTTCCAGTCTGAGTAAGGCAAGATCTAGAGTTGAGTGGGTAGAAGCAGACGGTCGTGGCGGTGCTGATCAGAGACACACTCAATGAATCCCCCGACATCTGCGGCTGCCAGTAGGTCGAGGCTACAGAGCGCGGCGAGAATATCCAACGAGACCGATCACCTATCTGACGTTTACGACACTATAGAAGCAGCATGCCACGCTGATAGCTCGTTTGCGTATCATTTGGGCCCACCGGTCAAAACAAGCATGTGCAAACCTCATCACCACAACCAAGGTCCCTGACTCAAAGCAATTCCGCACACAGCTGTTTCGACACGTGTTTCGCGCTTGCTCAAACCAATCAATTTCGTCTTTGAGGATCGATCAAACCTGGTTACACAAAGTAAAGACTGTTTGGTTGTCATACCGAAACGGCGATAGTACGCATTCCAGAGGCAGGTCCGCAAGGACCGCATGTCGACACGATCGACCGGAAGCATCCGAACTTTTGCTGCATGCATGAAATATGCAGGACCTTGGCTGCTGTCCCGACCTGTCGCCTGGAGACATTGAGGGCTAATTGACCGTAACGGGCTTGCCGAAAAGCCATCGGCGTAAGAGACCCAACACCTATTAACCGCGAACAGGTAGAATGTTCGGATTTATTCTAGGCCTGAGCGGTGAACACGCTCCCAAGCCTCGCCGCGGAGGCGCACTGTGACCAGTATGTCGGGAATGCTGTGCTGGCCCTTTGTTAAGCAACTGTGAATCTGAGCATCACTCAAGTTAGATTGTTCGATAGCGAGTGTTTGAAGATTGGCTAGTTTGACGCGGCTTGTAATTCGATTGTGCATGCGCATTTTGACGCGCGTTATGAAAGTTGGGTGCCTGTTGCGATGTAGTGGTCAGCCCTGCCAAGCATGACCAGCTGTCAGGGTACTGGCATACGTGATGCAGCCATCCGTAAAAAGCACGCCGGCCTGCGTAGCAACAGAAGATCCAGAGTTTTTCTTCGCCCAACCAAGTTCAGCTTGGGGAAGAATCTTGTCAAAGTGTGTCCCGTGTCATTGGTCACTGGGGAAGGGGGATTGCCAGCCCCCGACATGCAATTGGTGCAAGGAATGCAGCCCATGATCTGGCAGGACACAACTCCAAGGGCTCAAAAGGCTAAAGATACCAATGAGCATGTGGCGTACCATAGTAAGTGCCAAATGCACATGACTGCTGCAAGCCATCGTAAACCCCTGTCGAGATTGGTAAACGGGGTTTCAAGGTAGGTGCGAGCTATGGGAAGGGCGCCCGAAATGGGAGTAGCTCCCGCCTCCTAGCTGTCGTTGTAGAGGGGCTGAGGGCCGTTTTCAACCCCACAGAGGGTAGGACAAGATAATTGGATTTCGAAACGTGAACGGGCCAGAGGGCTAAGTTTTGCGCCATATTATACGCATTGAATCGCTTCAGAGGCTCGCAGTCCAAAAGCAGCGCGAACTTCAAGTGTGGCAAGCGCCTCAGCCATCACCAATCCAGTAGTCCCTTTGTCCGTGTTTAGTCGGCCAGGTACACTATACTATACGTGAGCAGTCGGCCTCGAGAGTGAGTAGTCGCTACAAATACCTTCCGGAGACTGACCGCGGACAAAGAATCCTTCTTCGTTGACTTGCCCTTACACGATTTGCTCGAGCCCTGCCTTCGCCACAAAGAGTGCCGGGCCGAAACATCGAAACTCAGACATTACAGCAGTGTCCGGCTAGGAAATTGGTGTTTACAGTTTTCGAAATTGATTGTCGACGTTCCAAAGCTTTGACGCCGGTGAGGAGCGGGTAACTGCAACAGGTTCGTTCCCTGAAGTCTTTGCGAACTGTGATGCATCATCGCGACGAAGCAAACCCAGCAACCGGCAACATAGTCGCTATTTTACTGACACATGTACAGTATCGTATCTTGAACAAAGCTGTTGAGTCGAGAGTCTTTTCGAGACCCCGGAAGAAAGCGATATCGGGGATCAGAGTCAGCGTCTCAGCATTCACCGCTGCTGAATCACTTCATCCACAGAGCGGGGATTGGATCAATCGCAGTCAAACCCGACTCGCCCAGATTATCATCCTTCTATTCTGTTCCGCGTTGAGTCCAGAGACAAGGCGTAGCCGGTCAAGTCATTAACTTGCAATCTCCACTGTCTCAGCTGTGCTTTCACGCTCGCCATCATGAGGGGTGACATATTCGTCCAACAACAGCATCCTCCCACTCCGCCAAATGCCGGGTCGGATTACCATGCGGGGCTGCAGCGAGTTGCGCAATACAACACAAATCGCGGCTATTCGTCAGGGGAACCAGGGTATGGTTCTCCCAGCTCGGTGGCGCACGAAGGGATCCCTTTGCATGCGTCACATGGCGACAGTCATCCTCATGGGCTTGGCCTAGGTATACAATATGTAAGAGTCCCTGTATTTCCACGCGCATACAATACTGATTCAAATTCAGGATGGATACGGCCCTCCGGCGGAGTATTACCAAAACGGGTCATACAATGGCCTTTCGGTGAGTGGGAATCGCATCTTGTCATAGCTGTGTAGCTAATGAACAATAGCACGACCAAGGTCTGTTCTCGCCACCGACACCAAGGTCCACAAACGGCGACGACTCTAGTAGAAGAACGACGCGCAGTGGACGAGCAATGACATCATCCAGCTCTCCGCGCAAGACCGAAGGAAGCCCCCGACCGAAAGCGACGCCCAAATCGAAGAAAGCCAAAGCCGCAAAGTCAGACAAGCACAAGACGCCTAGACTGACTGCACCATTGAGCATCTTGACAAAAGAGCTACACCATATCCCGGTCAAGAATATGGAGGAGTGGGTAAACAGGCCTGCAGATGTGAGAAGACGAGAAGTAGAGAAAAGGAACGGATACATCACCCGTCCCATGAACTCTTTCATGCTCTACCGTTCGGCGTTTGCGGAAAGGGCCAAGTCTTGGTGCCTACAGAACAACCATCAAGTCGTATCGTCAGTAGCTGGTGAAAGTTGGCCTCTAGAGCCTCCGGAGATCCGCGAGTTGTACAATGAGTACGCGAAGATTGAGAGGATGAATCACCAGAACGCACACCCAACGTACAAGTTCTCGCCTAGCAAGACCGTCACTCCTGCTGCCCGAAAGCGAAAAACTGAGTGGTCGGATGACGATGAGCTTAGCGATCTGGATGATGTCGAGTGGGCTCCAGCTGGTAGCAGACCTCGTCCCCGACAGGCCAGGAGAGTCGATAGTTCGTTTGGTTACCCGTCCAGCGGTGTAGGAGCAGAGTATTTTGACCGTTCGTTCGGACTAAATGGTAATGGTATGAACAGATCGTCATGGGAAATGACGAACGAGGGACGGCCCATGCCTATGCCCATTAACCACAGCGATCTCTATGGCCAGTACTACCAGACTGCCGCATACCCAGCCACACACATGAGCCTGAACTATACCGACGACATGCTGTTGAGGAGGGTGGATACTCCAGCATCGTCGCTTCAGTTTTCAGCAAATCCGTCCGTTTTAGGGCTTCCCGGTGGTGAACTGTTGCAACAGCTGCATTCGCATGTCGGTACGCCTTTCGACGAGGCGCAGCTAGATCCAATGTTGTTGGCCTATGATGGAGGAAACCATTCCGACATCGACCCTTCGGCACTGCATCACGATGGATTTCGAATTGGCCAGCCAAATTCACACGAAGACAACCTCGATCAACACAACCTCGACAATCTATTGGATCTTTCACACGATGAATATCACGGTTGGCAGTCGGACCCGACCATGACGTCGTTGGAACAAGAATCAGAATTCGATAAATGGATGGGCGAGTAAGAATCTGATCCATGTCAGCTATGTACTTTGTGTCTTCATTATTACGCTTTGTAGTGGAGTTGTTCACAGGGCGATACCCATTCTTCTTGGTATAGTTAGGCGGTGTTGGGTGAATTCTTGGGTTCATTAAGGGTCACATTCGGGGCGTTGATTCTCGTGCGTAGATCGACATTTGCACGTAGAATCCAGTCTGTTCTTTACTGTCGTTTTGACCTGAGGATAACGTGACGTTCTCATATCGTTTGATTCTACTATCTATCGCGCATTAGATTGTCAGCCTGTAAACTCGTGCTAGTCGTGGTTCGCGGATGCCGGCGAATGAGGGTTGATGGAGTTTTGTAAGGTATTGCCAAAAGGGTTGAGGTTGGACTCGAAAATGCCAAGACCCACCCGTCCCCCACATGCGTCCGCGACGCGGACGCGCCTGCCCTTTCAGATGAGGGGCGCGACAAAACATTCGCAGAACTCAAACAGACCCCGTTTCTTTCAAACTCCCAGATGTACATGCATATACCGATCAGAAGATTCTTCATACAAATCATATCTTGACAAATCAAATCATATCCCACAGTCCGTCCAACTGCAACGACCAGCGCTCTGTTTGGGGCCTACCTAGGTACCATACGAGCCAAGTGCATAATCGAGACCAATTGAGCTTCAGAGCATCATCATGTACGGAGAAGCTGCCAATAAGCTGGTATGGAAGAAGTCATCATGCTTTATACATCAAATATTCCTAACACACCTAGGTCCAAAACGCAAAGCGTATCCTCGCCCTCCCACATCTCCCACCATATGCCTCCGAACTCACACGCTCCATAATTCGCGAAGTGCGCGACCTCGACAAAGATGTCTCCTCAATCCTCGCTCCCTTCAGCGGCTCCTTTAACCCCAGCGCATCTCCCGAAACCGCCTGCGCACTCCTTGTAAACCACCTCTGCATGCGCCGCAACAAGCGATGTCTGCTAGCCTACCACCGCGTTCGCAGTGACAAGCTAGAGGACTATTGCTGGGAAGGCATCGATGTGCTTGAGCAACAGGGTAGCAAAGACCACAGCGGAGAAGCAGGCAGAGCAGGGGTTTTGGGTACTGGAGGAGGAAAGGAGGAGAGCAGTCTAAGTCCAGAAGAGGAGGAGTACGTGAGACAATACAGCGACCTACTAGCAGCATATAAGGGACAATGGACAGACATCGACCTCACAGGCAGTTTAGAGCCACCCCGCAATCTCTTCATCGACGTACGAGTGCTCAAGGACGCGGGCGAGATCCAAACAGAATACGGGTAAGTCTGCTCCAGCTCCCTTGACTCCATGCGCACTCGCATTTCTATTACCAATTTCGAAAAGATAAGCTTTCTGAGACTCCAGCTAAACCGGTCAATCAACTAGATCCATCACCTTGACTAAAAACTCGCAATTCTACGTCCGCCAAGGCGATGTCGAACGTCTAATCGCCCAGGGATATCTCCAGCGTCTCAGCTGAACTAAACCCGCTGCCGCTTGTACCCGATGATTCTCTCTCCTTGACAAACCCCCTTCCTCCCCACCAATGACTCCCAAAATATGAACGTCCCCGCATACACATGCCAAACCGGTTCCCGCCAACCACACACAACCCGTACCGGCCCGAGAACAGCCCCCAGAGTTCCCTTACATGTAGAAAACACAGATACCGCCTACCAATTGCACTAAATTGTTCGAATTGGTGAAGAAAACCCTTGTCGCCCTAGAGCTGGGGCTGGCTGCAAGGTCACACACTTACCCCCCTCGTTGGTTTTTTGCATCAAGGGATATCTGCTTTCGGAGCTATTTGGTCGGGTGGTGGCAGTGCGGGCAATAGTCTGCAAAATAACTTTGGCCACTGTCCCGTCCCTCCCCCCTGCTTCCATGTTTCGCTTCCGTAGTGTGGGGATCCCATGCTGTGATAAAAATGGACTTGGGTGGGTGGGTGCTGGGCATGTGGATATGGGCAGAAGGATTGCAAGTTATGGTGTAATTAGAAGGAATACATGTACATTACCGATGGATGCGGGCTTTTAGTAGTCAATACGGCGTGGTTGCATACATGTGGGAAGGGATTGGAACGTGATGACGTAGGGACCAGAGCAAGTCCATGCAACGCTGATGCGACGGTGTTCTGGTGTTTGGTAGCATGAGAAGTCTGGGTAGATGACAACATACAACATTGGTATAGGGTACACAACTGCACGACACATCCTACGCATCTGGGAAGCAAGTGTACCTTGAAAAGGATTTGACATTGGTATAGTATGTACAGAGGAACTACGGAGTGTGTGTGTGAAGAAGACCAGTGTGCGCATGCACAGTATCCAGCCTACGAATTTGAAAAACCCCACCCCATGATCCCTCCCACAACTTCCCAGTTCAGTCGCCCAAGGCAGATGATAGCCTGGCTCCATTAATGTACAGTGATGTCGTCCGTGGTGTAGGAAACGGCGGTAAATTCGGCGAGCGAAAGAAGTTGCTCAGTAGACGGAAGAGACCTGTGACGGGGTGTGTAAATCAGCGAAAGCAATAAGGAATGTTCAGGTGTTCAAACTTACGTTTTCAGAGACCCGGAAAATTGTCCTATGGTGAAACCCGAAACCCAATCTCCTTTGCGCATCCATCACTTGCCTTATTTTTCGTCGAGAAAACATTGCAAACTCCATCCATATCCTATGCCATGCCTATGCCCATGCCACCAGCAAAACCGTTCCTCCCAATGCAGTGAAACTGACGCCATGGAAAAGGAAAAGCAACGCCAAAATGAAGAAAAGTGGAAAAGCAGTGCATACCCTCTGGAATGAACACATCAGATTTTGTAACGGCCCGTGGGTTGACGAACCGCAGAAGATTCCTCGGTTGCAATGATACCTTCACGCAAGAGGCGAGTGAGTTCCATCATGGCCTTGGTCACAATGTTCTCAGTGTCACCCTCGACGAGGATGTATAGCTTGGGGAGGTCAGTCTCACCAGGCTCCTTGCCTGCCGCGTAGAAGTTGCCCTTTGTAGTGATGGAAACACCAGTTTGCTCCAGGATCTTGGCGACATTGGTGCGATTGGTGACGGCCCAACGCGCTTTCTGCGGGAAGTCGTTAATCTCAATGGTAGAGTGGTACAGACCGGCATCTGGGCCCTTGTTGTCGATGGGCTGACCCGCGTGAATCATGCCCTTCTTGCTCAACCTTCCGTCCACCTTGGAAGCGGCGGCCATGGCTCGCTCCCTCGCACTCATCGGCTTACCCGAAGTCGTGGCTTCAGGACGCTCAGTCTTGTTGACAACAATCTTGCTGTTCAGTAGCTTCATCCAGGGTGGTTGATCATCACTTTCAGTTGCCACTTTAGCTCCGTCAGTCGCCTTGGCAGTGTCTGGTCCAGCAACCTCGGGCTTCTTGGGGTCTTCTTCCTCGTCCTCGCTCGCTTCGACCTCGACACCTTCGAGCTTAAGCTGTTGCCTCTCACGCTTCTTCTCAAGAGCACGTGCTTTGTCAAGCTTGTCAAGACCTCCTTTCTTGCCGCCGAAACCGCCATAGTACTTCTCGGTGCCTTCTTTGCACTTCTGATGGAATGTGTTAGCCATCTGCTGGACCTCTTCAGGTACCTCTGTACCACTCTCTTTCAGTGCCTTGGCGATGTGAACTGCAAAGCGCTCTTGGCCGGGATTCTCAATGAGAGTAATAGCAGTTCCTTTGTTGCCTGCACGGCCAGTACGACCACATCGGTGGACATAGTCTTCCACTAGGCAGTGTGTTAGTGTGATCAGACAAATGTAGCGATGGAAGAAAGAACTTACAATGAGTCGGACAATCAAAGTTGAAGACCATGGCCAGACCTGGGACGTCTAGACCACGGGCTGCAACTGAAGTAGCGATCAAAATGGAAAGCACACCTTGCTTGAAGTCACTGATCGCTTCGTTACGATCGGTCTGGTCTTTAGCTCCATGGATCGTGTTGACAGAGAAATACTTAGCCTTGTACAGCTTTGACAAGAGATCCTCGGCCGTCTCTTGTCGCTCAGTAAAGATTAATACCTGGGCGTTTTCGTCTTCATCGAACAGTCGGCCGAGATGAAGCAGTGTGTTGTTGATCTTCTTATCATAGCTAGGGGGTACGACAGAGATGATCTGGGTGATCTCCGCAGCAACCTTACTCTTACCGCCGATGATGATCTCTACTGGGTCCTTCAAAGCCTTTTTCGCCAAAGCATGCATGTTCTTCGGCATCGTGGCCGAAAACAGAATGGTCTGACGATCGGGCCGCACATTGGCAAGGATCTTCATTACTTGCGGCTCAAAGCCCATGTCAAACATGCGATCAGCTTCGTCGAGAACAACGTAAGTGATGCGCTTGAAGCTGAGCACTCTACCAGAATTACTACATGATTTGTTAGCTGCGTGTCCAAGTTAGGAGTAAGTATAGGTAGACTTACCAAGAGATTAGGTCAATGAGGCGTCCTGCTGTGGCACACAGGATATGTATACCACCACGCTTTAGCATAGCAATCTGTTCGGAGATAGGCTGACCGCCGTATGCGCACTTGATCGTGATACCGGAAGCAGCAAGGAAAGGTTTGAGCTCATGAACAATCTGCAAGGACAATTCACGTGTCGGGGCGAGGATTAGTCCAATGGGGCCATCAGAGGGCTTCAGAGGACGCTGATCAAGTATGTGACGAATCATAGGTATACCGAACGCAAGTGTCTTTCCGGAGCCGGTTTTGGCTACTCCTATGAGATCGCGGCCGCTCTCCGCGATGGGTATGGCCTGAGACTGAATTGCAGTTGGCTTCTCATAGCGTACCTGTGTGAATACATCCATGGTAGCTTGAAGCAGGCCCATCTGAGCCCACTTGGTTACAGGCCGGGGAACATTATCAGGATTTACCTTGATGCCGTCCAATTCGAAACGGAGATCAGCGACTTCCTCAGGCTTCATCTGAGATATTTCGGCTGGCTCCGTGTAGAAGTTCTTTCGGAACGGTTCATACTCAACTTTCTCATGATCGACAGTTATGACTTCCCTCTTCTTCTTCTTGACCGCACGGAGTTGGTTGATGTCCTCGTCTGCAACGGACATTTCGATAGGCTCAAGTTCATCGGCGAACATGGCTTCACCGGAAGGCGCGTTGCGGCTTGGCTGTGGTTCGTTGAGATCAGCCATGAAGGCATCGAGAGGGTCAATGTCATCTTCTTCGGCGCCTGTGTGTTGGTCAACCTCCATTTGGTCGGCGGCAGGGGCTGCGACAACGTCGGGGGCTTCTTCCATGACAGTATCTTGCTGATTCTCAATAGCAATCTCGGCGCGACGCTTCTCAAGGCGTGCCTGTAGCTCAGCGTTGTTCTCTTCATCTTCACTACCGATAGCGCTCATAGCAGTATCGTCCTCGGTGCCGTTAGCTTCGGACTCGGGTTCGTCGTGATTGTTGAACTCAGGTAGAGCTTGGAACTTGCGCTTGCGAGTGGGGCCTTCCTCATCGAGAAGTGCCTTCCTCGAAGTCTCAGCCTCGACCTCGGCGGCAGTCTTGGTTTTCAGACCAAAAGAACCGATGTTACCGTTGGCCTTTAAGGCACCGGAATCTAGTTCTTCTGTCAGGTTCTGTTTCATGATCGGAGAGGGCGAGGGTGGCATACTACTCGCAGCACTAGTGACTGCCTTGCCGGCGGGCTTCGCAAGGTCTAGCGGCCTTGCTGCAGCGGACGCATCGAGCCTGAAGGTGGATTTCTCCGGCTGCTTCTGTTTAACTTTCTCAGTCGCACTCTTCTGTGGAACTTTACTCTTTGGAATTTCAAATTTAGCCTCTGCTGCTGGGACTGGCAGTGGCGTCGCAACAACTGTAGGTGTTGCAGGCGCCTTGCCAGTTGGCGATGCACCAGAACCAGGCGTATCTGTCTTGTCTTTGGCAAGACGCTCAGCATTGCGCTTCTTCCACTCAGCGAGCTTTGCAGCGCGGTCTGCCAGCTTCTCCTTGGCTAATGTCTCTGGGTCTTTCTTCCTCTCATCGCGTGAGGTACTGTCTAGGCGGTCGCGTCTGCTGTCGGGCGCCGGCGTGGCAGATGAGCGAGAACCGGGCCTGCCAGACGAGCGCGAACCAGGCCTGTACGAATTGGAGCGCCTATCACGGTCGTCGTCGCGCCTGTACGTACGATCTCTGGAACGATCACGGCGTGCAGGTGAACGTGAACGAGGTCGGTACTCACGACGCTCATCACGACGCTCATCACGACGCTCATCACGACGCTCATCACGACGCTCATCACGACGCACATCGCGGCGGTCATCGCGGCGGTCACCACGTCGGTCGTCACTGTACCTCCCTCCTCCAGGGCCACCGTAGCGATCTCCCCGATCTCGCCGGTCTCTCGAGCGATCACGGCGCGGACTATACCGTCTGCGCTCGTAATCAGCATGGCGTGACGCCATCTTTGCTTGCGGTTTATTACTGGCTGCTATCGGTTGATTCTGATGCTTCAAGCAGTGGGTGCGGGTGTGTATGTGTGTGGGGTAAAAGTTGAGTAGAGCAGCTTGCCAGGCACCGTTTTGTTTGCTTGGCTGATGGCAGCCTGGCAGCCTGGCACGTGCAGCGCGCTAAAAGGTGAAGGCGCGCTAAAGCCGAAATCTTGGACGCTAGCGATATTTTTTGGGAAGATGCGACCTGAGGAAAGTGAAGGTGAAGGCAAACCACTGCACATCACCATGTCTGTCAATCCGCGCAAGAGGAAGGTAGTGACGCGCCCGGCGCCAGAGCCTAGTGATTCCGAAGGTGAATTAGGCGACGGCTTGCTTGAGGGCATTCTGTCGCATTCCGAGGACGATTCAGACAACAGCCGAGAAGAAGAAGTCGATACGGATGCAAGCAGTGTAATTGAGGGCCTGTCTGACGAAGACGAAGAGGAGGATGAGGACAGTGACTCAGAGCAGATACGCACAGAAATGCGCAACCTCAACACGTCAGATGGTCCGCTGCGCAAGAAGAAAGGCGTCCCGACACATGACATGGACCTCGACACTGCTGTAACAGAGGAGCTAGAGGATGACGAGGACCTCAAGCCCAACTACACTGTTACTACCGACGCGCATGGCAATACTCGATATATCTACAAGGAGATCGACCCAGTCTACGAGTCCGACGATTCAGACGTTGAAGCTACGAATACCATCGGCAACATAGATCTCAAGTACTATGACGAATACCCGCATATTGGCTATGACATCAATGGCAAGAAGATTATGCGCCCGGCCAAGGGAGAGGCTTTGGATGCGCTGTTGGACAGCATTGATATACCCAAGGGCTGGACCGGTCTGACCGATCCGCAGACGGGCAAGCCACTGAACCTGTCAGAAGAGGAACTGGATGTGCTCAAGAGGCTCACAAGGAATGAGGTGGTCGAGGATGGATACGATCCGTACCCCGAGATGGTGGCCTACTTCTCTGGCAAGCAGGAGATCATGCCACTGAGCGCTGCCCCAGAACCCAAGCGACGATTTATTCCTTCCAAACATGAGGCCAAACGCGTCATGAAACTCGTAAAGGCAATCAGGGAAGGTCGCATCCAGCCATACAGAGCGCCTGAGGAACAGGAAGAAGAGCAGGATGCTTTCAACTTCGATGTATGGGCAGATGAGAAGCCACGACCAGACAACTCGATGCACATCCCCGCACCTAAGCTACCACCGCCAGGCTACGAAGCAAGCTACCACCCGCCGCCTGAGTATCTACCAGACAAGGCTGAAGAGCAAGCTTGGTTGGAAGCAGATGAGGAGGATCGGGAGAGGGAATTCTTACCCAAGAACTATGATGCTCTGCGAAAGGTTCCTGGCTACGAAACATTCGTCAAGGAACGTTTTGAGCGGAGTCTGGATCTTTACCTGGCTCCTCGTATACGAAGAAACCGACTTAACATCGACCCTGAATCACTACTACCCAAGCTACCGAACCCTGAAGACCTGAAGCCTTTCCCTACAACTTGCGCGGCCATCTTCCGCGGACAAGAAGGACGTGTCCGTTGTGTATCAATTGATCCAAATGGCATATTCGTTGCAAGTGGAGGAGATGATGGTTACGTGAGAATTTGGGAGCTCCTGACCGGTCGACAAGTGTGGAATGCGAAGCTGTCCGATGAGGAAGCCGTTGATGCAGTACAGTGGAGGCCCAAGAAGGATGCATCTGTTGTTGCCGCTGCTTGCGGTGAGAACGTCTTCTTGATAGTTCCTTTCACACTCTTGTCACCGGATGTGGAGCAAGCCAGTCGCGAGGTCCTTGATGCAGGTTGGGGTTACGCAACGTCCAAACCATCGACGAGCTCAAACGGTGAGGCTCCCAAACAAGCACCAGGAAAATGGAGCCGCCCAGGAGCTCGTCTTGAGAACAAAGGCGTCCTTGTCCAGGTTGAAGTCAGATCAGCTGTCAAGATTGTCAACTGGCACAGGAGGGGAGACTACTTTGCCACAGTATCGCCTCGCGGTCAGAGTACAGCAGTGGCCATTCATACTGTCTCAAAACACCTCACTCAACTTCCCTTCCGCCGTCTCAAGGGTATCGCACAGACAGCACAGTTCCATCCCTCCAAAGCCATTTTCTTCGTTGCTACTCGCAACACCATCCGCAGCTACGATCTCGCGAAGCAAGAGCTTGTCAAGATACTGCAACCAGGTGCCAAATGGATTTCGTCGATTGACGTGCATCCCGGGGGCGACAACCTCATTGTCGGTACCTACGACAAGCGTCTCCTATGGCACGATCTCGACCTTTCGAACAAGCCCTACAAAACGCTGCGTTTCCACAAGGAAGCCATTCGCGCTGTTCGCTTCCATCAAGGTGGTCTGCCACTCTTTGCCGATACTTCAGATGATGGCACAATACAGATTTTCCATGGAAAGGTAGTGGGAGACCTTATGGAGAACGCTACCATCGTCCCATTGAAGGTACTGAAGGGGCACAAGGTCAGGAGCAGGCTGGGTGTCATGGGTCTGGACTGGCATCCCAAGGAGCCATGGTGCGTGTCGGCTGGTGCAGATGGCACGTTGAGGTTGTGGAGTTAGTTCGAGATCTGTGCAACATACAGCATTCGCAAGGCGTTACGGAAAATGTACAAGTTCATGCAGCCCAAATTGCAATCTTTTGTATACTTTGTCCCATAACAAAGCGCTAATATGAAGAGACGAGGATTAGTTATTGACTTGGGTTCCATACATCCACCCCTGCAGGGCTACACCTCAGGGCTGAGGTAAGGTTCAGTAGCATTTCCCACCCTTCATATGCGACATAACACCTTCCTATGGCTTTTTCGACCGGCTAACGCCATTGAATCGTTATATTCGGTCCTTTTCGGTGTCAATTGATCTGCCTTCGGGTAACTGCCATGTTCATGCCCCACGAAGGGGAAACAGGCAGCACGTGCTCCTGTTTGACTTCAACAGGCGTCCGCCTTTGCCACTCGTACCTTGCTGGTGGGTCCACTCGTTCAAGATGCTGCGCACATGCTAAAGTCTACAGTGCAAATGACGCCCACGCTCCCGCAACGTGGCTCTCATTCGAGGCGTAACAGACGGCGGCATCTATTCGGGTGCTCGCTCAGCCAATCACGCGAGAGCTACGGGACACGAGGATGATGCGACACAAGAGCCCACGCGACACCCCCAACAATGATATGATAATGCACGCCATTCATTCTCTCTTGATCCCCTCTTCGACACTTTCTGCCTTTGCATACGAGTTGGACAGAGGTTGACGACCGTCTAATCATGCGGCGCCCAAATCTGCCTCCCACACCACAACCGTCGGCCGACATTACTGGGAAGAACAGCGTTAATGCCCCGCAATTGGAGTCGAGCTTCATCCTCCCACCTGCTGCTTTGGGTGGAAGAGGGAGTGTAGCGAGCTCGTCTGGTCCGTCTGAGGACGCCTCAGACTCGTCGTACCGGCCATTGTCCCCATCCTCTCCAGTCGCAACTTCCAAAACCGGCCACGCGCGCAAACGTTCGAGTACTGGGACACATCAGAGCATCATCACCAAAAATGACTATTCCCTTCCTCCTCCGCCGACGCGATCCCGTAAGATCATTCAGATGAAGCCCAAAGACACTCAGGACGCGTCCAAGACTTCATCTCAAACGCTAAATGCCAAGGCCACCACGACTCCTACCAATGGCACCAAGCGAAAGCAGTCGGGTAACACGACTGCGGCGGGTCGCAAAATTGCAAGAAAGACGGCACATAGTCTGATTGAACGAAGGCGAAGGTCGAAAATGAACGAAGAGTTTGGAGTTCTCAAAGACATGATTCCCGCATGCAGAGGGCAAGAAATGCACAAGCTTGCGATTCTGCAAGTATGTAGACTCGTTGCCTATTTCCACGTTGAATGCGCTGACATGATCAAGGCATCCATTGAGTACATGCGCTACTTGGAGCAATGTATATCAGACCTCAAGACTGCACATTCACGCCGCGACTCACCATCATCTACAACATCTGACCTTCCCCCACCACCACCCAGACGTATGCGCGATGAAGACGACGAGGAAGAGAATTACGGTGACCAGGATCAAGATGAAGAGATGGAAGACGCAGTGTCTCCCACCTTCGTTGCACAAGCTCCCTCAAAGTCCAGATACTCGTTCGCAAACGCCTCGCCCGCCACGTATCCATCGGATAGAAGTGTATACAGCCATTCCACAACAACATCCCCGGCCATCGTGCCCCGCGATCGTAACGGCCAGTGCTCGGCGAACCCTTCCCCCGCGTTACACCCGTCCGACCCACACCGTTACGCGCTTGCGCCATCCATCCGTTCCACAGTGACTTCGCCATCTATTCATCCTTCGCCAGCTTTTGGTGCACAGACGCCTTCCGCATTGCAGTTCAGTAACCCATTCCATAACGGCCCGCCTAGCACTGGCCCTGTAGCTGCTCCTGGGTCTTCACACGGCTCAGTCCACTTCTCCTTGACGTCACCGGCATTGAAGCCCCAAGCCGACCGTGAAGATCAAGAAGCTACCGAGGCGCTTATGATGCTCAATACAGACCGTCGAAGCTGGAGCGGTGCCAGGGGTATGAGCGTGAAGGATCTCCTCAGCGGGTAGATTTCACGTGCGTAGGATAAACAGGGAACGCTTTAGCGTCCAGCGAAATCAGCAAAAAGCGGGACTGATACCATGTGGATACTAGGGATATGTTGTGGTCATTTTGGCGCTGGTGGTACTTTGTTACTTTTGAGTCCTTCGTGACTATGCTTCATCATGTAGTGCTATGTTTTCTGCTGTAGAGCCAATTGGGATATGCATGCGACTTATCTAAGAAGGATATCAGGCACCCCAAAGGCCCTGTAGTAGTCGTTCGAGAATATACATGCATCAAAAAGCTCGTTGTCTTGAACCCACATCTGAAGCCGTGGCGGCGGAAGGAATCCCGAGAGGAGACCCGGGTCCAGGCCGACATGTTCAGGTGCGATTGCCTTCAAATACAAACCAGAGCCCAGCCCTGCAACTCGCCTGACGATCACCCCATCTATAAAACTTCTACCATGTGCGACATCAGCCTGGGTCTGACTCGGCCTCGGGGTGTCAGCGTCAGCAGCAGCGGGAGGACCTGGTTGAGCGACGTGGTTGATTGGGGAAACGGCAACATCACCGCAATAGGACCGTTTGCTGATCAACTTAATTACAACGACATCGCCCTATCTTCTTCTCTGGGAATCTGGTCGTTGTTACTTACTGACCAAAGCTACGAGAGGGTGGTGCGCTGGGCGATGGGCGTCGCTGGAAAATGAAGGGTAGACGGCCGACGAGGGGCACGGTACCACGAACTCCACGTCGGCCGCACTTGCTGTCTCGGGGATGATGGCAGAGGTAAGACATCACCACAGTAAGTCGCAGAGTAAGTGTTTGATTACATCCCACCATGTCTCCCACATTCTTCTTTCGGTCTTCAGGCCCGTCTTTCTTACCTTCTCATCGGTTTCATTCCCTGTTCCCTGGTTTCGGCTCAGCCTGTCGTGCACCAGCCAAGACACAAGAGATGGACGTACATACCATGGATTTAGGAGATAGGACACAAGCGACATTATCAGCGCATCGGATACCGACCGCTTACCAAGGTCATCCACCAACCACCGCCGACCAGGTTGCCACTCCGACTTTCGATATGGGCGCCTGCCCACTTATGAGGCTGACGGGGTCGGTCACTTATAGGCTCCGATGATGTTTTCACGAAACTCAGGAGCGCGTAGGATCGCGCATAAGACACGCCTTGTCAGAGTTTATACGGGTGTGTCGGCGGGCCGTCATTCACGAACATCCGTCCAACATGCTTCGGCCGAAGACCAACACGAGCAGAAACAGGTTGCATGCTGAATGCGTTCGGCGATATTACGAGGGCGCTGAAGTTAGGCGTAGAGAAGGGCTGAGAATGCTCGGAGCGGCCCTTCTGCAGCGCATCGTCCCCACACGTCGCTGTCTCGCTCTTAAACAAACGCCGTCCACCGAGGGGGAGGAGACATGGCCCCCGCTAGCCACATCGGTGGAGTCAGTGGACCTCGGAGATAATGGCCAGACTAGATGCTGCAATTTGGTTGCATAGCAGCGGGCGATGACACCGCAGCTGCGTCTGCCCTCCTGACTTGTTTCTTCATATATATGCGCTAAGAATCCCTGGGCTGGTGGCTGTCAATCACTATCATCGCATTCTTTCAAGACCGGCGACGAGTGCTTTGAATCCCGCCTAGCAAGATAAAGTAGTGCCAACGTCACGCCAGCGATACACGTCTTGACGAACGAATTTATTAAAAAAGTATTTTTTGGCAGTTAAAGGAGAGATGGGTTATACAGAGGACCGTGATCGGGGACATTCGAGAAGTAGCTCGGAAACGCACACCCTGGACTTGGAGATGGGCGACATGCGATCACATAAGGAGGCAGACGATGTTGACGAGAAGGTATGGACTCCCAAGCTCTTGTGGTCAGACATTCATCGATTCTTGCCTGGCCATCATGTTCATGAAGCAGCCTGAATCCTTTGCCATCTTGCACTTGCACTTGCAAGTCGCAGCATGCTGTATTCAGGCTAATTTGTGCAAAATACGGCTCATACATTGCACCAGCACATCAACGAACAACAGCTAACGCTACAGAAGGGCCCCGAGGAAACCAAAAACGAGGTTGGCACAGACCTGGAAAGACATCTATCGAGGAAAAGCACGAAGAGAGACCAGATCGCCGTGGAAAAGTACCCTCTATCCGATCTCGACAACAACCTCGTCGGCTGGGACTCGCAAGATGACCCCGCAAACCCACGCAACTTTACCACCAAAATGAAAATAACATTACTAGCACTCGTCTCCGCCATCACATTTGTCAGTCCACTGGCTTCTTCCATATTCGCGCCAGGCATACCGTTTGTCAACAGTGATTTCCACAATACATCGCAACTGCTCGGCTCGTTTGCCGTCAGCGTGTACGTGCTAGGTTTCGCATTGGGACCTCTATTCCTTAGCCCACTGTCCGAAATCTACGGCCGCTATATCATCCTAAACTGCGCCAACGTCTTCTTCTGTGCCTTCACTCTTGGATGTGCACTTGCACCCAACCTGGGTGGTCTCATCGGCATGCGCTTCCTCGCCGGTGTCGGCGGCAGTGCCTGTCTGACCATCGGGACAGGCGTCATTGCCGACATGTTCATCGCACAACAACGCGGCAAAGCTGTGTCCATTTACTCTCTAGGCATCCTGTTCGGTCCCATCCTCGGTCCCATCTGCGGCGGCTTCATCGCTCAACGCGCTGGCTGGCGATGGGACATGTGGGTCGTTCTCATCGTCGGCGTCCTCCTCACTATCGCCCTCTTCATTTTCAACCGCGAAACTTACCACCCTGTCATCCTATCCCGCAAAACACAGCGTCTCCGCAAGGAACTCAACCGCCCCGAGCTTCAAAATATCATGACGTACAACAAAGACGCCGCTGCCTTATCCCCTTTACAAGTCCTGCAAAATGGTATCACGCGGCCGCTGAAGATGCTCGCCTTTTCTCCCATTGTGCTTCTCTGCTCACTCTACGTTTCTTTCCTGTTCGGTCTGCTCTTCCTCCTCTTCACAACAATCACCTCCGTCTTCATCAAGACATACGGCTGGGCACCCGAAATGACCGGTCTCGCATACCTAGGCATCGGTCTCGGAAACTTCATGGGCATCGCCGTTGTCGCTAAGACCAGCGACGCGACAATTATTCGGCTAGCCAAGAAGAACAATGGTGTCTATGAGCCGGAGATGAGGTTGCCTATGTGTGTGTTTTTCGGGTTGTTGATTCCGATTTCTTTCTTCTGGTAAGTTTTTCACTTCTCTCCATCCACAGTAATTTTTCTTTTCGCTAACAACAAATAGGTACGGTTGGACATCCTACTACCACGTCCACTGGATCGTTCCCATCATCTCCCTCATGCCCTTTGGCTTCGGAATGATGGGCATATTCGCGCCTCTCCAAACCTACATGATCGACTGCTTCCCACAATACGCTGCCTCGGCCATCGCTGGCATGACCGCTCTGCGCTGTCTCTTTGGCGCCATGTTGCCGCTTGCTGGACCCAAGATGTATGAGAGTATGGGCCTGAATTGGGGGAATAGTATGTTGGGGTTCTTGGGCGTAGCATTTATCCCTGTGCCGGCTTTGCTGTTTAAGTACGGCAAGGTTATCAGGGAGAGGTATCCTATTAAGTTCTAGGCGAGTTCGCGTGAAGATATTTTTTGTTGATCTGAGCATTTCGGGATACCCTCGTTTACAATATCTGGGGTTCATATAGTACCTTGTTTTTTGAGTCACCTAGGTGGGCTGTATTGTATTGCATTGTATGGAGTTTTTTCTTGTTCGACTATATAGTTGAAGGCAATAACGAACACCACTCCATATATACATCTCACCCTTCCCGGAGTCAGGAAATCTACTCATCCTTCATCCAAGCAATCGCTCCAACCCATCTCTAACTCATCACACCCACTCATCGCATGGACCTTGATACTCCATACTCCTACCTCAACTCTAGATCTGTGCTCAGCCTATTCTCATCGTGCGCAGTAGTACAGTCGATTCATTAGGATCATGAACTTCAATTTCATGTAACGTTTCGTTCTTCCAGCAACTACTTTTTCGCAGACTCATCAAAAGTAACTAAGCTATTATTATCCAGAGCGACCAGCTTATTAAACTATTATCAAGCTCATCACAGACCTATATAGTCATTTCACTGTTCACTTCTTCAACTACTACCACCCACTCCTACACAGCCTCCGTCGTCTCAGTCTCACCCTTCTCTTTCTTGATAACCCTTTCAATGCTAGCCCGCGCATCGCCCTTGGCCTGAGCAGCTGCAACATGTTTGATATCACGGGCGAGATGGTCACTGCCCTTCTTGGTCTGCCACGCATGGGGACCATCTTTGCTGAACAGTACTTCAATCTCTTCCAAAGTCTTGCCACAAGTCTGCAACCAAGGTTAGTAAAGGTAATGTTATCCTTGCATGACTGACTTACCTCGGGGTATGTGAAGAAGAACTGAACTGCCGCCAGTATACACAGTACGCCAAAGACAATAAAGATCCCCCATCTGATGTTGACAAACGCAGGTGGAATGAAGAATCCGATAGCGAAATTGAACAACCAGTTGCCAGTCGCGCTGATGCCCATACCTGAGGCCCGGGTTTCCAAAGACCATACCTCGGCGGCGTACACCCAACATATCGGAGCCAAGGTAAGGGCGTAGAATATAATCAGCAGGTAGCAAAACGCTATGACAGTATAAGCCGGTGATCCATGGACAAGCATTACCACGTTCGCGTCCCCATTCACGCCACCAGGCACATAGGTGCTGTGTGCTCCAAGAGTGCCGCCGACCACGAAGTGACACACGCCCATCGATATTGCACCCCATACGAGCAAGGTCCTGCGTCCAATCTTATCGACAAAGAAGAACATGATCGATGAGAAGATGATGAACAAGGCATACTGAATACCCGAGGATACTAAGTTGATGTTTCCACTCAGTCCTGCCATGGCGAACAGATAGGTTACGTAGTACGTCATGATATTGGCACCACTCAGCTGTTGCCACGCCTGGACAGAGAATCCGGCGAGAGTGCGTTTCCACATGCCGTTGAGAACGAATTTTCGCCATCCTTGGGGGGCGAGGCGCTCGGCAGTGAGAGTAGTGATAATTTCCTCGTATTCAGCGACAACGTAGGGATCTTCGATATTCCCATCGGCCTGGATAGCGGCAAGAACATGAATTGCTTCTTCTGTGCGATCGACTTTGGCGAGCCAGCGCGGTGATTCTGGTAGGAACGGCAGACCGATCATGAAGAACACACATGGGACGTATTGGATGCCCCAGGCGGTGCGGAACGATGCTGTCTCTCCGGGAATGAAGCTGCAGCCGTAACCTATAAAATACCTACAGCGGGTCAGATTTGACCTCTTTGAGAAAATATAAGGGGACGAAGCGGCGATGGAATGAACATTAGACTTCTGCGGAAATTGAGGGCGAGGGGACGTAGTGACGGTAAGATGAAAATCACAAGATTGCGAAAGAAAGAGAAACGGGCAGATCAAAATGTAAAAGGTGGGACATATGTAATACAACCGTTCTTGTGGCGGGGCGGAGCGCTGAGAGTAGAGCAGAACCGGCTATGCTGTTCTGTGTTATTGTGATTGGGAACTTACATGATGAGAATACCCCATTCGATAGCCAATTGTTGAATGATGATAATTGCACCACGTTGGGAGTGCTTAGAGATCTCTGCGAGGTATACCGGCACCTGGGATGAAGTGATACCGACAGTGACACCGTTCAGGATTCGGCCAGCGATGAGCATGCCTCGGTTGATGGTTGCAACCTGAATAGCAGTGCCCACGAGCCACCATATGCAGGCGAAAAGAAGTGCATCGCGACGACCAAATTTATCAGAGATTGGTCCAGCCATTACGGATCCGAGTATTGAGCCAGCAGCAAGCGCGGATCCGATGGCTCCTTGTTGAACTCCAGATGGGTTATTAAAGTAATCACTATTTGAACATTAGAAAACTGCATCCGTTATTTTTGAGCTGGACTGGTAACTTGCATATATTGGCTGGTTGGGATAATAGCACTCATGGATGAGATATCGAATCCGAAGAGCATACCACCCATGGTGGCAACGATCGCCAGATAGTAGACATTGTTGATCTTAGGGACTTTCTCAAACATCTTGACAACCAGAGCTCTCTAGAGCTTCATGCGATGGGGAAATGACAGTCGACTGACCTGACGATCTTCGCTCATGGGAGGAAGGCCAGATATAAGGCGTCAAGCCGGCAGATAGGACATGCTAAACATGGCAATCATCTCGCTAGAGAATGCCATCCCCACTGGAGACCTTACTCCGCATGACGCACTCCACAAGGGAGCATTCGCTGACCGGATAAAATGGATGAAATGTGAGGATGCTTATGTGAGTCTAGCGGCCATGTGCCGATGGGGCGTAACGTGCTGACCATCGGAGACAACAAGGGAGGCCAGTCAGGCTCCGATTCGTGTTCATTAGCGGAATAACTGCGTCTGGGGATCTTGGAACTAACGCTCAAGACTGTGGTGATCTTGCAGCCGCGTTGTGCATTCGTTGATGGCGTAAGTGGCGCCTGACCCGGTGCGGCTCTTTCTCAATGCTGCGATTCGACAGCTTCTCTTTCGAGACCAGCCATGGGTCAACAGCTTACACCCTACACGCTGCGATGCAACATGTGACTCTGGATGTATTTCTACATGCGACATGGTGTCCGTATGGTTGGAAAAGAATGTGACATGGTGTGGAGGGAAAAGTGTCCGAACATGCGAGATGGTGGGCTCCGATCATTTCTGTGCTTGGCAAGTTTATAACTACCCGTGTTTTCCGACTTTACCCTCATCATCGTGA